AGGTAGATACCCTGCTCTGGAGTATGGGAGAGACGGATACGGACCTTTTTCAGACAAATGCGGTAGTGGTTTGGCAGCTTGGCTGTTTCTCTATCAAAAGCTGATGATTTCTCTCATTTGGAGCCGCAGTTCGGGAAATTGCTTCCTCATAAACATAATCAACACTTCTAAGAGTACTGAATTCACTGCTAATCACCCCAGTTCCCTAAACCGGAAAATTCCCGGCAGCTTGATATTTTTTTCTTCAGCCCCTCGCTGCCACGATACAAGTTTGCTGTCGTCGTCCTCCCTTCCGGTATTAAGAATTAACCGCGCGAGAGTTTCATCAATCAGCACAGCCCACCTTTTCTGCGCGGCCTGCGCAGGCGGGCTGATTTGTAACTCGGATTGGGGAACCCAATTGGCTGCCTGGGTGAAACGGCCAGGAACAGTAAGTGGTGGGCCGATCGGAGAATTCTTCACTGTTTCATATTTTCATATATGGTTGGTGTATGTGCGTTGTACCTCCATACGGCACTCTCGGCGCTGCATGTGTAACAGAGGTCGAGCGAGTGATGACTGGTGATGCAGCCTTGTCATGGATGAAACAGTGGCGGCTGCGCTGCTTAGCAGACGACTCTTGGGCGATGTCCGTGGTTTGCAGTGACGCCTTTTACGTCACAGAACCAATGGGGATACAGGGTATACGGAACGGGCGAAATGTAATGACCGTTTACGCCTTTCTGGAATTCTGCCTACTTCCATCGACTTCGCCGTTTCATCGGGCCGAGAGCATGGCGCAACCCCAATGAAAGAAAGGCTGAGATATAACGGTATTGCAGGTCTTCCCATCTCATGATCATAGCCGATGGAATCGGATGGATTGCTGTTTCAGTCTGTCTGACAGGCTCTTTCTTCTATATAGGGGTTGCTGTTCTAGATCCGGGCTTGCGCTCATTCACGTGCGTGCTACGGCTAGCTGGATGCGATGGGTTTTTATTTACATCATTACCACCCCCCGCGCCTCGTAGTATCAGCTCGGGGACTAAACATTGGGCATGCGATAGTCAGCTCTAATTGTCGTGGGGAAAATGCTAAGTTTAGGGCTACGGATGGGAAGGGGGACTGTGGTGCTTACCTTGAAAAAACAATGTCTTCGTGGTAAACACCATACCAGTGTAGCTAATTTCAATTCATTCTATAAAGAAAAAGAGCTCTATTTGGCTTCTCTTTTACATACATATACCCGGGGGTGGTAGCTTACATACATTGGGAAGGATGCACGGGTCAGGCTTGGATCATGAAAGATCACTCGCACATGTCTTGTACGAAAATGTTGGATATTTGGCTTTTCAAACGATGTCGAACGGGTACGGGTGATCTACCATGTCGAGACCTGTCCTTTTATGTCGAAGACAGCTGTATAATACAGCTGTCAGATCCGTGACTACATAGCTACTATGTAGTTACATGTAGTTTCCTTGTCGAGATCAGAATCAAGTCACTTAACTGTCTCGTCCTCGTTCAACTTTTTCCAAAAAAAAAAAACCTCCCACAGGCTAGATATTAACTCGCGGCAAACAACGCAAGGACACGATTTGAGCCACACCCCAAAAAAGACAACTGTACTATATTATGGACACGCTAGCTAGAAGACCACTTAAGTAGAGAGCTACTAAGGATCTCCCCTTTAATAATATCATCAATCATACCCGTACTTAAAAGATACTCTTGCGGACAAGCCACCACGAGAAAGAAAACTCAGACACTCTCCTCTCCACCCTCAGCGAAAACCCGGGGACCAAGAGGTGGTTGTGCATCCTCCTTGTAAGGAAAAGAAATATTAGAGGGTGGCGGGAGGGGTAGAGGGGTAGAGGGGTATATGGAAGGGATTATGCAGGGAATGTTATTTATCGGGTGTCAGGTCTAATTGGGATATACGCCAAATACAGATATTGTGCTTTTCAGTATTTGGTGCGGATACACGAGACCGAAGTACTCTACATGCTCACTCAAAAGATCAAATAGAAAACACATATCTTTTTAACAATCAAATTACTTTTTTGCTGATATTTTACAGTCTCGCACACACAACTAATAAGGTACATACTCCCTCGGCCCCCTTAATTCCACAGCCTCGCCGTCCCATCCGCCCCCGCACTAAACAGCCAACACTCCCTACTATGCCACTCCACATCGAGTACACCTAAGCTCTTCTCCACCTTATGCCCCCTCAGCACCTTCAGCGGCACAATCAGCGCATTCTCCATGAGGTCACCATACACCCTCCCATGGAAGATCTGGATCTGCCCATCGTCACTCGCCGAGCAGAACAGCGGCAGTCCGCCCTGATGGTACTTCACGCCGCGGATCGCCTTCTGGTGATAGCGCATCGTCTTGTATGGCTTCGTTGACAGGTCCATATCATGCCACAGCAGCCGCTTGTCGTACGCGCCCACAATCAAGTTGTCGCCGCCTGGGTGGATATCGAAGCTTGATATCCACCTTGACCCCGGCTGTAGCGTCTTGAGCAGCTCCTGCTTCGCAAGGTCGTACACGCGGATGTAGCGCTGCGTGGCGACAAACAGGTGTGGCCGGAAGGGGTGGAACTCGACGCGCTGGATGATACCGCGCGACTTGCGGAAGGGCGACTGCGAGTTGTGTTTTGAGAGCTGGTGGATGGCCACGGCGCGGTTCTGGCCCTCAGGAGAGACGGTGGCGAAGTAGTCGCCGCGGCGGTGCCAGGAGATGTGTTTGACGGTGTGCTTGGTGGTGATGATGACGGCGATGCCGGAGTCTTGTTGGGTAGACGTGGGCTTGGTCCATTTTGCGGGGGGCTCCTTCTTGAGAGGGTCTTTCTTGACGATTTCGGCGTAGCCCCAGCCGGCGGAGAGGAGGTCTTTGGTGGCGCTTTCGGTCTCCGGGTCGAAGATGGGGGGGTGGATTAGGAAGACATCGTCGCCGCTGTCAAGGCCAGTTAGCAGACTGTATAGGACCAATATAATGAGGAAAGAGAATTGTACGTAGCAGCAGCAAGAACAGCAGCTTCCTTGCCTGGCCTCCACTTGACGACGTTCACGGCCTCTCCATCCTCGCCAACCTGTATCTTCCACACCTCTCTTCCAGTCAAGATCTCCCACACTCTGACTGTACCATCATCACCACCAGTCGCTAGCCATATTCCACTAGGATCGCAGGATAGCGTCCTCACCCTTCCTACATGTCCTCTGTACACTGTCGCCGTCGTTGTTGGGAACGGTCTCAGATCTTGTGGACTCGGCAGTTTTGGCAGCAAGCTCTCAGGGTCGATATTAAGCTTATTTCTCCTGACCCTAGGAGCAAGGTACAAGTCCAAACACCTCTCAAAGCGCTCCTTAATAAAACCATTAAACCCAGGCACCAACCTGAGCGCCGAGTGCGCTCTTGGCAGGTAGTCCTTTGGTCGGTCCTCAGGATCCATCTCCTCCCAGGCCTTGCGCTCCGCCTCGGTGGGCAGATACTCCTTTGGCGGGTTGTAACTCTCGTCGTGGGTCGGTGGCGGCAGCTTCGGCGCAGGGATGTGCATGATGTGGTCTGGGCGGGGCGGGAGCTCGTCGGCCCAAATGTCGTAGAACGAGGGCTTCTCGGGCTCTTTCGGCTTGTTAGGGACAATGCGGCCGTCGCGGATGGCCTTGACGATCTTCATGATGCGCTTGGCCTCATGCTTCGAGGGGACGAAACGGCGCTTGGGCTCCGGCGCGGCCGAGAGTGGCATTATCTCTGTTTTTGAGGTGAAGTACTCCACCGTAGGCTACCACAGTCGCACTTCATCAGCACCCAACACACACACACCACCGCCCGAGGACAGGACTCCATCACTGCTACTACTCACCTGGTACGGGTCATACCCCGCCGCATTCTCATCCATCTGTATCTTCCTGACCATCTCCAGCTCCTCATCCGTCAACTTCACGCCCAACCCCGTCTCCTTATCCGTCACGCCCGTCCAGCCCTTCGGCACCTCGATGCTCTCTAGTAGCGCATCTAGCGCCGCCCCCTTTGCCGGCCGCATGATCTTCTTCCCGTTGATGTCGTACCCCACGTGCGGATACTCGTCGTAGAAGTCAAGCGGTATGTTCCCAATCGTGTTGGCCCCGTCCGCGCCAGCGTCTGTGTCGTCACTGTCATACACGGGGTCGATCTCGGGGTACATATACCGCTCGTTGCCCGCAGAGTCGATCGCAATCATGCGCTGGGCCGCGAACTTGTCCCCGCCGGCGAGCGTTAGGTCACTGAGCTTTTCGCCGGCCGCGGCCGTCCAGGCGTCGTCTTTCTCTTTCTCGTCCTCATCCTCGTCTTCTGAATCGGACTCTTCGTCCTCGTCGCCTTCGTCCGGCTCGTCTTCAGACTCCTCGCTGCTGCCCTCGCCGGAGCTGTCGTAGTCGCTCTCCTCGTCCTCCTCCTCCTCTGCTTCGTCCTCACTGCCGGAGAGTGCGCCGTCGAGAAGACCGACCTGGAAGTCGTCCTCCGAGATGTCGGAGTGCTCATGGTCCTCGCTCGGCGGCGGGAGACGTCTTTTTTTTGAGGTTACGGGGGCCATTGTGAGTCAATTGCAGGTTTTTGATGGTGGTGGAGGTATGGGTTTATTTGAGAGGACTGGGGAAAAAAAGTTTGGGAAGAGGCTCTTTGCTAGTCAAAATCTGATAAGATTAGATCCGATTGCTGACTGACATGGGTTGGACTGCCAGTTTAAGGAGGTGGGGCTGCGAGATAAGATAAGACCCAATTAGATTTAGATGCGACCAGCTCACCTTACTCGATCGCGGTGCAGAAATCCAGCCAGCAAATCATTGGCTTGGCAGTATCATCATCATCATCATTCACCACCCAAACCTTCTGGATCCTCTCGTACGACGACGCAGTTCTCCAGACAATCCAGACAATCTAGTTTAGTCTAATTCAAACTCACCCAACCAGCTACAGAACCTGCCTGCCTGCCTGTCTGTCAATCTACTCTCGAGTCCCCATGCCCGATGCCCGCAATGGCCGACGGCGGTGACCTCCCTCCTCTCCCTGAGAGCCCTCCGGTACGTATCCCCCACTCCTGCCCTTCAGGCAATCTAAACACCGTTCTATATTGGCCATATACAATCCAATCTTACCTCTACATACATACATTCATACTCACCAGTCTACTCTAAACCATGCAGTACCGCACGCCCTCCCCGCGCCGTCCCCGCCGCTACACAAACTCTATGGACACCCCCACGGCCCCCCAAAGCGGCTACGAAGATGTCGTGCGCCTCCTGGAGACCGTTGCCAGCGCCACCCTCGGCGAGCGGAACTTGACAGACACCTACGAAGCGCGGATCCGAGACCTGGAAGCTGAGAATGCGGAGCTGCTTAAAGGTCTCCTCCCCTCCTCCCTTCCCCACCTCCCCCTCCTTTCCACCCCACGAGACAAACCATCTAACCCCGCACAGAAAACGAAGAGCTCCTCCACCTGCTCAACCGCGACGACCGCCCCGCCACCGCACAAGCCACGAAGGCACTCGCGCAAGTGCGTACGCTCAAAGAGTCGCTCATCTCCGACCGCGAGGGGTTCTCCCGGCGGGAAGCGGGGCTGACGGCGCGGGTGTGGGGGCTGGAACAGGCGGTGACGGACTCGCTGCGGGACCTGCTGCAGGAGCGGCGGCTGCGCGAGGAGGTGGAGTGGCGGGTGTGGCCGCGGGGAAGGGAGGAGGCCGAGTGTGCGAGGTGTGCGGCGAGGGAGGAGGTGGGCGGGGGCGTGGGCGGTGGTGTGGGGGAGGAGATGTTGAGGAGTATGGAGGCCGTGACGGTCGAGTTGGAGATGAGGAATGAGGAGATGAAGGTGGGTGTTCCTTGTGGTTGTGGTGATGGCGGTGGTGCTTTGGTGGTAGTTGGTGGTTGGTGATGGGTGGTGAAGGTGCTAACACACGGCAGCAAACACAAAGCGCCGCAGAAGAAGAGCTCGACCTCGCCAGCCGCGAAATCGAGCGTCTCCAGCGCGAAGTCAAGGCCCTCGAGATGCTGTAAGCTCCCTTTCTCTCCCCCCTCTCCTTCCCTCCATCACTCCTTCCCTCCTTCCTCTCCCTCTAGATCAGCACTAAATCCTCCCCAGAAAACACCACAAAGAAGACACCGAGGCCGAGCTCGACATGCTCAAAGACGGGATGAAGCGCATCGAGCGTGTGGCGATGATGTACGGCCCGCTCGAGGACGAGTTAGGGCTGCTGGACGCGATCGACTCGTGGAAGCTGGAGTTCCTGGCTGTGTCGACGAAGCGCAAGAAGAGGAAAAAGAAGGAGGAGAAGCATGGGCTTGGGTAAGGCTTTGTAGAGCTGTAGGCGTAGGTAGGTAGGTGTAGAGGCGAGGTGGGGCGAGGGCGAGGTGAGGTGGGTGGGATGGACTTTTTGGCTTTTGGTTTTGGTTTTTGGTTTTTGGTTTTCTGGACTTTCTTTTGGTGATGCACATGAATTTATGACGAGTGAGGATGTATGTTTACGATTGGATTAATTATTGCTATTGCTATTCTACGGTACAAAAAAAGGACATACAAAACATGGGATGAAAGCTATAAACACTGAAAAACGAACAGCAGCCTCGTTCCTCAAAACCAACGTAAAAAAAGACAAAAGAACCCCCCGAACCCATTCCCTCCAAACTTCCGCATTTCCATTTGTACTCCATCGTGCCTCACCGAGGAGCGATGAAAACAAGCAAAAAACAAGGGAAATGGCAGGAAGGGAAAGGGGAAAACAAACACAAAAAGGGGAGAGAAAGAGTGCAGAATGTCTGCAGGTATGGTTTAGCCCGAGCGTAATTGGACGACGTCCTACGCAGCGCAATGGAATATACCGCCTCTTTTCACCTCCCCATCCACCGAGATCACCTTGCGGGACCTCAAGGCTTCCAGGAAGGCAAAAGATTGTTCTCGGGTCTGTCAACGCGGAGCTACACCACATACCAGTCAGTCTCTCTTGAGAGAGAGCCCGGAGGTGCTTCCTGAAATCGTTGAGCTGCAGGCCGTCTCCCAGAGGGCGACGACAAGCACAGACCCGTGATGTGGAAAAGAAAGAAGAAGAAGAGAAGTGGAATCGCTTCCCGAGAATTTATACGTTGCGACCCGCCTCGCCAAGCCCACACTACAAAAAAAAGTTCGCCGACTGACACAGCATGGAATGACATAAGCATTTCCCCTAGAGTAGCAACCGCACTAGCACGCGATTGGCTGGCGTGGACGTCGAGAATCTGAACCCCACCAAAAATCGCTGCTCCTGCGAATCGTAGAGTCCGCAATTGTTACGAACCACATAATGAACACGCAGTTCAACCCCCTCAACCGCGCGGGGGCCTTCCGCCCCTTTCCGCAGATGTTCACACGCGCCTTCTCGGCCACGGCTACCGCGGAGAAGAAGCACTCGAAGCGCCGCCTGCAGCACATGCTCCGAAACGTCCCCGAGTACCCATACCCGATCAAGCACACCTTCAAGCAGTCATGGTTCGGTCTCTACGGCGGAAAGCACATCCAGTTCGGAAACAACGTTCCCGAGTCAAACTACACTACCCGCCGAAGATGGCTGCCGAATGTGCGCCATAGGACAGTCTTCTCAAGGGCCCTCAACCAGTACTTCTCGCTGGATATCACCACAAATGTCCTTCGTATGTCTTGCCCTGGTTGTCTGTCTGGGTTGGGGTGTGGTAACTGGCCATTGACTTGATAGCGGCTTTCTAGGCACCATTGATAAAGCTGGCGGCCTCGACGCATACCTTACCGGCACCAAGGCAGCGCGCATCAAGTCTCTCGGCCCCACCGGGTGGCGTCTGCGATGGCGCGTCATGAACTCACCACGGTACCAGAAGCAGCTTGCGGAGGAGCGAGAAGCACTAGGACTGCCGCCTCTTGCGATGCCGCAGAAGAGCGCACTTGACCCAGAGGAGGCCGAGATGCTGGCCCTGAGCGAGGGGCATGACATCGAGGGTATCGACAAAGAGGAGTACGAGGCCATGATGCGGGATCAGGAGGCTGCGCAGGAGCAGCTGAAGCCGAAGGAGAAGACGGCGGCACAGCTCATGATTGAGAAGATTGAGAGGGAGAGGGGACTTAAGAAGGATGTGGAGGCATAGAGGGGAGGTATTTGTATTATAGTTCAGGTAGGAAGAACGACTTGTACAGGGGATCGATTTAGTGCTTCTGCCTGCGGGGGTTGGGGCGTAGGATTAGCTGCTGCTGATGATATCCATAGCTCCACTTGCGCTCGGGATAGAATGATACCTTAGATCTCGAACTGGGCATGGAAAATAAGCTATTCAACATTCTATAATTCATTGCGGGCACCAGTCATCTCAAGTTCATATAGCAGATCATTCATTATCACTCGCTCTGCTGTCTCGCCCAATCCTACGAAATCTCATGGGATACGTACCCACCATATCCTCTGTACCCGGTGATCCTATAACTCGCGTATGCCATGAAAAGCATAAGATGAATCTGATGTCGCGATGAATCCACCTGCAAATATGAAGTGATCTACCATTTCTTGCTTGTGCTAGGTACATGCAGTCGGTACAAGGCGTGCAGAATGAAGAGAAAAGCGATGGAGTAGAAAGGCTCACAGGCTCACTTTTTATACTTCACTTAAGGATAGAGTGTAATACCACGTATATCCCACCAGATGGAATACACGTATCTAGTGCAAACATAGTAAGGGTTAGGGTTCGGAGAAGCTCCATCACAATACATCACTCGATAGGCTTAAACCGGGGTGAAAACTTTTCTAAGAATACCAAAAGGTAATCGTAGCGGTTGGAAGAAATTCTGTAAGTTATGGCTAAGTTAATCTCCTCTGTTACTCTATTTCCTGCTTCTCTGGGGGATATCTCTGAGCGTGGGTTCGGAGGCTTCGCCCAACAGCTCCTCGCGCATTATTTTTGGTCTTATACACTCGGGGCCTGTTTCCCTTTTCTTTTCTTTTCTTCATTTTTTATTTAGCTGCGGGGATATATAATTCACCAGGAATATCATGTAGTAAGACAGAACAAATTGTCCCGAAAAACCCTGCCCACCCTAGCCCTGAAGTTGGTGCCAGCAAGGTGAGTGAGTGGGTGGACCAGCGGGAGTTCACGTTTTCATGACGTTCCTATGCAGTGAGTATAAGAGGAGGGGCGAGATGATATCGGATGAAACATGGGTAAGATTTTCGGGAATTACTGCAATAGACACTCTTCAGGTTCCCTCCGACCGAGTCAACAGTTTATTAATGGCCTGAGTGATACCACACGAACAAGCAATGGTGGAAGGGGAAAGTATTCAAGAACAAGCAAATTATTAGACCAGGCTTCTAAACGCCGACTTTGTACAATAAGAGCCCGAACCAACCATCTATATACACCCTATATAACATGTGTCGGAATCTTAACATGGCCCTTCTTCCTATCCGGATGTGGGAATCCATATCTGAATCCAACACTACCAGCCCTCGCCTCCTTCAAGTTCCACTTCCACCTGCCCTGCTCCACGAAGGTTCCCGCGTTCTTTAACTTCTCCGCGGCCCTCGATTCTTTCTCCTCCTGCTGGACCTGGGCCAGCCTCTCCCGCTCCGCTTGTCTTCTTTCCAGCTCATCGAGCGAGAGGTTCTCCATCCGCTCGCGTTTCGCGACGACTAGTTCGGGGTGCGGAACTGCCTCGTCGGCGGGGGGGAGGCCGAACTCTTTACCGGCGTCAACACGGGTGTATTCACGGGATTCAGAGGTGGGGACAAAGGCTTGTCGGCCGGCGAAGGGGTGGGAGAATAGCTCTTGGATGTTCTCGTGGATTTGGCGTTGGCCCTGGTCAGCGGGGACGAAATGGGTGACGGGGAGCATCTGTTCGAGGGCTTTGGTGAGGTATGAGGAGACGTGTTTGCCCTGAGAGAGTAGGAGGTTAGTAAAGGGGAGGTTACAGAAGTACGGTGGCTGCGAGGATGATATTAAGGATAGGGTAAAGGATTGCTCAGATGGCCGTTCAATTGCTTAACCATTTATAAAGTCTTCAAGATTGATCATGAAAATTTGATTTTTCTCCTCATAGCAATATGACAGAAAGGAAGAATATAGGGAGCTCGCAAGCGAGGATATGAATGCACAAAACCAACTAACCTCATTCTGCCACTTCCTCTCGACAGCCTTCAATCTCACGACTGCCGCAACCCTCTCCAGACTGACAGCGAATTCCGCAGAAGCCTTCCTGACACTTGCCCCCTCAATCTCCACTCTCTTGTAGATCTGCTCCCTCATCTCATTGCTCAACACCGGCGTACTCTTGAATGCCGGGTTCATAGGATACGGCACGTTACTAGCCCTGTCCTTCCGTTCCCACGTCCGCTTATCATAAGAGCTGAGGTACTTCGGGCCCTCCTCGCCCGCCTGCTTGAAGACCGCGCCAGGCCCATTGATCCAATTGAAGAATTCCGTTCGCTGCGACGGCCCCACGGGGCGCGGTTCTCCCTTACGTGCAGCGGCCGAGGGCGTTGCCGAGAAGCAACGGGTGTGCGCGAGGAGACATTTTTGAGGTTGGGAAGCGGGGCGAGAGGATAAGGAGAGAGGGGAAGGGATCGGATTGTGCCGTGGTCGGGGAGGCATCGTGATGTTAATGAGTTGCGGGGGAGGTGTAGTCTGATTTTGTGGATGCAAAGAATTTTTCAGCCCGGGTAACTGGGGCCTGCATGTTGCATGCCCCACCAGATCATCGATCTTAAACTTGCTGACAGTTGCTGTGTCAGCAGTGCTTCAATAGTAACAACACCGCGCGCCCCTTGCGCAGTACGTATAACTGTGCACCACCTAGGACTATTATCATGGTCATAATAATATCATGTACACGCCAATCACCAACTAGATACCTCAGATAACAACAGTTGGTGTTGTTTTTATGTGTCATGAGTCTTGAAAATTAGCTGAGTACATCAGAGTTCGGGGATGTACGATACATAGCTATCCTTCAAATGCGTTTGCAAATACTCCAGGCGGTCTTGTATTTTGTTGCCCTACTGACTTGGAAGTTGGAACAGGTTCAAACCGGGTGAGTGATGATGACATTTGCATCATAAGGCTAGACTAAAAACGGCCCGATACGATGCGGGATCGTTGAAATACAGCCACAATTAATTGTGCCCAGTTGGGTGACTCCAAATATTAAGCCTACCGAGAGTGCCTTGAAACCGCCCAATCGGTACTTCCATCTGTCATGTAGAAGGTTGCCGAGGTTTATGATCATTGGCCCCCTTTAGGAATCATCGACTATCACTCGAAAACGTCCTCCAACCAGGCATTGTACTACAAGCATCACGCATGAAAAAAACAAAGAAATGGAACAATCACAATATCCTTCAAAGAAGGTCCGTGGAAGTATGTACATATATGGCGCAAGAGGCAGTATATTATATGGGGCGCGGGTAAGAAGGCGTGTACGCACATTTGGCGCGCAGTTTACAGGGAGTGAGCTTACTTCACAGGGGCCATTCTTGAGTATAAAAATGCTACCGTTCCCCCTTCTTCTCGTTGTCTTTGATATCTGGACCTTGGACTTCCTCGGACTGCAAACACAAGTCAGAAACACAGCTCGTTTATCCTGAGAATCTCAAAGCACGATCATAATCTCGGAACAACATCCTCAGATCAATATTGAATCATGTGCCCTACAAACATCATATCTCCTATAGCTAGCACTACCACAGCTGCTACAGCACAGGTCCCTCCTTTCCCATACATCAACTGGATGTGCCATCTCTGCGGCAGCCGTAATTCGGAATCCGGTAGACTATGCCAGAATGGGTCTTGCGATCACGTTCGCTGCTACAAATGCGATGACGATTTTGAGGATTGCCACTCATCTGTGGGTACGAATAGTACTACAGATCAAATCGAATATGTAGTGGAGCAGTTTTTGATGCAGCGCGGCGGAGTTGAGGCTAGCAGAGTGAGGAGGTTAGGATTGAGTGTTGATCGACCTACATGTAGGTAAGATTAGTTATCATTGAAACTACTAGGAAGAGGAAGGGGGAGGGGGGGAGGGGGGATAGTAGAAGCATAATGGATGGGAGTAGAAAACTATGGAGAGAATAATGGGAGTTAATGGGGAGTCTGACCGATTCAGTTTTAATCTTTTTGCTTTCATACTACATGTAGTTATCTTTATTCAGCGTCTTCTAATCATATGAACTCCTCAACATGTGATTTTCTGCCAGATATACATGTATTCCAACACAAGGCTGATATTTACAGCAGTTTCATAATGATAGGCCCGGCCGGGTATGGTAACACATGCAGTGCAACTTGCGTAATATGAAGTACGTACATGTAATTGCTTAATTAGGCGACACTGATAGCCCAATCATGCTATCCTTCCCTATATTTAAACTCTATCGGGTTACCCAATGACTTGCTCTCTGCTTCCGAAAGTTGCACTATGTATGTAAGTGATACCATGCTCGGTTGCGCTTAGTTAATATTATGAAAACGGTTATGAGCAAGGAGTTCGGCTTACTAGAATGTATCTCACCAGCGCTATAGCGCACGGCCAGTCAGTAGGAAGAGCAGGGGCTCTCGAGCCTTAAACGGTAAATACCGCTAAAACTTGAAAAATTGGCTATCTCTGTCCAGGGATTATCCATCAAGTGATTGGTTAGGTGGCATCGATGTGCATCAGAGGTTTGCCATAGAGGTAACGAGAGCTAGCTAATTTATCGAGTTTCGGCGGTAAGGTGTAGGCTGTCACATACATACATGTATGAATTTATGGTTACTAGCATGTACCTTGGCAAATATATATATTATGTGCTTAGTGCGAATTGTTATTATATAGGCTGATAGCTTTATAATAACTAAGCTATATATCCTATTTATGTGGTAGACGACCTCCTGGGCCATTCGGACACCCCCCTCACCGGACAGTTAACGTAGAAAAGAAAAGATCAACGTTTCAAGTGGCTTCAGTACCTCTTTTCGACCAATCATGATTGGCTGTCCGAGTGAGGGGGGGTTGTCTGAGTGGCTAGGGAGGTTGTCTATTAACCGTAACTTCGAGGTGATGAGTTCCTTGTGAGTAAAGGTGAGGTGCGCCATTGATAAAGGAGTCGCATCCGGTCGTACCCATGACGTAACTCTGCCTTAGTGAGCTTCACTCGCTTTCTGATCTAGGTTTTATCTCTTGTACTCAATAGTGTATATTCTATTATAGAGTATTTTTAGTATATTACCTTCCGTCACTCTGGTTAGGGTAGCACTGCGGTGGGCCGCGGCCGCGAAGACACTCGGCGGATCAGTATTTTTCAGCTTCACTTCATAATTCCCTGGATTTATATATAGGCTTCAGTTCGCTACCTGATAGTCATAGATAGTGTTTTTGCACTTTGGTTACCGGCTGAGTATCTGAGTGTGAGTGTGTGTGTTCATTCCCCGTTTCTGTATATATTCCGGTTTTTTGGATTGTCGTTGGAAAGCGGGTCGGTGTCTTAAGTTTCACTCAGACGACAAACCACTGATATTTGAAGCTCGGTGGGCAACCACTCGGTTTTGCTTTTGCTGTTTTTCGTCTTGGGTAACATTCTCGTCTTGGGACGTTTACATTCATGCTTGCACCTTGCTTACTTTGCCTTTGTGATAGGGTATGGTAAACGAGAATCCCTTTCTTATAACGCTGCTTACTGGTAGGTCGGTATTCATAAGCTCCATATCATATAAATATTTGCCGAGATAACAGTCCCTGACAAATTGTCGTCCAAGTAGATATATGTGCTGAAAGGAGTAGCTATCTAGTTGCGAATTGGGGCCTAAATGTATTTTTCTTCTTATATGCCGCTTGTTTCGTGATGGTTAGGTTAGCGGTTAGGCATTGAGTATATGTCTTATTGGGCTCCAATTTGGGCCTGAATTAGTCCCTCAATAGAACTCGGCGTAGGACCTACGGGCAGCAGGTATATATTGACGTCTGAGCTAGATTGTTGAGAGGCAGCAAACCGACCCCTACCTATTATTTAGTAGTAAAATAATATATATAGGGCCAATAAGATATAAATTCGAGTCCCCGGTGATGGCATAATGCGTACTAAAGCACGGAGGATTAAAATCTTCTAGATATGCACTGGCAGCGTGCTCACAGCGGCTGTAATAGTAAAACGACCTTGTGGATCAGCTTTAGGAAGTAAAAAACCGAACAAGGTCTCTTGCCTTGAGAAGAATATGGAGCGGGAGTAAACCTGAAGAGGTACCTCGAGGGGAAGCATTACCAACGGATGGATTCTAGACAGCCCCTAGAAGATCGGGATGCCTTTGGATGGTCAGGAAGCAGTGTATTGTTGTATCGGTTTGTATCGGCCTCGCAGGGCGGGTAACTTAGGGCAGAGGCACTTGTCCTGGCTAGATGTACCTACTACGTACATGTATGCCTCTCTACCTGGTTATCTGTTAGCAGTCTTCTTGGTATTCTGTGGGGTGTTGACCGTTTTCCGCAACCTGCTGTCTTTCTCGGACTGTTAGACTACCAGTCGTTTAACAGCTTCAAATTCAACTCTACGTTTAAACCCACGACTTATTTACTTACTTGCAAGTCACTGCGGAACCGATAGAACCGGTTCTATGGATGACTTCATGCATTAGACTGTAGGTAAGTACATGAGTTGGGTAGGGGATCTAAAGACGACTAGCCTGGGGTCGCTATGATGCGTCGTACGTTAGTTCGTCTGTTGACAAAGAGCAACTGATCAAGATTGGGTGTTGTATGATAACGGTTAGAGATGGAAAGGGTGGGAGAAGAGCTGGTGTCCATATAATCATCAGCGAATCCTTGGTAGCAAGATATCCCGCTAAGGTTATAATTAACGATGTAAGGGACCTGACTATTAGGGTAACCTGCTATCGTGGTATTGAGCTCCAGATACTCCTTCATGCTTTTAATATCAGCCGACTTGAAGGTGCCGTCAGCTTTGAGGACAGACTACCTGGCATGCAACCTGAATCCCGGCCTCCTACTTCTTACTTGAGATTCTCCTCAAGAGTCATCCGCTCTACTCGTGTTTAGTTGCATCTGAGGATTGATAGGAGCTCCTTCCCGCTTGATTTTAAATTTAAAGTTCCACCGCAAATACTTATACTGATATAATGGCCTATTTTAGAGATCCGGCACGTTCTAAATCTCTATTGAGGCCGTACAATGACAATATTTGTGCTCGTGACGCTACTAGAGAACAGATACTCTGACTGGAATTTGCTAACCGGTGAATTCTATCCATATCAGGTCTACAACTGCTCCTATACGTACCCATGATGCGGTTCTTGCACCGGCACGCTCATAACCAGTCAACACACCTTCTATGATGCCTCTACTACCCCCTCTACTAATATCTCCTGACCTCAGAATAATTCTACGCCCAAACTCTATTCTTCGCCATATAATCCCGTCCCCTCTGTGAAACCAAAGACACATCCCCGATTCCATAACCCTACCGGCCCACCAGCTTCTTCCCACTCACTGAATACAATGCCATCTCCCCCATCACATCCTCATAAGCTCCAGCGTAGATACTTCCCCAACACTGTCCCCAACTGCACCAGCACTCACAGCCAGACCCACCTTGATACTCCTCATAATACCGCTCCTAATACCGTTCCCAATACCGTTCCCAACACTGCTCCCAACACTGCTCCCAATACTGTTCCAATAGCAATTCTCATGATGTCAACTACCAGGGCCTCAAACCGCCGCGTTATCTCCCGCCCGCGCATCCAGCCGCCTAACACCTTCTTCAGCGACTATCCCATTCCCACCCCACGGTACTTCACGGAGTCGCCTCCTGCAAGCCCAAGTCCGCCCATCATGGGAGCTCACCCGCCTATTCTGGCAACTCCCCTACCCACTCCGCAGCCTACTCCACAACCCTCGCAGAGTACCAAAGCCCAGCATGAACCCGACGTTGAGCCTCCCTTCTCGCCCATCCTGCCCTTGCACCGCAGTGATAGCCACGGCGAGGACGAGAGGGAGAAGGAGAGGGAGAAGGGAGTTAAGCCAGAGGTTGACGAATTCGACGAGGACGAGAGCGAGTGGCAAGACGCGCAAATACGGGAGTCGCAGCTGAGCGATAGAGAAGATAAGGGTGTGTGGGTCGACCCACTGGACTGTGTTTTGGGAGCACTGCTGGCTGAAGAGTGGACAGTGATCGATGTGGAGGAGGAGGATGGAAACGACGAGTGGGTCGACGATGATGATTGGCATAGTGCTGAGACTCAGGATGAGTGGGTTGAGATGGAGAGGATACCGTTATCAGAGAGTAGGGATATTTAGCAGGAGAGTCAGTAAGGGGATGTTTTAAGGACTTTGTTTGTGTGGGCTTTTAATTGGTTGCCGACTGTGATGGATTATGCTTTTCTTGCGGGATGGAGTTAGTTTGTTTGGGTTATTTGGCAGATTTCCTTCTTTACAAAATTCATTAAGTATATCCTAGGAGTTATCTGCTTTCTTTGAGGTCCTACCGGACTGTTTCCGTGCGTGAGTTGTCGTACTAATTATTACAAGAATAGGTTTTTCTTTGAAGGGTTTATTTCCTTAGCCCAGAGACTTTCCGCACACCTTCAAGGGTCCTTTATCAAGTACACTCGAAATAGTTTTCTGTTTTCTTTGGAGTTTATGTTTGCCGATCAAATTTTTACTTAAGTAGCCAATCACCGTTTATCACTCTTTAATTCTTTGATTCGTTGCCACGCGAGTGATATTTCATGATTACGGCCCAACACAAGAAAGAAAAAACATACATGTACTATACTTTCTAACGCCCATCTTACAAATGAGATCCCCGTAAAATAAACCCTTAAGTTCTTTAAGTTTTAAGCGTCGCTAGTCGGGTCACATATGGAGGGTCTAATCTAAAAGAGAATCCCCCACCCTTGTTTGCTCGGGAGGATTTGTCCCATATGGCCAATTACCATAGACTTTGTGGTGCAGGCTAGCAGAATAGGTGTTAAGACACGCTAAAGCGGCTACGTGGTTGCAACTTGTTAATATATGTTAGATTTGAGACCTTATAAAGTTAAACTTAATCTAATCATCACTCTCATCTTCCTTTATTCGAGCATTAAGCTCAGCAGTAGAGCCTCCAGACCCTAGATGGCGAGGCTCGACCACCAACAGCCTGAAAACACTCGTATCAAGTGATTATATGCTGAGCAGGAATGTAAAATTAGTAATTGTCTTTGAAATGCCTTCAATGGGTTTCCGAGCGAGTGGTGGTCCATGATCCAACTACGGGGGGATAGTGCGTGGCTAAAATGATACTGACCGCGATAGACTAAAATATATTTCCCCGTCAAATGGTCAAGTCTAGGAATTTAGGGCTGGACGCTCTGTTTCTGGCAAAAGTATCGGTCACTGCTACAACACATCACTATCAAAGAATAAAGCACCAGCGAAATATGCAGCTGGAAAATTGTTTTAACTATTTACATTAACATCGCAGCAAAGGCAAGAAAAGACAAGACAAAAAAACAACCCAAGCTTTCCCCCCCCCCCCCCCCCATCCTACAAAGATTACCACTAGCACCAGCACCAGCACCAGTACCTACAACTGGAACTTCTTTCTATCCTTATCCATCCCGCCCTTCCATTCCCACTCAACCCCATCCTTCACGCCTCTCTCCACTCTCCTCAATTTCAACGTAAACCTCGGCCCCAGCTCCTGCAAGCCCACCTTCACATCTCCCTCCATCCCATTACTCCCATTCCCTCCATCCTTCCCGCCATCCTCCAGCCCGTATCCAACCGGTTTCTCTCCCTCGCGGCGGTCGCGGAACACATACCTGTGTCGCCTGAGGAAGATAAAGTCACGCTGGTTGTGCAGCGTAACCACCTGCCTCCCACGTATCTCTGGCTGCCGTGGAAACATCGACTGGAACAGCGACGCTGTTACGCGCCCGAGCGGCGTGAGGAAATTATTCAGGATGAGCTCCGGGATATGCGAAGTTGGGTTACCATGGCCACGGATGTGCTTTGCGGGGGTGTAGTTTGTCAGACTGAAGTGGAACGTGGGCCCTGCCGGGAGGACGATGATTGTGAGGGCATTGAGGATCTTGCGGTCCTCGTTCGCGACGAGGACGTGCGTGTATGGCTCTCTGGGGCTGCCGTCAGCATCGGTGGTCGTCGGTGTAGCGGCATAGGTGCAGATCTCCTTGATACTGTGTGCGTGTGTGCCTGGCCGCCCGCGCGGGATGTAAGTGGCATTTGGGAAGAGCATGGTGAGGTCCTCTGCGGGCTGGTGGACGTGGCAGTTGCGCGAGGTAGTGATCAGGATACGCGGTACCGGGTAGGAGGTCTTTTCTGCCGCGGGGGTTGTCAGAAGCGTGGGGAATAGAGCTTGTGTCTCCTCCGAGTCTGCCTTTGCTGCCTGCTCCTTCTCGCGGGCTGCTAACAGGCGGGCTTCGATCTGTTCTGGTGTTTCAGGCTCTGGTTCTTTCGGCTTCTCGTCGTCCTCCTCCTCCGATTCTGACTCTGAGTCGGCGTCAGAGTCCGTATCCATATCGTCTGAGCTGCGCTTCTTCTTCTGCTTCTTCGGCGGTGATGACGCTGCTGCTTCCGCGGCAGCAGCTTCAATGGCTGTCTCGCGGCGGCCGGGAATTGCGCCCTCAACTCGCTCATCCCATACACGCTTTCGCTCTATGGTAGCGGGGATGTTCGTCTTTATGCGCTTCTCGCGGAGGGAGGGGTCGCGGGCCTCGGCCTTCTTGCGTTCGAAGCGCTCTGAGCGCTTCTGTGAGGCGAGGGCCGACTTGATGCGTACATTGTGGGACTGGCGGTGCAGCTTGTTGGGGATGTTGAATGTGCGGGAGCTGTTTTGGGAAGTTGTGGTCTTCTTTACTGTTCGTGCCATCTTTGCGGTGGATGTAGTGATGTTCTCGGAGGTGAGGTTCAATGTTCGTCGTTGCTGAGACAGCTTTTTTTTCTTCCTAGCGTTTGTGGGATGAAATCTTGGCGTGCATGACGCCCTGCACCCCTCCAACATTTTTTTTCTTCAGTGAACAAAATAGCAACCCGCACAGCCAGACAAGAACAGTATCAGAAAGATACAAATACCCGCAACAATGATCACAGCAACAACTTGGGTGCCCCGCGGTTTTGCGGCCGAGTTCCCCGTTCGCCAAGAGGTCACAGAGGAGGAGTATGAGCGCATTGCAGACCTTGCCCGCCTGCAGCTCGAGGATGCGCAGGAGGACCTTGACGATGCGCGCGCTGAGGCTGGCGAGGAGGGGAGCAAGAAGAGCAAGAAGGGCGAGAAGGATGCCGTGGAAATGAAGGATGCCGATGAGGATAGAGAGGACAAAGAAGCGTCAGTATTTATTGCTTTTATATATTTAAATTTGAATTGCTGATTTGAGTGTGCGGTGGTAGGATCGATGATGACCTCAAGGAGTATGATCTCGAGAACTACGACGAGCCTACAGAAGAGGAGAAAAAGACGGGTGAAGGTATGGGGGATCTCTGGGGATATTGTGAATGTCCATAAATTGGATAACTAATACTCTTTCCGCAGTCATGGGCATGTTTGGAAACATTAAGGGTTTAGCATACTACCAGCCCGGCGAAGCAGATCCATACATCACCATAAACGACGTAAGCCTCCTCCTTACCTGAATTCTAACCTCCACCAAACTGAATATCCTCACGATTCCAATACCCCCACTAACACTCCCCTAGGCCGAAGACGACGAAGAGCGCGAAGAGCTCCAGATCTTTCCCACAGACAACCTCCTCATCGCCGCCAAATCTGAAGATGACGTCTGCCACCTCGAGATCTACGTCTATGAAGATAGCGCCGATAACCTCTACGTTCACCACGATATCATGCTGCCCGCAATTCCCCTCTGCGTTGAATGGCTCGACATCCCAGTCGGCAAGAACCTCACCAACGCCCCCAACGCCCGCGGCAGCTACGTCGCCGTAGGTACCATGGATCCCGACATCGAAGTCTGGAACCTCGACCTCATTGACACTCTCTACCCCAACGCTATCCTCGGCGCCGGCGGTGCCCCCGCCCCCACCGAAATCACCAAGAAGAAGAAAAAGAGCAAGCGCAAAGCCCCCGTCGCGAACGACACCCACCACATCGACGCCGTCCTCTCACTTGCCGGTAACCGTCAGCATCGTAACCTTCTTGCCTCAGCGTCAGCGGATAAGACAGTGAAGCTATGGGACCTCAACACCACGACCTGCGCCAAGTCATACTCCCACCACACCGACAAGGTCTGTGCCCTCGCATGGCACCCCACAAACTCCACCACGCTGCTGTCGGGATCCTATGACCGCACCGTTGTGTGGGCAGACATGCGTGCTCCGGACGCCACGCCCCCGCGCTGGGGACTCGAGAGCGATGTCGAGGACCTCAAGTGGGACCCGCATGACAACAACTACTTCTACGTGTCCACCGAGGGTGGTGCTGTACACTTCTTCGACACTCGTGTTCTCCCGGCGTCACCCGCCGCCAGCAGGCCTGTGTGGACGCTACAAGCGCATGACAAAAGCGTGTCCAGCTTTGATATCTCGCCTGTTGTGCCTGGGTTCCTTGCGACGGGATCGGCGGATAAGACTGTGAAGCTGTGGAACACGCAGACAGAGACTGGGGGCCCGTCGATGGTGTCGAGCCGGGACTTGGGAATGGGAAGGATCTTCTCTACGAGGTTTGCGCCAGATGCGGAGGTTGGGTTTAGACTGGCTGTTGCGGGAAGTAAAGGCGCAGTGACCGTGTGGGATACCAGTACCAATGCTGGTATTAGGAGAACGTTTGCCGGGCGTGTTGCGGCGGTGGCACCGGTCGCGGAAGGGGCAGAGGTGGTGGAGGATAGGCTTGTGGGCGTGGAGGAGAGTAGTGGGGAGAGTGAGAGTGAGGATGGAGAGGGAGAAGATGATGGCGAGGATGCAGGTCCGGATGGGTGGGAGAGTATGGACGAGAAGGATGATTAAACCCAGGTTGGGGTGGGTCCGTGGGAGAGGGATTGTATATAGTTAGCTTCTTTTTTAGTATTCCATAGAGTGAAATCAAAAGTTTTTGCGGTCTTCTTTATATTCTGACCAACATTCATACCTTAAGACATCGTAATAGTATATCCACACAAGTGGGTGGCCAGTGGGTCATGATGTCAAGTACGTCGTAGTGGATTTTCATAGCAGGGTTAGGTTTCCCTAGCCTGCTTTTTCCTCACTTCCTCAAGTATTACTTCCGGCCCTTGACAGTTGTGCGGCGGGTAGTCTAGTGGGTAGATGCCTTGTTCAGCTACACCGTGTGGGTTGACGAACCACCACGACCGAAAGGTTGTGGGTTCAACTCCGGGGGTGGGAGTGGTGCTGTGGTTATATACCTCGCCCATGGGAGACGGAGCCGCTAGTTGGGCCCAGATCGCCGTGGAGGGGTATATGGCGCAGGAATCACTTTTTGTGTATTTATTTCCTGTTTTTTTTTTTTTTTTTTTGAGAGGCCTGAGAAGGAGGGCCTTAGTGGGGTATGTGTGACATTGATTGGAGCTCTCTCTGGCCCGTAACCGCAGCTTCATTACATGTACCGCATTAATTCGTCTCGACGGCCGGTCATACAGGACGTTGAAATTCCCCTATATGGTTATTTGCCTTGAATACGCCCCCCAATCTCCCTCATGCTGACTAGAAGAGGCAACTTAGACGTCTTGTGTGACCGGCCGCTGAGACGAATTAATGCGGTATCTTACATGTAGCTTCTCTCTCAGGAACCCCTTCCATACGCTCGTTCTACCAGACTTGACACAGATGAAACAATGAACAAACATGTGACGATTTAATTTTACCAGTCCCCCCCTTTTTTTTTTTTTTTTTTTTTTTTTTGATTTAGGATGAACAAGTTAAGTTGAGCTGTTGCATACATGTGGACTTGCCAAGCAAGATTCAATCCACAGGATATCACTCGATGCTGCCAAGACCTCACAACCACCCCTAAAAACGAAGATAAAACAGCACTAAGAAGATAAATCTGCTCGTCGACAAAAAAGAAAAAAAATTCGTTGACGGGTTCCCACCTGGGGCGGAAGTTGCTACATCTTTGTATGTATTTACATCCGGAGGGGCTTGAATGTGCACATATAGATGCCATGCATAGTAGATTACACGGAGCCAAAATAAAAAAATTAATTACATATAGGGTAATAAACTTTATCCCAGAATGCGGTAGTCTTTGATCATAATCAGATGCTATAGAATGGCATAATCCCGTTATAATATTATAATGGTTCCTATTCTAGAATAAATTCTAGCTTCTAGCTGGTCTCCTCCCATTACTGCGTACTCTTGTAAATACATATAGAGATTTGTAACAGGGAATGCGGATATGGGGGCATACATCCATGTATTGGGTTCCGAAGTGCTACGTGTAACATTGTTTGAACGGGAAATGACTGATTTATTCTGTATCTAAGTATCTACTAAATACATGTAGTTGTCACCATCACAGCCCAAATTTGATTCTTCCCGCTTTAGTTTGCATTCGCCTTGTAGACTGTAGTTGACTTGTAGTATTTGTAATCGACGTGTAAATTTCAGTCGGCTTGTAGTTTTTAGTCGATTCTCAATTTGTAGTCGACTTGTGGCCGAGATTTTTTACTGCAATGCCCGCCACCAGGCATCTGAAGAGTTATCAGGCCCAGATTGTGAGATGGAAGAGCTCACAGAAGCTTGTAGGTGTTCGTCGGTGATGGCAGCAGATACGTCAGCATCTTTGCGGACCTCAGAAGACTCGATCATCTCGTACCCCTCCCCATCCATCTTGCCCGCCTGGGGTTTGTTCTGGACACCAATGTTAGGGGTCAGAGTATTGGAACTAGTGATGCTGGCTTGAGACCGGGCGAGAGTCCTGTTGGCGCTGCGTTGTCCACGGGCGGTCTCTCTCTCTTCTTGATTCTGGCGATCCGCTTGTTTCTTCAGGTTCATGTGGAGGCGTCTTTCTTCAAACTCTGCTGTTGACTCCTCCTTGGAGACGGACTCTTTCCTCTTGCGGGTGACGGGTTGCTGAGCGGGAGACTCCTTATTGGGGGATGGCTGAGTGGCGGACTCTTGAGCAGAGGGTTTCTGAGTTGAAGATCCCTGTGCGAAAGAATCCTCTCTTTTCCTATCTTCCTCTTCTTTCATAGCCTCTCTCACGAGCTTTTCTGGATACCACAAGAGCTTTCCGTCGGCGCTACGCTGCCCCTGGGCAATCTCGGTGTCTTTCTGGATCTGACGGTTTCGCTGTTGGATATGTTTCTTGTAGAGACGTTTATCTTTCAACTCTTCTGCTGCTTCAAGCTCCTCGGAGGCAGACCGTTTCGCCTGCTCAGTAGAAGCTCCTTCAGCTAAAGATCCTGCAGTGGAAGCCTCTCTTTTTCTAGCCTCCTCTAACTCCAGGGCGTCTCTTTTGCGCTTTTCTGACCACCACAGGAGCTTTCCGTTGGCGTCGCGCTGTCCGTTGGCGATCTCGATCTCTTTTTGCTGTTGCCTCTCCGCTCGGCGTTTCCCATTGAAGATTTCACGACTTTCTTTATAACGGGCCATTTGTTCCGGCGTCCAGCTCTGCTGCAATTTAGCTGCTTTTGACTCGGGTTTTGCTTTACTCATCATCTGGATGGGGGTTTCATCGACGGGAGATTCTTGAACCAAAGAATCTTGGACGGGGGACTCTTGATCTTGGGAATTCGGGGTGGGAGACTCCTGGTCCGGAGAGTCTTGATTTGAAGACATCTGAGTGGAAGATTCGCCTTTTTCTCTGGCCTCAGCCTCTATGGCTGCTCTTTTGAGCTTCTCTGGCCACCACAGGAGCTTTCCCCTAGCGTCGCGCTGTCCATTAGCGATCTCAATTTCCTTTTGTTCTTGTCGCTTCTTTCGTTGCCTCTCATTGGAGGTTTCACGTTTTTCGTTAAAACGGGCTAGTTGCTCCGGCGTCAAAGTACTCTTATATTGAGCTAGTTTTGATTCGGGTTTTTCTTTCGGCATCTGGAATAGAGAAGTGTCATCGATGGGAGACTCCGGGGCTGGGGGTTCTTCGTTTGGAGGCCCCTGATTAGAGGATTCGGCTTCTTCTCTTTCTCTAGCCTCAGCCTCCATGGCTGCTCTTTTTTTGACCTTCTCTGGCCACCACAGGAGCTTTCCTCTAGCGTCGCGCTGTCCATTAGCGATCTCGATGTCCTTCTGCTCTTGTCGCTGCTTTCGTTGCCTCTCATTCTCGATCTGACGTCTTTCTTCGTAGAGGATCAGCTGCTCCGGTGTCAACGTCCTCTTGTATTGAGCTACTTTTGTCTCGGGCTTCCCTTTCTCCGGCATCTGGAATATAGGAGTTTTATCGATGGGGGACTCTTGAGCTGGGGAATCTTGAGCTGGGGAATCTGGTGCCGGGGACTCCTGGTCTGGGGATTGCTGTGAAGATTCGGCCATTTCCCTGGCTTTGACTTCCAATCTCAGTTGTTTGAGCTTCTCTGGATACCAAAGGGACCTTCCCCTAGAATCGCGCCGCCCATCGGCGATCTCGATTGCTCTTTGTTTATGTCGCTCCTCACGGGCACGCTGAATGCTGAGTAGCCAACGAATCTCGGAATGAACTGTCCGTAGCCGCAGCTCCTTAGGTGTGTACTCCCTCGTGTATTTGGCCACTCTTCTCTTGTGTCTGGGCAGGTCCTCCAGCCTCTCGGCAGGAGAATCAGTAGAGAAATCTGGGATGGATAACTCTGGAGTGGGAGATTCTTGGATGGGAGATTGTTGGGTGAAAGACTCTCCTTCTTCGCCAGCTTCTACTTCAATAGATTCTTCGCCCACGTCTAACTCTATTTTAAGCCGATTATATTCACCTCGTAGGCGTGCAATGGTGGCGTTCTCTTTGTCAGCCCGGCATTGCTCATTTCGTTTTAATTTTGCCAGCCAACGCGCTTCATTTCGTTGGACCAGGGCTTCTTCTTCTGTAAGCTCCCTCTTCTCCTCTGGAATATCCCCTTCTTTCTCTCCACCTTTCTCTTCTTCTTTCTCTCCCTCTTTCTCCTTCCCCTTCTCTTCGTCCACCTTTGCTTCATTCACCTCCACTTCGCTTTTCTCCCCCGGTTCTTTCACCTCGCCCAGCTTATTGTTCTCGGTATCCGGAGTGGGAGAGGCATCGTTGCTCACCATCTCTTCGTTGGTTGTTGTCTCTTTTTCGGCCAATCTAGTAAGAGCATCGGTTTCTCTCCTTTTCCGATAGCTCTTGCGAGAACTCTCATTTTTTTTAATACGGGCCTCTTCGAGTCTTGCGAGACGGAGATATTCTTTTTCCTTGAGATAGGCCTCTTCATTTTTTTGGACACGAGCCCTCTCCTTCTCTCTTTCAGCAAGAGCCTGTGCTTGGGCATTAGAGGACTCGGCGGGACTGTCCGAGATTTGGTTGGCAGGAGGGAGATATTTGGTTTTGGTCCGCCTGGGGCGGTCTGTTGGCCCCATCTTGGTTATTGCTGTGAGATGGGGAGATTTGGGGGGGGGGGGAAAGGGGCAAGAAGGTGAGTTTTAGTGAACTTGTTGTATTTGTACCCAGCTGAACTTTTGGGGGGAGCGAAGGAAATACGGTTGTTTTTTTCTGCCGGAAAAATGCCAAGCCCCGGAAATCAGCCATGGGGTGCGTTCCTTAGAAAAGTTCGGAATAGAAACCCTTCGGGAAATGTCTCACATCTTGGTAGCATCGCTTTCATGCTAATCACCAACGTAAATGATGGTGGGAGTGGACCTCTTGCTGTTGCAGGCCTTGAGGGGGAGTGTATGAAGCGGAGCAATCAATGATTGAAGGGATCGAGTGATGCCTCATGATCCTTGTCCTCCTGGCCCAATCCTAGTATGTACATAATCCATCTATGATCTCGAGACTGAAGCTTAGAAAAAGCTTTCAATAGTTCTATGTACGCATGTAATGGCCCTGGAAGAAAAAAAAATAATATTGTTCATCGTGGAATAACACCAATCATAATTAATGAACTAAACAAAAACAAAATAACACCAACCATGGATTATCACTCGTTTAGTTGGGCTCTCAAATGACACCGGGGCTAAGCATTGCATGTGACTTTTGGTTTTACTTTATAGCTAGTTACATGTAAATTAGTACTTACCTACTAATTTCCCTCGAACCGATTCTATTCCTGAAGGGCGTATATAGAACATCGCGTTTGATATAAGTGGGTATCGACCAGCTGGCCATGAAATTATAAAACTGCCTGGACAGCCAAATCCTTATTCTGAAGAATCATGCAACCGAGAAACTCAAGATCTTCTAAATTTAAGAAAAATTTGTGAGGTCCTGGATTTGATCTTTCGGCCATTTTTCCTATCAATCGGAGGCTGTAGAGTGCTGTAGCGAACTGGCGTTGTCACACATGCATTGTAGGTCTCTTTTTACCAAATCGACACCCATATTTGTAAATATACACTTATAATTATTGACATGAATTTCAGAAAATTCTTTATTCCTAACTACCAAAGCAAGGCTGCCACTCAAAATTATTTCAATATTCGGTGCACGCATTAGAATAAAGAATCTAGACTAACTACATACAGTGACTACGTATAATTTCCTTTGGGAAATCGCAGCATTTTCTCATTTTATGCAGGTTTATTATAGATGCTGCACTATGTGTGGTTTTTTTGACATTGCAGATGAAAACTCGCAATGCCTAGGATCTCTAGAGCCTAGATCTCATGATTGCAATTGCGCTGTTTTCGGGAACGGAGCACTCAAGAGTCTCCGATCACCTTATCCCCAGCATGGATAGTACCTTGTGCCTCACAGCCTCCACCCCCTGCGCCATGGACCTGCAAAATTTCCTCACTTTTGACCACCACCTGTGGCTCCGCCTCTACCTCCCCCTTCAGTGCATCCATTTTGCCAGCAGTAAGACCCATCCCCGTATTCCTCGCTTCTCTTTCTGCCTCCCGCTTTTCCTTCCGAAACTTCTTTAACTCCACAATAAACGCCGCTTGCCCAATCGCATCGCAATGCCCAGCAGCAACCGCAAGAGCACGCAAACTGTTCCTATACCGCGCCGTCCTAGCTCTTTCGTCCTTCCGCACCTCGGTGAGCGTGTCTGGGCTGTAGGCAGACCGGGGCCGGAACTCTTTGAGACGGCCGGAGGGATAGCGCTCGCGGAGTTCAATTGGTGGCTTCTGGATCTTCATTTTCGAGTTGGGGCGTCGCTTGAGGGTGGGAGTAGAGGTAGGTAAGACAGTGTCGTTAGGTGGCTGCTTAGATTGGGCAGATATGTCTGAGACTGGTGATTGCTGCAGGGCCACATCTTGCTGTAGGTCGATTGCCCCTTCCCTCAGGGTTGGGTCCATATCTTCCACTGGGGTTGAACGCATTTTCCTATACCAAGATGCGAGTGAGTGCGAAGACTTAGATACGATACATGCATAACATACCTATAACATCCGTTCAGGTAGTGGCTGGGGGTGGGGGTGAATTTTCTGTATAGCTGTATACCAGACGTCGCTCAGACCAAGACTTTTAGTGAGTACTGGTGGTATGGTGAAAGTTTAGACTAAAGGGATGGGTGAGGAGAGAAGCGGGATGACTGTATTTGCTACTCTTTCCACTAGCCCTCAGAGCCTGGAGACGCATAAAGACGTTCATTCTATGAGGCCAAGGTTATGTTGCATCATTTATAATCACTCGGATTTTGTATTTTAGTAATCTTCATGGACATGGAAGTGGGCAGTTCCGCAAAGTTTTGATTCATTAGACGTGAGAGGACAGAGAACCAGTAGTATGCTGCTGCGATGTAGCACCCCATCAGGTCAGTCCACCGGCCTAGAATTCCTCTTTCGTGATCGATTCCTACCACTGTGACATGTCAGCATAATTTTCGATTTCTAAACATGATAGTCACGGAGACTAGCACTTAGTGTTTTTTACGACACTGTTTGAGAAGAATTAAGATACGTTCCCCTGTCTCGTCTTGTCAGTTCCAGATCCCTTAATTCGGGGTCAATGTTTGTAATTAGGCCAAGGCCCAGCAAAAAGGCTTCTATACCTCTCCTTTAATCCTGCTATTCAGATGTTGACCGATAAACGTTTTTAGACTCTTGGTCTTGCTCTATGATGCTTGAGGATTTGGTACAGCTCAGGAACGGCTAGCATAGTGAAAGATCGGGGAGAACTGGGCTGGTGAGCAGCTTGATGCTAGTAGGGGATGGGTACGCGACTAGAGAGAACTAGGCTTCCTATTAACGGCTTTACTACTAGTACTTACAACACTATAACCTAGTAGATTTCAAGCGGAAAATATCTGGTGTCGAGCTATTTGAGACAGACTTTAACACGGTTTTTTTTTATAGTGGAAGTATCTGAATATGGCGTCATGATCCCACGTACTACCTAGCCCTCAACCGCTCCGCTTCCAAACCTGCCCGATATCCTAGTTAAGATCGCATACATCTCACCAACAATACCTACTTCAAAGAACCACTCCAGACTTCTGAACCTATCTTGATGTTACTGATACAACAGTGGTGTTCCAGGCTTAGGTACGGGGCGAATCAATGCTCGAGAAGTTCGAATGTTAAATGAGGAATTAGCTTCATGGTCATGATAGATTATCACTCACCGAGATAGCGTAGAAAACCTAGGATCAAGGCACAATCAAATCCACATCCTACTTTATTCAAAGTAATAATTGTTAACAATATTATTCACACAGATCTCCATTTGTCCTTTCCGAGTGGTCCACTTAATATATTGGTGTTAAGATTGGCACGCTCCTCAACAGTACTATAGAGCATAGAGTATAGTCATAATTGGTTTTCAACTTCCCGAGCAGCTATGGCAACAGAATGATCACCATGAAAAATTTATAAGTTAGAGAAAAGACTGTGTTAATCGTTATATATAACGCTAAGAATAAAGAAGAATACTAAAATAAAGTTAACAATCAAGTGCTACTGTCGTACCAGACCAACAGATCAACCATTTGATGGTTCCTCGTCATCGCGATTTTAAGCAAGGAGATTCCTCGGGCTGTCTCAATATTGAACTTGGCTCCATGACTCAGGATGGTGTGAACATGCCTGCTGAATCCTCTTATGACCGCTTTCTCCAATACGGTTTCACCCTCAGCATCCTCCAGCTCAGCATCGGCTCCACCATCAATCATTATCTTATACAACTGCGGATTCCCCGCAGCCGCAAACAAAACTGTTTGGCCAACCTCCAAAATCCTGTCAAAGGGCTCCGTAGCCGCCAACAACCGAAAATTAACCTCCGCCCCACCAGCAACCAACAGCTGACAGATCTCGGCCGCATGTTGTCCCGGTGCCGTTAACGCCTCAATCAACGCAGTCCTCCCATCCGCATTCACCACATTAACGTCGGCGCCCCACTTCAGCAGCAATGAAACCAGACCTGGAGAGGACCCGCTTCCTCGGCCCAGAGCTGCCCAGTGCAGTGCCGGTTTGGCCCGGTACATGAACTGGTTGCTGAGGCGATAGAGGTTCGGATCTGCACCTGCGCTGAGCAACACCCGGCAGATGGCCATGTGCCCGCCAATAACGGCCCAGATAAGCGGTGTATAGCCGGCATTGTCGGTACAATTTAGTGCGGCGCCGCGGGAGACAAGAAAGCGTACCATTTGCAAACCACCATTACAGGCTGCGATTGCGAGTGGTGTGCGCTGGGTTTGGGCCTCGGGGCAATTGATAAAGTGGCCAAGGGCAAGAAGGTAAGACGCGAGAGGGATATGAGAGCGCTGTGATGCCCAGATGAGAGGAGAACTACCATCAGAAGGATAGGCAGCATATTCGTAAAGAAAGAATGTGTAGGCCCTTTTTAGAGCTGCTGAGGTACGAACGAGGGATCCAAGATCATAAGGTTCCAAGTTTTTGGCAATAAGGGCGTGAATCTCGGGAGGAAGGAATGAAAAGCCCATGATAGGAATTATGCAGTTGCTTTTTTTTGTACGTAGCGAGCGAGCTTCAACTACTTTTTTTGTTTGTTTACCTCTCGAATGTAGGTGGTTGTTTTGGCCAGTGGTGACTGGGGACACCTACAAGGGTCTCTTAGCAACTATGGGTGAAAGTACAGTGAATTTAAACAAAACAATACGTTTGTAAGGCTTGGATTAGATTGAATGGGGCGGCAAATTATCCACCCAAGAGTAGATACACGATAAGCTGTGCACAACGCCAGTACCAATTAACATGTCGACCCCAATTATTACAACTACACTTCACTTCAAACATTTCCTAGAGCTCTCCTTACTCCCTCCACTCTCTCTCCCTCCACCCACTTCAGAGCTTGGGTTTTGACGCATAGACCCATGATTCAGATAGAGGAGGGAGTTGAGCGCCAAGAACCGAGTGATGGCCCATGACCAAGAAACTCAGCTAACGAGTGACCATGACTCAGTGCAGACTTGAGATTGAAACAAAATGTATGTGGATAAACTTATAGATCGATTGTAGAAAATACTCGCCCCCAACTCTCGTGTGAGTAGCTACCTACATCCCCTCCACTCTCGATCCCAATAAACACGACTAATGGTCATGTTTCTGACCGAATTATAAAAATACCTGCTGTCCACTTCGAACGTTTACACCATCTAAACTAGGTAAAACTCACCGCAGCCCACTGATGGTTGAGTGCTTCTACATGCAATGTAAATCAGAGCATTTATTCATCGTTCAATATCGGTGATGTTCATGAGCATTCGTGGATGGTGAATGTTTGGGCAAGCTAAAAGGGCATCAGAGTAGCGTTTCCCTTGGTGTAAACCGTGCCTGCCAACACCTCTTAAGGATTTAAAAGCCATATCATGATTACATCCAACGAGGCAGGCACCGGGCGATATCATGGCTTCTCTAGGTCATGGAAAACTGCTTTTATTTCTTTCATCTACACTTGCCCCAATTACAAATGGGATTGATAAATAAAAAAAATATAGGCGGACATAGAAAAAAAAATAAAAAAAATAAAAAAATAAAAAAAATAAAAGAAAAATAGAATAAAAAAGAAAAGACTCCAGAATAAAATAATTGTAATGATGACTAAGATATCTTATCCGCATAAGTTGGCATAAAGGTGGGGGCATAAGTTCGTGTTAAACATGATAAAAAAAGACATCGCCGCACAAGATTACCATGCCGGATATTTGTCCGGCATGTAAAGAAATAAATAAAGCAACCCAAAAATTTTAAGTCCCACCCCTGGCCACCAACCTCTTCAACAACAACTGCTGTCTGTCGGCTTCTCTCTTCCCAATCTCTTCCAGCAACCTCAATTCCTCTTCAACGTCCGTACAGCCACCTTCCGAGTCCGTGTCATACCCTTCATGCGTTACCACATCAAGCTCTGTGTCTGAGTACGGCCTCCACTGCTCACTCACGCTTGGCTCACAACTCTCAATTCTCGCCTGCTTCTTAACCTCGATCTCCTCATTGAAGCTCCTCTCCATCGCATGCAACTTCTCGAGCGCGAGCTGCCGCCTTTGCCTCAACGCTGCAGTAAAAGGATCGTCTTCGCCCCATGATACGGTGGAGGCAGAGTATATACTGGTCCTATCATCGTCGTCATCTTCATCATAGTCCGTATCATCTGGTTCTGTATCGTCTTCTTCGAACTCATCATGATACAGCTCCCTCTCCCGGCCTGAAGGGTCGTTCTTAGTGATCCTCGCCATCCTATTAGCAGAAGCTAGCGCCGGGGGCACCGCAAACGCGAGCAGCTCCTTCGGAGGACGCAAAGGCGTTCCCCGTGTTGAGTAAGATCCCTTCGCCGATAAGCGCTCATGCGAGTGATTAGAAGCCCACTCTTCGCTGACAGCTCCACGTGCCTCCATCAGACCTGCGCTACCGTAGCGCTTGGCAGGAGAGCGTTTCTTGAGCATTGATGCGGGGAGCGGTGACGCGCTGACTGTTCGCCGGAGTTTTCCAAGCTGCGGTTTCGATGTTGAGGGTGTCGCAGTGGCTGCGAGGCGGGTACCCCATTTCTGGGCGTTTGGAGAGAGTGGCGGGGTGGGCAGGCTGGTTGCCCAGTACATGGTTCGGAGGAGGGATTGGGGGAATAGTGGTAGTGGAGATTTATGAGGCTGGTCTTTTTCTGGCCTAGAGTTATGAGAGGTTGTGGAGCCAGGGCGAGAGGTGGGGAGAGGTGTGTGCGCGGCCACCTCGAGGTTGATGCCGGACTCTCTTACAGGTGCTGATGATCTCCGAGTGGTACGGGAATCGAGGGTGTCTTTCCTTGCCAACGAAGAAAAAGATAGTGAAGTGTCGAAGCCCGATTCAGACTCTGTCCCCCATCTTTCTTGTTCTTTCCGGCTCTCTCTCTTCTTTCCTGTTCGGTTTGCGGGCCCTCGCTTCAAATTTTTGGATGTTGCTTTTTGTTCCCTCGATACAGGGGCCTCATTTGGTTTTCTTTCGAATCTTCCGGACGATGAAGTGCTAGCTGTTGTGGGTCGAGGAGCTTTCAGTTCACCACCGAATTGGTCGGAGTCCAGACCATGCCGTTGTCCTAATGCTGATCTTCTGGATACCCTTCGCGAAGTAGAAGAATCTTCACGCTCAGTTTGTTGCTTCTTCGTGCCTTTGGTGGTGTCATCTACGTCACCTCTACCTCGCGATTTCTCTTTAGGTTGTGGGGATTGTGCGGGACAGCGTGCAACAATTGCGTTTACACGTGCCGAAAGATGCTCTAAATAGCCAGGCGGCACCGAAGAGCTACTAGACGAAGTAGAGGCCAACGTTGAGCGACTGTCTTGGGTAACCTTCCTGGATTTCAAATCTGAGATCCTCGTTCCCGAGAAATCACTTCCCCGGGTCAATCGGCCCTTAGAGGAGCCCACCTTATCCGACTGAGACATAGCTCCGAGAATACTACCATCCCACCCCGAGTCCTTATCGTCTGTCGATATCTCTTGGTCCTCCAACTTCGTTGTGGGGAGTACCAGCACTGGGTGTTTCTTCTTCGATGTTTGCGGTCCTTCCATGCTGTTTCCGGCAACCTTCTCTACTTTGTGCACAGACCTCGAGATTTCCTGGGGTCGTCTTTTAGTTCCGGGTGTTCCCGATCCTACCCCAACTAGTAGTCCCCTTTCTCCAACATCAACGAGAATCTCAACGGTATCCCTGATAGCATCAAGGTCCTTTTCACAGAACTTGCGTAGATCTAGCCTCTCAAGTTGTCGTCTCTTTCTTTCCGTTAAATATCCATTCCGGCTACCTGCAATGCTACTCACAAGTAGCTTCATATTCCTGAGCTTCGTTGCAAAATCGGGTACGGTGACGTCCACAAAGGGCACACGCTGGAAGGTTGGATTGGTCTCATAGAGAGCTACAAGGAGCGAAGGTGTCACATCGAGGAGATTCGTCAGCCTCGGAAGGCTTTTGGATGATAGGAGTGTGTTAAGGCGATAGAGGAGGGATAGGTCTGTCGAGGATAGCGGTGGTTAGCGGTAGCAATCACCAATTTTCTTTTTGAGGGGGCTATTAACCGTCTGGAGATTGATCGGAGAGGTAACTGTCGGAGAGAGAATCGAGACTTGTACGGTCGAGATTCTTATCGATGTTGTTTTTTAACATCTCCGAGATTGAACCATGGAAATGTTAGGTAGTCGGTCGGTCGAGCTCGTTTTCTTGCCTGCCGGGTCTCGAGGTGTTGTTGTCGTTCGTTGGCGGTTGCTAACGCCACGCTAATGCGGGCACTGCCTAGTGGAACCGACCAATCAGCGGCCTCGACCATCCTTGTAACGATTCCTTCAATTCCTGATCGATTGATCGGCCGGTATGAACGTATTATTATTAGTGCTTGTAGCTACTCTAGAGAGCACCTATTCGGCTTCGTTTCGCTACTAAAATACAAGCAATTCTCTCATAAGGTTTTGATCGATTCAAAAACTTGGCACAAAGACCGGTCCCCTTCGGCCAAATTAGGGGTAGCCATGAGCCGGGCCAGAGTGGGATGTTTTAGTGTTGAGCTAGAGTACCTACAGCACTTTCTGGGTCCATGGCGAAACTGTAAGAATACATGTAACTACAGTCGCAACTCGATATGCCGGATTGCCAAGATTCGAAGGATTTCATACGGGATAGCAAAAAATCCGGGATAGCAAATTAATTTTGCAGTAAAAAAAACCAAAACCCCAGAGGATTTCGTACGGGATAGCAAGGGATCCGGCGTATTGAGATCCGGCATATCGAGTTGCGACTGTACATGTAACAAGTACACATATAGAGCGACTTTTGCAAGATAAGGAAAATAGATGAAGTGACTTAGACAGCAAACTGACAGGCCCTGAATCTTCCTGTCAATAGGACAATACCGCCTCGATAAACACGATTGTGTGACTACATATAATTATGATAGGCGGGACCATATCAACGGAGGAAACAGGGCAAAGAGCGATAATCCTGATCTTGCACAATTTATCCGGCTGGTTTGGTCATTCGTCATTGACCCAAAAAATACTGTACCTACGTCTCGTACAACCCAAAGTACAATAGGGTATGTACAACCTGCCACAGACTGGTCTTATGCATGCGCAGCTGCAATCACACAAGACACCTCGCAACCATGATAGGTGCATATGGTTGATCGCCGGAAGTGATCAAGTCACGCAGGTACATTCATATTAAAGTGAGTTTTTGAGATCTTCCTCGCTGGCCGTGTTTCAATTCGCACGAACAATGCTGAAAGTGCTGAGAGGCTGGTGTTACGGTAATGAAAGGGCAAGGATTATTACACCCTTTCGTAGATCATCTACCAAGCCTTACATACCGCTCGCCTCAGAGGTTACCAGAAACCGCACCGACTCTATGTGATACAAACACAGACCGCTTTTTCGATTACTGCTTTCGGCTCTTAATTATTCTACCTCAATAATCCCCTTACTAGCGAAACTAGCGAAAGCAGATGCATCAAAGACGTGGAGTAAATCTCAAAAGTATGGGTGTAATATTTGGTCGTTTTCTGAACGCCTCATTGATATAGCAAGCGCGCGGAATTGTTTGTAAGTGAATTAAGGGGTGAGTCTAAAATTAAATAAAATGTTAACGAATAAGAAGCTTGTGAAGGTCTGAGATTTGAGAATACATAGTTCCACGCCGAAGCTCTAGCTTTAGTTCCAAGGTCGATAAAATTTGGCTGGGCATCTCAAGAACAAAACCTAAAACAATAATAAGTACATGTGATTATAGATATCAGGGCAAGGGCTCTATCTCTTGACCATAAGATTGAAATCAATGTATGTAGGGACACGTTCCACCATGAACTGTAAAGCGTTTTGGTGCTTTATTGTTTTCTTTTGCTTTTGTCTTTCCATATAAATCTATATAAGGGAAGTATTTAGGCTCGGGCAGGAGACACAAAGAAGCTTCTAGTTGATAAATCCATATAAAAAGAAATTGATCCCGTCCATCTGTGCGCTATTTAAAACCAGAAATCATAAGGAAAATACAAGGTCTTATTTTAAAGCCCTCTAAAACTCTTTTCTTCGCCCATCTCCTTCGGTTCCAGCGGTTTCTTCTTCTCCTTTCCCCATCCAAACTTCGTTGCCAACTTCCCATATTCTCCCCTCTGTCTCTCCGTGACACTGGGCCTAACACCACACCACGCACTCTCGAAATCTTCCCATGTGACCCGGACCTGTCCAACAGGAACACTGACCACCTCGCTACCCGAGCCAATATCCTTTAAGCAGCTCTTGCGCAGCGCACTCACACTCGCTTCTCTGACCAGAGCTGCTAGATCAGCTCCCGAGAAGTTCTCGCAGCGGGCATCTTCACCCAGCGCCTTGAGGTCTACGTTTTCAAGTGGACACTTCTTTGTAATTGTTCCGAGAATGTCAACTCTCTCGGCGGGAGTGGGGAGGTCAACAAAAAGTGGTTTGTCGAGACGTCCAGGACGCAGCATGGCCGGATCAATGACGTCAGGACGATTGGTGGCTCCAATGACATAGATACCCTTCCTATCGTTCAATCCGTCCAGCTCCGTCAACAAGGTGTTCACCACCCTCGCACTACTTTCTGACAGAGCCTCGTCTCGTCTCGGGACTAGAGCGTCCAGCTCGTCAAAGAAGATGACGCAAGGAACACTTGCCCTTGCCCTAGAAAATACTTGCCGCACAGCACGCTCAGACTCTCCGACATACTTATTCAGCAGTTCTGGCCCACGGACAGATATGAAATTTGCGCGAGACTCATTGGCGACGGCCTTCGCCAGGAGGGTTTTACCGCACCCAGGAGGTCCCCAGAGGAGTACTCCGGTAGGTGCTGTGATACCCACTGAAGCGTATAGCTCGGGCCTTTTAATTGGTTGAACGATTGCCATCTGCATTTCGACGCGGATAGGGCCAAGAGCGCCGATGTCAGCCCAGGTGACATCGGGAACGGTGGCAAAGCCTTCACGCTTGGAAGAAGGCTGGATCTTGGGGAGGGCGGTGAGGAAGTCAGGTAGAGTTATTGTCAGAGGTTCGAGTTGAGAGGGTGTTAGTGTTGAGGGGTAAGCTTTTAGGAAGCTTTGAATGATGCTAGTCACGGGAGCGTTTTCCTCATGAGGGAGTGTCTCAGTGAGAGGTGCGGGGACATGAGGTTCAACGTCAATGTCCATTCCGTCGGCAGTAGTATTATTTGGCGTGATTTTAAGGGCTTCGGTGCCGGGGTTGGTGAGAGGTGTTTTAAGATTTTCAAATATCCGCTTCATAGCAGATGTGCCAGCTTCTGCAGTAAGAGAATTGAGATCCGCGCCTACAAAACCAGGTGTCATCTTTGCAAGGGCCGCAAAGTCGAAATCGCCACTGAGGCGAAGTTTTTGGGATAATACCCGGAGAATTCTGGAAATGATCGTCAGTGCATGTTTTCTAGAAAGTCCGAGTGATGAAATCATGATTCATACTTTTCTCGCCCAATTTCATCGGGCACATTGAGACAAATTTCCCTATCAAATCTTCCTGCCCTTCTCAATGCAGGATCCAAGCTATCGGGTCTGTTTGTGGCACCGATAACCATGACAACCTTTCCACCAGTCTTTTCAAGTGTAAGATCGTCCATACATGTCAAAAGTTGCGCAACGATTCTTCGTTCCATCTCCCGCTGTGCGCTCTCTCTTTTTGGTGTAATAGCATCGATCTCATCCATGAATACCAAACAAGGTGCCTTCTCCCGTGCCTCATCGAAGAGCTCTCGGAGCTTCTTTTCAGATTCTCCTGACATTCCAGACACTATCGATGGCGCCGAAACTGCCAGGAACGGCAGACCTAACTCTCCAGCCATGGCGTTTGCCAGCATTGTCTTTCCACATCCTGGGGGGCCGTGGAGTAGGACACCTCTAGGGGGCGACACACCGGTGTGGGCGTAGACCTCCGGGTGGGTCAGTGGCATTGCAATGAGCTCGAGGAGATCATTTATTATGTCGTCGACACCGCCGAGATCCTTGAGTGTAATGTTCTTTGGGGGCGTGCGGTCTTCTGTGGAGGTGCTTGACGCTTTTACTCGCTTCGTGGTTTCGCCATCCTTTACGGAACGTTCCTTACGTTTTCTAACAGGCGGGGTAGCTGTTTCGGGGGCTACAGAAGAGGCGCGCTGGGTCGCGGCGGGGGTTGTAGAGGTTGGGGATGCTGTCGACTCTACGGTGGGGGTCGTAGTCGTTTTTGTGTCCCACATATCCACAATCTTCTTATTGACCGCATTTGTATTCTACCAGCAGTCATTAATACCTTTGGCACATAGAGTAAGTTCGACCCGGGGAGTATTCTCACTGTGGGTTCCATAAGCCCCATCTCATTCAATCCCTCGAAATCCGAATCGATCTCGTCTCCGTCGTCCTCTTCGCCCTCCTCTCTGAGAACCTCAATTGCCTTTTCGATCATCTTTTCTACGTTGAGCTTCTTTTGCCTCGGTAAACTTCCATCTGCGACGATATACTGGTACAGCTTCGTTACTGATAATCGTAGTTCCCCCGAGCTCGTTCCATTCTGTTCTTCTGCGAGCGCTACCTCGTCGACATACCGGCGGACTAGAACCAAGACCTTCTTCTCGAGGTCCTTCGTGAGGGATCTGTAGTGCGGCATTATTTCCGAATTTCTCGAGTGCCCGTTGCGCTGAGAAAGCAAATAACGTCGCCAATGGTAAGATGTCGCTTTCCCAAAAAGTTTTCTGTGGGCAAGGCAGCGGCTCTAGCTTGGTGTGGAGCGTGCATGGTTTAGCCCCACGCATCTTCACGTGACACATGCATGAAAATGTTTCTTCCTCAAAAAAAGTTATCACTAAGCCTACTACTACCACAAAAGAACCAACCATCTCCCACTCTTTCAACCACCAACCCCAGAACATATAATAGCCAAAGATGGCTGTATCAGCGAACTCGGTGTCGCTCTCGGCTCCATACATCATATTTCCACTATCCCAACCTCTACACCAAACCCGTGCAAAGGATAGAGAGGGTGGCACATACCGTGTGTGCTTCACCTCGTCCGTCGAGTCCACAAAGAAGCGAAAACGTAATGCGCAGGAGATTGCGGTCGCAGTGGATGGAGAGGGCGTTAATATCTACGATGTATGTGCCAATTGACCTCTCCATTCCCCTGGCTGTGGGTTGTTGACGGGATTTCTTTTCCTTTTCTCTCGACAGGTTCGTGCTACGCAGGTAATATCTACATATGCGCTGCCGCCTACCACAAAGTTTTCCTGTGCGCCTACGTCCTCGTTCACCCGCGGGGGAAAGAAAGCCACAGCTTTTGGGAGGAGGACTTATGCGGCTGTGTCAAGTCCTAAGAGGGAGATCCTTTGCTGGGAGGAACAGAGTGTCTCGAGCGATGACGACAAAGCTGAGGCAATCAATGTCTTGTCTCGCGGGTCAGACTCAAGATCTGACGTAGTTTACCTCCAAGATCTGCGGAAACGAGGAACAGAGGGCGGCTTGGTTGCCGTATATGCGGATGGATATGTGCGCTGTTTTTCTTCGGATCTAAAGGAGCAGAAGTGGGAATTTTTGGCACAGACTTTGGGTGCTGCGAAGAAGGTGGCAGTGGTATTTGCGGCGACCACTACTTTGACCGTGGCGAAGAAAGCGCTACTGAAGGATCGTCTGGATATTGTGCTTCCGACAGCTGTACCCACTGAGGAAGAGGCCCCCGAGGATGCAGTTCTTTTCACCGTGACCCGTAATGGATCTATCTTCGAGGCAAGGGTTTTTACAATTCCCACTATTGGGGAGAACAAAACCCCTCGTGAACTCCTAGTGCTCCCTCTTCCAGGCACCGCAGACGAAGAACTCGCATCCTTCTCAATTCACTTCCCCACTGCGACACTGGACCTTCTCACTACGGAGAATCTAACTACCTTCTCACTCTCAGCTACAGTTCCGGCAGTGCTATCTTCCCTTAAGATCGCATCCAACTCTAAAGACGATCCTACTCCGTCCTCTCTGCTTCGAATCTCTTCATCAACTGTACTGGTTGCCACCAATGAGGATATCTCACTTTACGATACCAAGTTTACCTCTCTACAAGCCCGCGTCCCGATACAACCTTCCACGGGTGTTAACACCCCTGCAACATCACGCGCCTCAACCCCCGCCTCTACCGTTAAGGGCGGTGTTGCACTATCTTCATATCTGCCAGATCTAGACCTCGCAGTTGGATATTCCCAAAACGGTATAGCAGCAGTACAGCTCTCCCGCGCTGGTGTTAAAGGAGATGCCCGCAAGTCCGGGTTGCTCATTGACTCTCTCTGTCGTGGTGTTGGTGTCGATGCTCCTGCAGACGTGAACAAAGCGGGGCGAACTGCAGCAGCAAAACAAATCGCATCAAAACTATCGGCCGAGAAGACGAAGATGGATGCTGCATTGGCCAGACTTAAAGATGCAAAGAAGGACCTTGACTTGGAAGCATTCGAATCCACTTTTGCAGAGTACGTAAGTATCAAAAGGAATATGCAGGATGTGGATACGACCATGACAAATGGTACCTCAGCAAACAACGCGCTCCCGGAGTTTTTTGCCAAGACTACTTTTAAACCTTTACTTCACGAGTTCGTCAGCACAATCATCTCCCTAATATTTGAGCCATCTGGGAATGAGGTGGGAGGCCTAAAAATCACTTTCTACCCACCCAATGTTGTAAAATACCTCGCCGAATCTGGAAATCTCTCCAGTGCCCCTCCAGGGCTAGTAAATGCACTCGCGACCTACGATCCTACCCTCCGTTCCCTTGAATGGGCACTCTCAACAGTTTCCGAGTTGAAAATTACCGAAGTGGCCGCTGCAGTCAGCACCGCGCTCCGCGCCCCAGAAGCTGAAGAAGACCTTGCACTTAAAGTCATTCGCTCTGAAGTCCTTCGATTAGCCCTCGTAAGGCTCGACACATTCCCCGCCTCCTCCCTCATTGCTACTTTCAAATCTCAATTTACTGGAGACGATCTTGCAGCTCTCATAACACTCCTTCGCGGCGAGCTATCACTCTATGATTACGAACACGATGATGACTTTGATGCCCCAGAAGTCGCCGTCAGCATCAGTGACGTTGGCATTGCGTCATCCCTGCTCACCGCTGCCCTTGACACAGTCGGCATATCCGGCCTCATCCTTCAAGACGGTGCCGACTCCCTCGTAGGCTCACTCTATGAGGAAGTAACAGATGCCGTAGACGCCGTTGAAGAAGCTGCTGGTTTGAAAGGAATATTGGAGGAAATGTTCCGCCACGCTGAATGGTCTTCCCCATCTACTCTAAAACGGAGAGTCGAGATTAGAGGTACCGCTCCAACTGCTCCTCCCAATGCTCCTGCATCTATCATGGAAACACCGAAACGAGAGGGTGGGAAGGTGCCTGAGACACCTAGCATGCAGCTTCTCAGGAGTGCGATGAAAGCACGAGGAAACGTGAGCGTGAGGAAGGGTGCATCTCCAGGGCTTCTCAGGACTGTTTTGGAGACACCTCGCCCATCTGAGAGGACTGGAAGTAGTGCTTTATTACCGCTTGGGCTGTCGCCTGTACCATTGGGCCGAGAAAATAAGGTAGAAGGGTTGCCTTTGGAGGTAGGGAAGAGGGAGACAGATAGGAAGAGAGCGAGGGAGAACGGAATGAGGAAGAGTTTGGTGCTAGGTGTTTATAGTGTTGAGAGCATGGTGATTTAAGCAGTAGGTGGCCTTGGCATGAGGACAGGTTAATTGATTTACACTAGTTGGGGAGTCAATAGATAAACAAAAGCATGTGAAACTTTGGGTAATTATGTAGATTCATATTTCTTTTTCTTTCTTTCTCTTAAAACAGCCGAGCTTATGCTCCATGATATATCCTCGGCGATTGATGTGCTTGTGCCTTTCGACATAGGTGGTGTTAAGTGAAATACAGTAAGGAAAAGAGAGCATAAAAGGAAGATTACTCACCGTTTCACTTTCTCAAAGCTTTGAAGTGCGGCCTATCGAGGATGTAAGATTGCACATACGATCCTGATTTGACAATAATATCCAAACATCAACAGTCACTCGATAGGCTTCGAAATCTCAGTAGAGAGTAGCGTATTCATGAGGCATCACTCGTGTCTTGGCGGCTTCCACAACAACTGCTTTTCTGGAAAGTTTAATTTTGGGTACATACTTATAATGCGAATCGCCCATGTAGATAACCACTTTGAGGTACTAAGTAACATGCGCGAAAATTGACATGGCCAAGACAATTAACATCTTATCTCATGCTTGATTGTTAAATCAATGGTGTCCCTCATCTACGTACTCCGAGGAGAGCCATATAATTCAGTTGCATGGGGGGAAGAAACAAGCCCGAGCTCCCTTATAATAAGCGGAGTGCATTATCACCGCCTTAAGTAGCCCAGCTTACAGTATGCCTTTCTTCACTGTCTTGCATCTTTGCTTATGTGGTCACTATGGCAGAGGGAATGAAAATAACACTAATTCGCTTGCTAAAATAAAAACGCGCATGATATCCAAATGAGAAAAAACACGCCCAACAGATAAGAAATGAATACAAAAGACAACCGCTCTATGATCCATAATCTCCACTTCATCAGACAGAAACATTGAATGTGATACCAGTCACTCCAACATAGCTGCTGCCTAAAGCCACGATGATAGTGCGGTCTAACACAAACCCCCATGATATACCAAGACAAAAGGAATTGAATGGAGTGAGAGTAGTACATAGGAAAACAGTTGAAGGGAGAGAGAAACTGGTAAAAGAAAAAAAAGGCCACAGGCACCGATCTTAAGGATAAACAAGAAAATATTGTGTTAAGAGAAGGTTACGAAAGAAAAAGGAAGACCTCAAAATCCCTGATGAACCTAACTCCTAGAACGACATAGAAAATAGTGCGTAAGTGCCGCTCCGTCCTAAATGTATCTTCCCATCACCCAACCAAGAACGCTTAAAAACACCCATCATCCCACTCTTCCGCATTCCTTACTGAAACGATTTCTCCGCCTTTCCCGTTCCTTGCCTCCTCACAATAACCCTCGCCCTTGTTTTTGTAGTATCTCTCCATAGGATCTACTCTTTCCTCATCAGCATCTCCAAACTCACTATCAGCACCAAACGTTTCCCAATTTTCACTGCCACTGCCACTCGTCAATGTTGTTGAAGAGGTGAGTGAGAGCTTCCGTGCCATAGAGTCTATAGAGCTCCCTGACATGTCCCTGCTGTGTGAGTTGTAGCCATTGTTTTGATTCGACGGCTGAATGTGTAGCTGCTTCTGGCGAACTCCCTGCCTAGGATCTCCGTCTTCAGGTGACACAGAGCGGATGCTGATTTCACTTCCAGCCCGGGCTCTCTGTAAGGTCTTGGATGGCTGGGAGAATAGCGACTGCATTTTCGGAGTTGTGATGTTTGACAACGGAGGCGTTTTACGCTTGATGGTGGAAAATCGACCAACAGTCTGAGTTCCTTCTTTTATATTATGGCTTCCCTCGGGCAATCTATTTTCCCTCATGGAAGCCTTGGATGGTGACCTATTAATACCATTAAGATTACTAGCACTGTTGCTGTTCGTAAGGCCTATACGATTTCCAGGGCCAGGTGTTTTTGCGCCCGATCTATGGACAATACTTTCTTTGGATGATGCCGTTGCCAGCGCTCGGCCTCCAGATCTACCGACAGTAGCGCTCATGCTGGCGCTGTAACCATGGGAAAGATTGGTACGATCTGCTGTAGGAGTCTTGGATCTCAAGGGCAATGCGCTTGGAGTTTTCGGCCTTGTAATTGGCGTTGTTGCTGTCCTTGTAGAATTGGCGACCCTCGAAAGAGGACGGGGAGTGGCGCCTGCTGTATTTGATCTCGGTCTTGCAGGTGCCGGTCCAGGCGTTCTAGCACCAGAGCGTGATGGAGGTGCGACACTCGAACTCATCAAAGTCTCAAGATAGTTCTCCCCTTTGACCGTGAATGGCTCGCCGTATTCGTCTTCCCATTGCTCAAGTTCTTTCTTCAATTCCATTTCAACTCGAGGGAGATCCTTCGCAATTCGTTTCCGCATCTTCTCTTCACGAAGGAGACGACTCGGGTCACGGGTCCCTCCATTTCCACGAGAAATAAGGCGAGACGCATCATTGGCAGTGGTCGCAAGTATCTCGCGATCTTCAATGAGGGAGCGGTGCTTGTCAATAAGGGTGATTATAGGCGAGCGCTCACTGTAAAGATCCTGCAGGCGTTGAATTTCAAGCTCATGGGCCGCAAGAAGAGCATCAGACATATCATCCGAGGTAACAGGTAAAAAGTACGATATCTCCTCTTCTGAGAAGTAAAGTTTCTCCCACAAGTCTGTGAGAGTTTTTCGAGCATCATTGACCCAGTTATGGAGATTCTCCTGTTTTAGGTCTACTAACCTGTCAAGCTCCTTCTCCAGCTGTAATTCCCATCTGTCAGCCATTGTCTACGCGCACTTGAATGATTATTAGCAAATCTTACCTCGCGGATTGTTTTTAGGTCGTAGCCTCTACGCTGAGCCAGGAATGCCTTTTGTTCTTGTGGATCGACACCAAGTTTTTCCCATAGTTCTCCAATCTCGATCTTCAGGTCCTCGATCTGCGCATTCCTCTTTTCCTTCTCGGCCAATAATACATCCTTCTTCCCCCTCAGATGATCTAGGTCATCATTCAACAGTCCCAGTCGCTCCGGCTGCGAAGTTCCGAATTCCACAACATTTCTATCGATCTGTGATTTAGGGATTCCCAACTCATTATATAAATTAATTATTTCTCTAGAGATGGATTGGACCGTCTTTGCACGCTGTGAAAATTCTTGATAAACACGCGTAAATTCTTCTTTAAGTTTCTCATAATAAGAATGTGAAAGGTCGAGCGAAGCGATAGCTGTGGGATCATTTGTCGCTGGGGGTAGAGTAACCTGGAGTGTTGCAGGCTCGAGTCGAGAGGCGTACTGTTCTAGTGCTTGCGATAATTCTTTTTTCAAAGTTAGCGCGACAGAACACATTAGAATTTAGAAGGTGCAGGGGGGCCTACTTCGGATGGTTTCGTATCTTTCGGTATGTCGCTTCTTTACATTTTCGTGTTTCTCTTTCAATCCTCGTAAACATTTGAGTAGTGGGGTCGTAGGCTGATCGTTACACTCGCTGGAGCTGCTTTTTCTGTCATCGAGCGATTGCTCCATCTGCCTTATCGAGACGATAAGCTTGCGACATTCTTCCTTCAGGTGTTCCTTTTCTCTATTGGTGGGTTATTAGCCGCTGTGCTTCAACCAATCAATTCGGCAAGGCGGGGTGGGAGGGGATGTGGGTGAACGCACTCGGCGACTAAACCCAACTGCTTCTGTAGCACCGTATTCAATGCAGAATAGACGCTTGCCTCGCGGGCGTCGCGCGCCGAGCTGGAAAGGCCGATTTCATCAAACAAACCGTGTAAATTGCCGATAGCTTTCGTGAGCTCGGCCTGCATCGAATTATTCGTGGAGGGATCCATTGTGTCGTTACGTTCGTTAACCAGGCAGGGCGGACGCAGCGGGGGAAGTGTTATGAAACAAGTGGGATGAAAATAGACGCGCAGATCGACTGTCTTGAAGCGGCGTTGGGCGCGTGAATCGTGAGAACGTGCGAAAGAGCGAAAGGAGAGAGAAACAAGGTCCCTGGTGCTGGTCAAGCCAGTGGATGATCAAGTGTCAAGCGACAGACGACGACGACGACGACGACGACACGCCAGAGGTAACAACAAAAGGAACGCAGAATGTAAGGAGAGGAAGAAGAAGGCGTCGCGCAGGAAGAATCAGGACAATATAAGATTAAAGACTGTGACCTCACAGCCCAGATGCTTGTGGAACACAAACAGTAATAGTAACAGGGAATTGATTGTTTGGCTATGTTTTGACGCGGGTGACGTCCTGTTGCCACAGAAACTGCCTATCGCAGGGATCGCGGCCTCTTTACCTGCCAATCCGAGCCAAGCTGAAACGTTTCAGCCCGTTGAGCCTCCCCCACTATGGCGCTCTAGTTTAGGTGCAGATCCTCCATCAACGACAAGTGTATTGTCAGCACGAACGGCAGCTTGTTCCAACGACATACAGCTCCCCTCATCTCGTGTGAATCAACTTAACTTTAGAGCGCTATCTATCAATACATCTCCAATTCGGGCTCCATCATGGAGGCTTCAGCTAAGAAACAGTTTGGTACGTCACTAGTACTTGCTCTGGTTGCCCACTTTGTACGACAGGCCTGGCAGAGCTAACTTCTCGTCTGGCTAGAGTTCGAAAACAGCATCGTTCTTGTTGACCCCACCAAGGACGGCATTTACACCTATGATGCCGCCGAACAAAAGTATTTTCAACCCCCAGCTTCCTGGTTTGACAGAACTTTGAATTAACCACCGTGCACAGAGCACTCAACGAGAAGCGGCCATGGAAAGATAATCCTAACTACTTCAAAAGAGTCCGCATCTCTGCCGTAGCTCTTCTCAAGATGGTTATGCACGCCCGCTCCGGCGGCTCCATTGAAATCATGGGCTTGATGGTCTCTCTTTCTCACCTTGGCTTAGGACCTCCGATGGTTGTTAACTCAGTTCCCGGCTACAGCAAGGAAAAATCGCCCACGAGACCTTCATAGTAATGGACGCCTTCCCTCTCCCCGTCGAAGGGACCGAAACACGTGTCAACGCGCAAGACCAGGCCTACGAATACATGGGTGCCTTTGACACCTCGGAGAAAGCTGTTGGGCGAGCAGAGAACGTGGTTGGCTGGTACCACTCCCATCCCGGGTATGGATGCTGGCTGTCAGGTATCGATGTAAACACACAGATGAACCAACAGCAGTTCCTGGACCCCTTCCTTGCGGTTGTTATCGACCCCGATAGAACCATCTCTGCTGGAAAGGTCGATGTGGGAGCTTTCAGGACCTACCCTGAGGGGCACAAGGCCAAGGGTGGTGACGACGACGGAGAATACCAGACCATTCCACTGAGTAAAATCGAGGACTTCGGTGCCCATAGCAGCCAGTAAGCTTTTTTTTTCCTTCTTAACCTTAAACCACTCAGAAGCCTCCCCCGCGCCCTAACCACCAATCCTAACTACAGATACTACTCCCTCGAGATCTCGCACTTCAAATCCTCCCTGGACGCCCACCTTCTCGACCTCCTCTGGAACAAGTACTGGGTGTCCACCCTCTCCCAGTCCCCACTCTTCACCAACCGCGACTACTCCACCAAGCAGATGCTCGACCTCTCGCAAAAGATCCACAAGACCGAGATGACGCTCTTCTCAGGCGCAGGCAAGGGCAACCGCTCCTCGCTGCTCCCCGCCGGCTCTAGCGGCGCCAAATCAAGTGGCTCTGAAGGCCAGCTCGACAAGGTCGTCAAGGACTCCAACAAGATTGCCAGCGAGGAGATCGCGGGCCTGTTCTCGAGCGTAATCAAGGATAGGATCTTTGGCGGCGTCAAGGTGGATACCGCTGGGAAGCCATCCCCCGCGTCTTCGGCTTAGTGGTTGTGGCGGTGGTGGTAGTAGTGGCGGTTGTGTTTGGTTGGCGTTAAGGGCTGTTTTTGAATATAAATTCTTATCTTGCCGATTTTCGTGCTTTGCTTTTTGTGCTCTACCCTGGAACTGTACTGGACTGGATGGGAGCGATGGCGGTCGTAGGTGGTCACGAATAAACAGATATGGGTATGCAAGCTACACCCTGGCACTGCGACATGGTGATCCCGGGCAATGTAGTGTGGTGTGGTGTGGGTGTTTGTGATATATTGCACACAGCATCGATGTTCCATGGTTTCAAGAGCACTGTTCGACTAGTGGTTTTGTAACATCGCTTAGTGGGGTTGGGTGTGTGTTGTGTTTTACCTGGTTCACGGACCCTCACTCGCACCGCTACTATGGATCAGGGTGAAACTGTTGCTGTGTCTGATGATACCAATATAGCTCCGGACGTATCTGCATATGGTGACACAGCTTTTATAAGACTATTTATAAAATATGCTTGACAGAAAATATTGATCCCAATTGTAGAAACTTGACGAATGAATCACTCACTCAAACCATATAGCTAGAGTCAATGATTCAAACCGTTGATTAAACCACGTAAACCAAGCGATAATCCGGACCATTTAACGAATAACCACTCAGACAAAGCCAAACCAAGCCATACCATGATTCAAACCACCTCATTTCACCCACACCGTGATATATAACCTTAGCACTTCACGAGCTACTACATGTAGAGTAGCTAGAAAACGTAACACCGAGACAATCATTGTTCATGTTAAAAGCTCACATCTACGCATCCGCACGCATGTCCTAATACTTCTCCAGGACTTTTGTGTATGTATATGATACCCATGCGCTTCCCTCAATACCCAAATGGCCCTGGTTTTATAAGCTTTGGCCGGCCCATGTTCTGGTTATTCTCCTAATTCTCACAAACTTTATAGAGCCTATAGTGCTTAATTTTGAAGTTATTCGTGTAGGGGACGTGGTAAATACGCCAAGGACACCCAAGAGCCACCGGCCAACTGGCTCGAACTAGAGCCACTAGGAGTGCTGGTTTTAGCTTAGGGAAAGAGACGATACATGGATGTCCTGGTTAAAAACATACGAGTCAGACACACAAACACAAGAGCTCTAGTAGAAAAAGCCAAAGCCCCAGTGTGCGGTAGAAGCGCAGGAGAGCCGAGGAAGAGTCAAACCCATAAGATTGGGGCTAGCTGGACGCTTACGAGCAGTAGAAGACTGCACAGGGGGCCAGCACGCGGGCAAAGAGCTAAAAGGGAGTCCAGAGTACATACATGTACCTAAATCCAGCGTTTCCCCGGATAAGCTCTTCACTGTATTAAACACCTCGCGCGGGATAGAGAAGAATAACTACATACATGTATGTTGTATGCATATATGATGAAGAGCCACCTCTTTACATAAGATGCTCAAATCCCCTAAAAGCTAGGCCACACCAAAAATAACACCGACCTAAGAAGGAAGACACCGACTCCTGCGTCGTCATGAACGATAGCACGGCGGTGTTGCGCAAATGTTCGAGGTGGTGATTAGTGACCGCATCACGGGTTATCACTCGGCAACACGGTTGTCAAGATATTTGGCTTTTCAAATGATGTCAAACAGGCACAGGAGGTTGAACGGGTGATCTGTCATTCCGAGACCTGTCCTTGTCATGTCGAAGACAGCTGTCCGATCCGTGACTATATAGCTACATGTAGTCAGTTTCTTCGTCGAGATCAGAATTAAGCCACTTAGCTGCCTCACACTCGTCCTGTTCTGTCCTGTCCTCGTCCTGTCTCGTCCTCTATTGTCTTGTCCTCTTCTGTATTGTCCTCGTTTGACTTAATAAATTTTTTGGGGTATTTGGCTTTTCAAACGATGTCGACACCTATTACTGCCATATCGATACTTGTTACATCCGTGACTATATAAATAGTTGAACTCCTTTTCGATAAACGAACCAAATTACTTAACCACCTCTTTCTACTTAAGTACTTTTTCAACAGACATGGCGATATGGGCAAGTGGCCTAGCTGCAAATGGGTTCCTAGCTTGGCTTCGTGATTATTATTATTATTACCTTTCTACGCTTTATACTGGCTTGTTTTTATGCCCCTGCTAACTATGGGGGGATCTATCAAAACATGGTCCTTTTCTCTATTAACAGGTTGCGGTGTTGACATTGTGTGTCCAGGTCTATTCCTCTCATTAGCAGCTTCGCCCAAAGGAACGATAGGAGAAACTCACATAGCTCCCCAACACCAACACCATGACTGCCATGCCCACCAGCACGCTCACCCCCGCATAGACATACGCATGCCCCCTCCTCAACCCTCTCACCTCCACCACAAACGTACTAACCGTCGTCAAACACCCACAGAACCCATCCCCCACGCCCCTCACCACACCACACACCACCTCTCCACCCGCAACCCTATACCTCCCCACGCCCACCCCTGCCAGCACCGCCGTCCCCACAACATTCACCGCAAACGTCCCCAGCGGGAACGTCTTCATAACAGGATTCACCCACCGACCCACCAAGAACCGCGTCGCCGTCCCAACAGGCGCAAACACACACGCATACAACGCGACCTCCCGCCACCTCGGCACAAAAGCGCACAGCAACGCCGCACCCACCCAACACACCGCTGCCAGCGGCACTGCCGCCCAGTCCGCCCGCCGTGGCAGCGGCGGCCATGGCAACGCCCGCGCAAACATGGCGAGCTGCGCGCCGACCTGCAGCCCACTGAAGGAGAGCGAGAGCGTGGCGATCAAGTAGCCCAGTGCGGCGAGGAGGTTGTAGCCGCGCGTGGGGCGGCCGTCGTGTGCTGGGAGCGTGTTGGAGAGGTTGGTGAACACGCCGAGGAGGAAGCTAGAGAAGCTGGTGAGGCTGCCGCAGAAGCCAGTTGTGAGGCCAATGTAGAGTGGGAGTGAGGGGTTGTGGTGGCGCGAGAGGCGCTGGGCCTCGACAAGGAGGCCCATGATTGCGCTGCCGGTGAAGTTGGCCCAGATGACGCCGCCGACGAGGGGCGCGCCGGGGTAGGTAGTGAGGGCGGTGAGGCCCAGGCGCGCGAGGGTGCCGAGGATGGAGAAGACGGTGAGCCAGCTGAAGGTGTAGAGGAGCTGTAGGGGCTGCGGGGCGGGCTTCTCGGCGAGGGGTGGGGTTGGGGACGGGGACGGGGACGGGGACGGGGACGAGGATGGGTGGGATTGCTGCTGGAGGACTGGGGCGGCGGTGGCGGTGGTGTTCTGGCCGGTGGACGAGTTGGGCTGGCGGGGGGCGTCCTCGAGGTGGGGGGCAGCGGATGTCCCAGGTAGGATGGGAGCGGGCGCGGCGACGTCGTCTTGGCCGGTGGTGAGGGTGTTGGGGGACATTTGTGAAGGTTACTAGATACCTAGGTGTTTCTGGTGCTCCCCAATTGAGTACTGTATGCTAGCTAGAGTGGCAGCGGCATTGAGTGGATTTTCGATAGGCGTGTGTTTAGAATATTTAGGAACTACAATTGCAGGCATTGTGTACATAGAGGAACAAACAGGTGCCGAGAAGCCGCGATAAGTAAACAGGTTGTGGGGGGATGTCTAGGGTAGATCTATCGGGGTTTGTGGTGGGACTCTGATCTGTACCAGGACTGGTACAAGTACAAGTATTACCTATGCTCCAATTCGCCCCATCAAGCCCTCCACAGCCGAGAGAGCTGCGATAAGTGTGTGCTCGCCAATCAGCGGGAGATAGCCGATAAGGGGAGCTCGTCGCGGTCGGGGAGGGAGGGGAGGGGCAGCCAGCCAACAAAGAGAGCTGCTGTCCCACCCAGGTGACCTCGTGTAGGTACATACAAGTAGAGCAAGTAGAGCGAGAGACAGAGCTGCAGAACAGACAGAGACAGGCAGAAGAGAAGAGTACTTAGCTCCCCACAGCTCGACCTTCAACCTCAACCTCAACCTCAACCTCACCTCCCTTCTCCCTCACTTACCTCCACTCCATCCATCCATCCATCCATCCATCCATCCATCCATCCATCCATCCATCCACCATCAACCCCAATTCCATCCACCATCAACCCAACCCCATCCACCACCAACCCCACCACACACAACCCACACACAACCCACACACAATGGCCGCCCTCCCCGCCAACGTGCACATCTCCACACACCCCTGCCTGCTCGCCAAGCTCTCGCAGGTCCGCAGCGCCTCCACAACGCCAAAGGAGACCAAGCAGCTCATCCACGAGATCTCGCTCCTCCTCGCCGCCGACGCCCTCGCCCGCGTCCTCACCGCCGTCCCCGCAGGCACCACAGACGTGACCCCGCTCGGCGCATCGTTCGACGTCCAGACGTGCGCGCCCGCGAGTGTTACGCTCGTGCCTGTGCTGAGGAGTGGGTTGGGCATGCTTGAAGGTGTGTATTCAACCTTTACCTACCCTACCCTTACTATCTAGATACACATACACATACACACAGAGAGAGATAGAGACAGCCAGCTAACAAACCCACCAACACCACAGCATTCGAAACCCTCCTCCCCTTCCCAGTCCCCGTCCACCACCTCGGCCTCTTCCGCGAAAAAACCACCCTCCAGCCCGTCGAGTACTACAACAACCTGCCCACGCGCGTCGCCGCCGCCGACGGCGATGGCGCGCGGCCATGCGACATCGCCATCATCCTCGACCCCGTCATTGCCACGGGCGGCACGGCCGAGGCGGCCATCCAGACGCTCCGGGAGTGGGGCGTCAAGAGGATCCTCGTCGTCTCGGTGCTGGGGTCGGTGGAGGGCGTGACGAGGGCTGCCACGGAGGGCGGCGGCGACGATGTCCAGGTTGTGGTTGGCGCTGTGGATAGTGAGTTGGGCGGGAAGAATGGGGGGATGATTGTGCCGGGGTGAGTTTGCGTCTTTTTTGTGTTTTGTTTTTGGGTTGGGTTGTGGGAGGGTGTGCTAATTGCTAATTGTGTGGTAGGATTGGGGATATCGGTGATCGTTTGTTCTTGACGATTGGGAAATAGAGCTAGACGTGATGGGATCGATCGATGGTCGAGGCGTCGGCGGCGGCGGCGGCGGCGGCGGCGTTGGGAACAGCGGGTTGTTTGTTTCTAAAGAAGGTTCTTTTTGCGTTCTGGTTTAGTTTAGTTAGGGGGGATGTCATACCATTCGTGGCCAATTGCTTGTTTGTGGTTGTGGTTGTGGTTGTGGTTGGCTTTTTCTTGTGTGCGCTGTAAAATGTCGAGGATGCAATAATGATTGTCTCGGTGTTGTTGCGTTTTATTTCTTTTTCTAAGTTATATATATATCATGGTGTGAATGAAATGAAATGGTGTGTGGTTTGAAGTATTGGTTTGGTTTGGTTTGAGTGGTTTGAGTGGTTTGGTTTTTGAGTTAAATGGTTCGGATCATTGCTTTGGTTTGGTTTACGTGAATTATTGGGTGGTTTGGATCATTGACTCTATAGTTTGAGTTGATATATTGATACATGTACTTCAAGTACGGTACATCCGATACCAATACTACATGTATCTGTCAACTATATTTTATAAATATATGTAGTCCTGCAAAAGCTATATCACTACTCGTCTATTGATAGCGTTTCCGAACACGACTGCTATTACATGCCCATACAAAAAAGCCCTTTTTGTATGTCATGCAATATTGGTCGTGCTCGGAAACGTCATGAAATCGGCAGTACATTCAGATACGTCTGTAGCTACATTGGTATTCAGATCAGACACAACAGTTGCACCCCCACAGTAGCAGTGCGAGTGAGGGTCTGTGGACCAGATAAAACACAACACAACACAACACAGCGCACAACGCACTACATAGGCGATGTTATTTACAAAACCACTAGGTATTTGTAGTCAAATAGTGCTCTTTCTCGCAACTATGGAACTGGGACATCGGTGCTGTGTGCAATAGGTATATTGCAAACACCATGCCGCATCACTACACTACTAGTACTACTCTACCCCATGCGTATGGAGATCTCAACACAACACACCCATATGTATGTAGACATGCAAACAAGGAACCATAGACTGTAAACCCTTTTTATTTTCAGACTTAGGGGAAGCATGACTAGCTGTTCAGATCTGAAAGGCCAGTACTGTGCACATATGCTAGCTACTACTACTGTGAGGGAAGGGAAATATCCAGCAAACTATTTTCCCCCGGCCAGCTAGGTCCCCATGTGCCTTCCAATACTATTCAGGCCAATTACGAAGCCTCATCAGATTGGGATTGTGTCTCAGGCCTCCCGGATTATACCTATTCCCATTCCACTCATTAATAGTCACGACACAACTTTCTGGGGCGTGGATGGATAGCTCACTTCAATAGCTTCTCGATAAGATCGACATGTGTCATCAACATCCTCCTGCAGCAGTAACGCCTGCATCCGAGTTTGTCCATGGCCATACTGCCCACGCAAGTCACCCCTTATGTTAGCAAGAAGTGGGATGAGGATGGGGATGGTGGGGTGTAGTACGCTTCGATCTCGCCATCTTCGAGGAGCTGCAGGTATTGTTCCCAGAGGTCTCCGATCACCTGTGAGTGAGTGTTAGTTGGGGTTATTATGTAGTGGATGATGAGTGCTAGTGCATGAGAGGATCTTGTAATACCTTGCCGCAGGAGAAGCAACGAACTGGGATTATCATCTTTGAGATAGCGAGTGATGATGGTCGTGTGAGTGTGAGGAGATAAGTTGTTGGGGTGTGAAGTGAGAGGTGAGAGTGAGTGGGGATGATGGATGCTCGGGATATATGTATTTCCTTGTGCTACGGGAAAAGGTACTTGACAGATGCGGTAATCGTTTTTTAGAATTGCCTATGGGTACGTGCATTATGGTACGTACACCCAATAACTACAGTAGTGCGTTTTTGTTTGTGGGACGCCAGAAAGATACTAGACAGCAGGGGAAGTAAAGGATTTATTACATGTACTTGTATGTAAGTGCCAGATCTCAAATCTTAATACATGGCCCAAGTAGTAGCGCACACAATGAGGAAAGCGGAAAACGCGGTATTACAAATAATAAGAAAGTACATATATTCATAATCAAATTATAAAAAATGTATGATGAAACGATTCCTAGTCATGAGCAATCACTCGGTACCTCCTTACCCCTGTCGATGCGCCAAATATTGATCCCGCAGGCTATGGCAGGTGCCAAGAAAAAATTGAAGAAGGTAGAGTAACGTTTTATAAATTCCCTCAAAGCCCAGATAGTCATAAAATAAGAATTATTATAATTTTCTTAGTCAAATACAGAGAGTGAGCCTTTAGACAGCTGCAGTACTAGATTGATGTGCTCGTATGGGTACACGTTTATTGGACCACGCCCCGAATTTTGGTCTATTGGAATATGTCGGTGTGTATTTTGCCTACGTATGCGATACATGCATTCATCTTTATATAACCTCAAGTATGATTATCTCTCGTGCTACGTTTAACGCATACATACATGTTTATCAGTATACCACTTTATCTATCGTGTCCACCAGTTGTTTTGCAAAGGATCATGACATTTGAAATAAAGAACAGGTGTTATCAAGGAAATTTTGCGCTTTCTTAGCGAACATGGAATAAATATAAACCCCTTCCCTTCCCCTCCCCTCCCTTTTTTTCAAAGAGCTTCCCTCTTTTCGTCGTCGAATGTTCAATAAACAATTTCCAAAAGGTACCATGCATATGATACAATCGAAGACGGTCAATAAAGTCTGCGTACAGACACAGAAATTCGAGAGCATTACATTGCTAGTGAAGAAGGCCGTAGCTACAACGAGCACTTTAGTCAGAATACCCCCTCCCCCCGTATTATAAGACGGAATTCGAGATTTTGATTCAAGGGACAGGTGAATATTGTTCTCTAAATACCATATTGATTTATACAAGTGAGAAACCTTGGGTCATTGAACTGCTGACCGCGCAACGGGTAACGACCTTGTGGAAAACCGTGTTTGCGGAGAATCGGCGGGCGGACAGTTACATAGTATGTATAGGTCGAAATCCTATAATCCATATTTATAACAAAATTCGCCCAATCATTTTACACTCCTCTCTTCCATACCCACCCACAAATATCAACCACTAGCAAATCAACTGCTAACCCAAAACTCCTCTGAATCCCGCCGATTCTTCTCTTTATCCCTAAGCCCCACCAGCCAACAAACAACAATCACAATGTTCAAACTACTCCCGCTCCTTCTCCTTGCGGTCCTCCTCCTCTCATTTGTCGACTTCACTGGCGCGGTCATCGAGGGCAACACCATCTGCGAAACCACCAATGGCTCCCCCCTCACCGAAAAGCTATTTGGCATCACTCGTTGGGGCAGGGGCGAAGGTTTTACCTGCAAGCAGAGTTCTAACGGCGCCAACGGTCGCCCTGGATGCACCTTATGCGGACAGCTTAACAACGGCAGTCTCAAAGTCTCCATCTGCGGAGTGAAGGGCTCTAGCTACGGCGTCGAGCAAGTGAAGGACGCGTTGAGAAATCTGATGAGAGACTGCACCAGAGCCTCCGGCGCGCGCAGAACTCTAAAGACTGGTGGAAAGTGGAGGGACAAGGGGGGCGAGTTCATGATCCTCGTACACCTCTAAAAATACATGTATGTTTGTATCAGCCACTACATACATGTAGGTAGTCCTCGCCCTCATGCATGTCCCTACTTCAATTTGTCTAGTGGGCCTAGAGATCAGAACTACGAATAAATAAAGCTAGCTTTTAAATGTAATTTTTTGTGTTCGTGTAACCTTCTTTTTTTAAAAAAATACATGTATGTATGTACATGCAGTTAGGGTTGGTAAATTAGGGTTAATTACATGTACACAGCAAATCACTCGTTAAAACCAACTCTTCTCATCAATTCTCTCTTTCCCAACAAGCTTGATCAACCAATAAACAAACAAATACCATCCTCTTCCCTCAAGAAGCTCCATCGAGTAATAAACAAGTAAAATCATCAACCAACAAACAAAGAATCAGAATGTTCAAGCTCCTCCCGCTCCTCCTCCTCGCAGTCCTCCTACTCTCTTTCACTGGCTTCACTGCTGCCATCCGCGACATCACTCCTCCTATCGAAGGCAACACCATCTGCGAAACTAGCAGCGGCTCCCCCCTCACCTTTGAGCTGAGGGAGCTCATTAGGACCGGCCCCGGTTTCGAAGTTTTGTGCGTTCAGAAGAAACCCAACGATGCTAACGGTCGTCCTGGATGTACCTGGTGCGGGGGGTTGGCCGGCGGTAATCTCAAGATCTCTATCTGCGGAGTGAAGGGCTCTCTATTCAACTTCAATGAAGTTAAGCAGATGTTGAAAAAGTTGGTGGATGAATGCACCAAAAGTTACGGCATATTCAGAATTCGGAAGACTGGTGGGATGTGGAGGGACAAGGGGGGGAAGTTCACGGTCCTCGCACACCTCTGAATGATGTTTACTGGGCTCCAGGGTAGTCTCGTTTCCAATTCCGCACCTCAACTCAACTGGGCTTGGGGGTAGAGACTGTGGATCAAAAAGAGTTAACTTTCAAATTCAAATTTTTTTTTGTGTCTTTACTGTGTAGCTAAACGCTAAGGATTGTAGTTTGGGTTGGTCGCAGAGTCAATTGAATGTTAAACCCAATTTCCTTTCATGATAAATACCATTTTATTTTCTCTCTTCCCAGTAAAGTAAACCCCACCAACCAACGAATAAATAAAATTATCGGCCAACAAACAAGAATCACCAACCCACGACCAATTACAATGTTCAAACTCCTCCCGCTCCTCATTCTCGCGATCCTTCTCTCCTTCACCGGCCCTGCTGCCGCCATCGTTGGCAATGTCATCTGCGAAACCAGCAACGGCTCCCCCTACACCTCCTGGCTGATGTACGTCGTTAATGTCGGCCCCCGCGGCCCCGGCCTCTGTATCCAAGACAATCCCGACGTTAACGGCCGTCCCGGGTGTACCCTTTGCGTCAATCACGGCAAGGGTTATCTCAAGATTTCCATCTGCGGGCGGAGAGGTTCTCAGTACACCTACGCCGACATTCAGGAGTCCTTGAAAAAGCTGGTGGGCGAATGCACCAGAACCTTCGCTGGAAATGGGAAAACTGGTGGGAAGTTTGTTGGTCAAGGGGGGCAGGCTACAATCTTCGTGCACCTCTAGAGGGCTCCAGGGTAGTCTCGTTTCCAGGCCCGCACTCCAATTCACCTGGGCTTGGGGATCGAGACTGTAGATAAAAAATAGTTGATTTTCAAATTTAAATTTTCTGTTTTTGTGTCTTTACTGTGTAGCTAAACGCTAAGGATTGTAGTTTGGGTTGGTCGCAGAGTCAATTGAATGTTAAACCCGATTTCCTTTCATGATAAATACCATTTTATTTTCTCTCTTCCCAGTAAAGTAAACCCCACCAACCAACGAATAAATAAAATTATCGGCCAACAAACAAGAATCACAAACCCACGAACAATTACAATGTTCAAACTCCTCTCACTCCTCATTCTCGCGATCCTTCTCTCCTTCACTGGCTTCGCTGCTGCCATCGAGGGTGATACCATCTGCGAAACCACCTCCGGCTCCCCCCTGACCTCCGAGTTAATGATCGTCACTCATCTTGGCCCCAGCGGTGCTATTGCGTGCCACCAGAAATCTAATCCCTCCCACGGTAGTGGATGTACCTTATGCGGAGGTGTTTTCGGTGGCGGTCTCAGAGTCTCCATCTGCGGAGTGAAGGGCTCCAAATACAGCTTCGGGCAGGTAAAGCTGGCAGTGGCAAACCTAGCGGCCGATTGCACCAGAAACTTTGGCACAGTCCAGAGAACTGGTGGGAGGTGGAGAGAAAAGAAGCGCGAGTTCAGCATCCTCATACACCTCTAAACAGGGTTTACTGGGCTCTAGGGTAGTCTCGTTTTTAGGCCCGCATTTCAACTCACCTGGACCTTGATATCGAGACTGTAGGTGCATAAGGCTAAATTTGAAACTTTTACTGTTTTTTCTTGTACCTGTGCTTGTACCTGTGCAAATTTTCTTCCTTTCCAGTGTAGTCCATGCTCGAGTGATAGTTCATGATTCCAAATTTACAAGAGAAATTTTGCACACAAACGCGCCGACAGCACGCTAATAAGCATCCCAACCCTGCATAAGGAAGCATCAATTGACCTAAATGACTCTCGTCTTAAGATAACCCAATTTCTAGGACGAGGCTTACAACTGTTCATGACGAAAAATACGAGCAGCAGTAATCCCAATCAAATAGCGCGGTATGCGGCAGAATGCTGTCAATGCATGTACATTTCAATCATCTTAAAAGAAAAAAGCTTCGAACAGTAAAAAAAAAAAAAAAAAAAAAAAAAAAAGGCTAGTCATGTTGTATTCTGTCATGTGTTCAGACCACGTACTCTACACAAAACAAAAATTCCTCTAGCCCCGCCATTTTCTTCCCTCCCACTTTCTTCCCTTCCCACTTTCCATCTAGCTTGTAATATCCTTCTTCCTACCCATATCCACACGCTACTTCTTCTCCTCTGCCCAAGCACGTGCCTCCACGAGCTTCTTCTCTCCTCCTCAGTCAAGTCCTTCGCCGGTGGTAACTCAAATTCAATCTCAAGGCTCGGAGCTCCCGGAGTAGTGAATACATTGATAGTGGCGGTCTGATCGGCGGTGGATGGTTTGTCTTCCACAGTCTTGGTTGGGAGAGGAATGATCTTGACTGGAACGATGGCGTTGGCCCGATTGCGGCGGAGGTGAATGCATCCCAACTTTGAGAGAGCACTACCGCCTGGAGACAAGGGGATAGCAGTAGATGGAGACCCGGGGGCACTATCAGTCATTACGAGGTATGTTGGTAATTGATGTCAGAGATGATGGTTCTAGAGATGTATAGTGGTATCTCGTTGGCGGTATTCGAGGAAGGACTGTGACTCGGTAACTCGCGGCTTCGATGTGTGGAGTGGTAAGAGTATGTGGAGGGGTAAGAGATGGTGGAGGGTAAGAGATGGTGGAGGGTAAGAGATGTGTGAGGTCGTTGATTGCAGAACCCAGAAGTCACACACCTTAGTATGTCCGCACCCCACACTACCAGAAATGCATGCATTTACTACTTTCCATCAACCCTATCCTCCCCGCGCTACCCCTCGGTCTATCCATATATCCAGTAACTACAGCATGTTCATGTTTGGTATCTTAGCTACAAGGATTACTAACGTTATCACAAAACTGCAGGTAAAGATTGATTTCCCACTCTCGGTCACTACAACCTACTCACAGTGGTATTCTGTATATACCTCTTATTCCAACGATGCATGCTTATCGAACTCATGTTAAAGTTTTACGTTACTTCCTTTAGAATCCAAACCACACCACAGAACACCATTATCCTCAAAGTGACGCACACGTGACTATACAAGAACAAACAGTAAGGTAGCTTGTGCAAAGATTAGCCAATATGAGTTCCTATACCAAGTTACTAGCATAACAGCAGTACGAGAAATGATGGCAGGTCCTTAAACTTTTATCCAGTGAATGGCGTCATGACACTAGCAAGTATAGGACGGGAAAGCAGTGAGGGGAAGAATCTCAAGATCCGGCCATATTAGATGCCTATCACATCAAAGATTCCTCCGCCATAATCAAGGTCTCGAGATGAACAATGAACTCTGCAGATCTGGTTTCTAACCATTGGACGCATCGAGTGATATTTCATGACTGAAATTATCTCCAACGTGAAGACACGACTAAGGAAACCCGTACAACCAGACGATTAGTATTCACTCCTTAGTCATAATCCCAAGAATGATGGTCCCGAACTTTGTCGGTAAACTTTCTGTTTAATTGTTTCAAATTGACTGGAACGGTCACGTCACAATCTGCTGTCACTCCAGGCAACCTGCCCAATTATCATCTCCCGCTCTCTCGCTAACCTCCACTTCACCACTTCACTTCGATCTCAAGCCGCAGGTGACCACCGACTTCTCGCCACTGCTATTTTAATCTTCTTCGCCGCAATCTTCTTCGTCAACCTCCTTACCTCTGCCGACGCCGCACTCTTCGCCACCCCCAGCTCCAGCACCACCCTGGTAACTCTCTCCAGCTCCTTCTCCAATCTTTTACCCTCATCTGTATTATCCTTAACGTAGCTATTAATCTTTATTCTCAACGCAGCCTCCTCCTCAGACTTCTTGACATACTCCGACCACAGCTCAGCTATCACATGGTTCTGCTTGTCGCGCTGGTCTTCGTAGGTCTTGAGCTTTACCTTCAAGTGGATTAGACGTGCTTCTTTAACAGATGGGGTGAGTGACATGGACGACATTTTCAAATACGCGGAGTGGGTTGTGTGGATCAAATAAGGCGGCAGACCGCAGGGCACCCTTTTTAAAGGGCCAGATCTTGGGGGAAGGGACTGGTTGAATCTAGGAAACCATCGATCTGGATTCAAGGTTCTAACTGGAGGGGTGCATACAAGTACAACTGCGTAGAGTTGTTGAATTCCATCTCCGGCCCTAATTGGACGAGAGCCAATATCAAGTTTCTAACTAATAGTAAAAATGGTTTTCAACTGACTAATAACTAGTTCCACAATTGGCAACGAAGGGGGGGGTAATGACATAAGCACCGGCTTTTTGTCATCTATCCCCGCCTGCATGCAGCTGCGGGCATGATCGTCTCAAGCCTGATAATGATTTTCCCGGCCAAGGACGAATAGGGATCATTACCAGCAGCTGCTATTAATTACGCACTTCCCGCGCTCCCTCCCTGTTTCAATGAACGGCTCAATGCCGAACACCATCGCGATTTGATACATAACTCATCGGGAACCTGCATGTTTCATGTGAGGTTATATTCCCGCGAAACTATCATTCCCGGATCGGCGCATTCTTTCATTAATTCAGCCTACGCACATCACATCTCACTCAGCGGATCAATAGAGGATGTTAAGTAGTATGTATGTAATCTAAATGCATCGCAAAAAGCAGGGTCCTGCTTCTAGTCTATACATACATGTAGGTATAGTATAATATTATTTATACAACATGTCTATAGTGGGATAAGAGGTAATATGCAGCTACAGACGATTACACAGCGGGCCCTGGTACTACTACTTCCCTTCCTGGGACTTCTTCAAAAGATAATCCAAAAACAACCTTCCATCACCAAACACTTGAGTAGTCATCGCCATATTCTGCATCCACCTCGGGATAGAACCTTTTGCATCGCTCTATGGTGGGGATAGTAGGCGTTAGTTGATTTAATATCGAGGCATCCGCGGGTAGAAGGTAACTTACGCATAGAGCCAAGAGTATTTCTACTCCGCCTTCTTCAAGTTCGTGGACATAATCCACCGACACATATTGGCCAAGAACTGCGGATTCAGACCTCACACTGCCCTCTAACGGCATGGAGACAACAATGAACGAGCGCAGTCCGTTCTCGGAGTCTGGTAGGTCGTGAGAAATAACGGTTTCCAAGAACTCCCTTGCAGAGAACGCTTGGACGTGCAGCAACTTGTGTACATCTAGTTTAGTCGCCCCCCATTAGTTAGTTAGTAATCCCAAACACTACTACATGTAATATTGATACCAAACAAAGAAACCGAACATACCTTCCAACCGTATCTTCAGGCCCTCAAAGTATTCTGTCGCAGTCACCTCCATTATATCCTCAGGCTTACACAAATACTCCAACTCTGCCTTGTTCTTCTCCTCAGCTAAGCTCTTCCTCACAACCTCATAGGGCACCCCTGGCGCGACCGTCACCCTACTCGTCCAGCGCTCCTTATTGTGTGTCGCGCTGTAAACCTTGATATCCGCGTCAGACTTTGCCAGGGCCCACTTGACGTCGACCGTTGTTTCCGCTGTGTGCTCGCGGGAGTTTGGGATCGTGCGGACAAAGTCCAATCCGTCCCGTATCAGCCCCGGAAGGCTTTCCGCCGTAAAGACGGACCGCGGGAGCTGCTTCAGGGATAAGTTTAGAGTTGTTGACGACATCTTTTTTGACGTGGTGTGATTTGGAATTGTGTGGGGTGGGGGACGGACGGACGGACTGGGGGGGGGAACTAAGGACTTTTTGATTGATACGTTAGGGATGGGATGGGATGTGGATGTAAATTCTTTTTTTTCTTTTCTCGGAGGGTTGTGAAGCCCAGGGAGGTGCCAGTGTCTGGGTACAGGGTATCTATGTTGTACCGATACCCGCAAGGCTACCTATTCTGCTCAGAGCGGGTATATTCGTAGAAAGGGGTCGCTGGTGCTGTACTTCTATGTAGGTAGAGAGTACATACACAGCTACCTCCTACGTTGCAGTTGTTCTTGCTGTTAGTTGTTGCATACTGTAGCGCGCACGGACCAAGGGGCAACTGGGGGTTGGGCTGCGTTGGGTCGGGTTGTTGGTTGTCGGTCGCTGTGCTACCGCATGATGTTCTGCTCGACGCGGGCATTAATTCGGATTTCGGAAAACCAGCCCTCTCAACAACACTGCTAGTAGGGTAGGGTCTAGTTTGGGTCATTTGAGAAGAGCATAATCCACTATGCAAGGAGGAGGATCAGAGCAAGAAATGAAACTCCCGTATTGGAGGGGTGGTTGGGGTAGTGGTGGTTGTAATGGTGGTGGTGCTGGTTGTAGTGGCTATCAGTATTCTTACTTGGGGGGCTATTTGCTCGATTCCCGGAGAAATTCCAATCTTCCAAGGTAAGGTAAGGGTGGCTAGAGGGTATTGTGTGAGTGTCTCTTTGTCTCTCTCTCTCTCTCTCATGATCGGCTTGTCGGCTCTTGGGAGATATTTGCCGCGTGATAGGTAGGCAACTAGTAGGGCAAGCAGAGAGAGAGTGCTCTACATACTCTACCCAACTAGTAACTTACCTACATACTTGTATGTAGAGTGCTATGCAGTGAATACTCTGCTGTAAGTATTTTATTCTACATATGTAGAGCTTGTACATGAACTTACACCCTGTATCAGAATTCAGATGGACCATTTCCCCAGCAAAAAGGAAACCGCACATATGCATATGTTGACATGTAGTCTGTACGCATCTACATGCTCCTAAGGGGTTAAGTGGTGAGTTGGCAAAGTAGTGGGTGAGTGATGTGCTGTGAAGTGACAGGGTCTGAAACAGTGCACGTGCACACCTACAACTGAAACTCGTCACGCTGCAGCTGAGAGGATCTGGTTACTGCGTAACTTATGGCATAAGTGTGGCTGTTCCTGCTGGTCACGCTCGTTGACTTTGAGATATCTGGACGTCGGATCGGGTCAATGAGGGATATTAAACCCATTCCATGCCGGTCCCAACCTTTGCAAGTTACCCCCTCTTTACGAGGAATTATACTTTACACCTCTTCGTCCTCTATCAACGATATCTTAGTTCAACACAGGTACCATCCACACATACTTTGAGATCACTCCTGCCTACCTGATATGCACGTAACGAATAATTACCCAAACCCACCAATGGATCGAATTCCTCTCCCACATCCCGGGAAAGTGCCTAAAAATGCATATGCACGGATTGAATTAGGCAGACATCTAGAAGGAAATCTTCTTTTTCTCCAGAACCTTCCCTTTAGTCTCACCGTCATATTCTAAAGGCTTGATAATATGATATGCAGCAGCAGCAAAGCAACTCAACTCGAAACACATGTTCCCAAGTACGGTAAAAATGCATGACCCTGATGATTCTTTAACATCTTAATGTGCACCTCTCATAGGCCATATCTCGAGGCCTAGGCCTTTATCACCAGACCCCAGCTCCTGTAAAAGCCTTAGGCCAGCCGGAAGATTAATAGCATACATACCAACGAATATACTTACCCGGAAGCTAGATCTGCCATCTCCTAGCTATTTATTTATGTAGCTAACCCCACCATATTTTGACCCCTCCCCCCCTCCCTTCGCTCCCCCTCCAAAAACGTGGCCCCCAGAAAATCCCGCAGTGGTGGTTCGCCCGCCTGAAACGTACCCGGGAGAGAGGCAGAGGAGGGTGCAGCAAGGATCGGCTGGAGGACAGTCGTTATTTCACTTCAACTCTAAATGTTACATAGAATTGATTCCGTAATCGTTGGGTAGATATAATACACTCAGTCAATTATATTGTATGATATAACCTGGGGAAATATAAAGGTCTGGGGTTTGGACAGAGTGGCACCTCCACGATACTCAGTCACTTTAATTAGTGTATGCCGGCGCAGCAACTTTAACCCTAAAAGCTGATACACTCCGCAGTGGGGTGTCTTGGGAACCAGTCCGATTGGGAGGAAACATCTGCTGCGCCGTGATAGCTTTGCGGCGGTGTTACTGCAATTCAATGATGGACGGGGCACAATTTCAAAGTTACTCGAAGCCAGCTGCTATGTAAATCCAGCCTTTCCAATTTGCAGTCCACAGCAAGCGCTGAGATGCGGATTTTGAGCCTGACCGTGACCGTTCGATCATCTGCCAGTTTGCTGCTGAATTGGCATTCAGATCGAGCCCAGCTCAACAATTCGCGATAAGAGCAGAAAAAAAGAAAGGAAAACAAGGTTATCTGTCTTTCTATCGTAAACCGTTCTGATACAAATAGGTAGTTTTGACTCACGAGTGACGAAGGACAGAGGTTTTTGAAGTTCGTAATGTGCCATCACCTTTAGAACGACACTGGGATCAATTATGACAACACCAATGCTGAGTGGCGACTTATTTTGTACTAGCAGGGAGGTAGACCTGTAATAATTGAGGATTCTTGAGGGAATTAGATATTGGTGATGGCTCTGTTCTATTTGGGCGCGAATGAAGAAGGCATGAATAAATAATGAAAGGGAGAAGAATGCACCTCCGAGTTGCACGTTGAGTGCTAGGGTTGGGTGCATGTGGCCCTTGCTGGATATCTGTTCTCAAAAGAACCGGCAATGAAGTTTAAAATCACAGGCTACGTAGCTTCAACTTTGTTTATCTCGATATCGAGAATGTCTTTTATGCTTTATGCCAAGCTTTATATTGAACGAGTGATTTCTCATGATCACAACCCCAACCCTCTCTTTGCCCCACACCAACACCACCTTACTTAGGCACTTCACGATCACCGCACCCACTACCCGATTTTCCCCTACACCCTGATCCTCCTTCCCAGCAGTGGCTTCAGTGGGTCCGGCTCCAGAAGCCCTCCACGGCCTTCCAAGACAAACGGGGCCTCCAAAACAACCATGTAAAAGGCTCAAAGCCGCCGTTTGACCCCGCAACTAAACTCAAAGGCTCGTCCCGGTAAATCAGGAACACCCCGCAAAAAACCAGCAACCAGGATTATTTGGGGGGTAGGAAAAGGGAAAAAGAAAAAGAAAAGAGGAAACGACCAGTTGTTTGGATTGGTGTAATAAGCGGCGGGCTAGCTCTTCATGTCGGTAGGTACCCTATATATGCTCAAATATAGATTCCTACATAAAACGGACCGAAGACTCCGGGTATGTAGAGTAGCAGAAGTAATGAAATACCGAACGTGTCACAAACAGGGTTTTTCCTATACCCGGGTTTGCGCCGAAACATAAGAGACTTTTCTGTCGGTTTTATTTTGTTTTGCTTGCTTGCTTTGCTTGCCTGCCTAGCGCTGTCTATCATAACTCACGGCTGTGTAACACGATGAGTTATTGCACTCTATCTACTTATCATCATTATGTAGGGAGAAAAAAAAAACCTGGGACGAAGCCCGCACAGCGAGTGACGCTTTAAATGAGAAGGAAAAAAGTCACGTTTTGCACCTCATCCGCTTTGCGGGGTTATGTTCAGACCTCTGAAGATGGAAGCGGGGCAAAAAAGCAAATCTATAGACGCGAAATGGAGAGACACTCCCGGGATCGATCGAGCGGAGGAGAAGTGAGGTAAAGTAAGGTGGTACCGTAAAGTAAGGTAGAAAGAGAAGAAGACGAGAGCCGGAAGCAAAAGTGAGGTGGGAAAAACAAAAAACCTAGATATTTCCGCCTCCGCCAATGCATATTCGATTGTTGGGAACCGTGCACACAGGAAGTTGTTGAGTGGACAAAACAGAAAAATAAGGGAGGGTGGAAGCGGAAAAACAAAGGTTGGAGGTGTGCGTGTGGTCTCTGTTAAGGGAGACGAAAGATGATAAATGTGCCATCATAAGTTCATCATCCCCCAAGGCTAGAGGGAGGGAGGGAAACAAAAAACAAAATAAGCCATCGTGTAAGTAATTATAAACGCTTCATTATAGGTGCGCTTTCCTCGGGGTGGTGGAGGGGCAACAGCTTGAAGAGAGGCCATCTAACTTTGATTGACAAAGCCATATCATTTGACCTCCTGCAAAAATGCCTCCTTCGCCGAGAGATTGATTTCCTCAACTGAGCCACAGAGGGACGACGACAACGCTGATCAACGCACTGACAGATACAGATACACCACGAGGGCGCCCAAAAAAGCCAATGAGGCGAACTTGGAACTCTGCAGCAGCTCCTGCTGGTTCTTGCTTTTCGCGAATAGCTTCCTCTCGACGTATGTGATTACAAAAGCCCAGCTGTAACAAGCTCCCCACATCCATACAGCTACAGCTACCGGGCTAGCTATGACCTACCACGGTCTTGAATCCAATCCTTTAATTTCGAGCTGAAGGTTCCATTTCCAACCCCGCCAGATTCGCGAGCTCACGCCCGTCGCATCCCCCCCGTCCGATCAAGACTAGCCAAACCACAGTGGAGCCCCTCCGTACCTCCTACATACCACTGTGTATTTTGATTTTGCGGGGGTGGGGGATGGATGGGACGGTGAGGGGAGTGACTAGGAGGTGTCACACGCCCGTCTTCGCGTTCGCGATCACGGTATGTACGAGTACGTACCGTTGGTTTAGCTACTCTAAGTAGAGTACATCCTAGGGTCGCTCACCCCGCAAAAACACCCCACATCCACCCACCGTTCACACGACCGACGACAACAACAAAACGTAAAAGTCACGATGTAACGAACGGACGGGGAAATGTGCGCTGTCCGTCCGACACGAACCTCCCCACGGCCCCAAGAGCGGAGGCTCTCCGGAATATCCATGAACCTAGGGGAAAAAAGCACCCTGAGCTGCCCGCCGCCTGCCTACAAGCGAGCGGCACCATCCACGTGCATCTATTGGACAATGGCTCCAATAGCAACAACAACAACAGAAAGGGCAAGACAGTGAGGAGGTTTCCTCGATCTCGAGGTGCCTGTCTGTCATGAATCTATGCCAGATCCTTGCTGTAAATGCAGTATAGCTCTACTCTTGAGCTAGCAGTAACCAACCTTTTAAAGTGACAAGGTGACAGGCAGATGAGAGCTACGAATGTATGTACGAAGTATGTACCGTTCACAGTACATATGTAGACTATCTGCTCTACACTACCGTCCCCCTCGCTTCCTCGATTCTATTATCATAGAGTAAGAAGTTGGTTTAGTTATGTATGTAGTTGAAGACATTCCCGCCGCATGTATCTACCCACGAAGAGGGTTCGAGGCGAACTGCATGTCATGTCATTGTGACAATTTACCTTCACTCCCCATATGTGCTTATTTCACTTTACGTCACCACTCAGCAACTGACAGGTCAACTTTATTTTGTTCGTTCAACTTGGCCCCACGACAGTAACGGAAAGCAGCAGTGAACAGCGGTAAGGCCGCAAGCGGATCTCAGTGAGGGTAACCAGTGCTGGAATTATCAAATAGATACAAAAAAAAAGCAACAGACTTAAAAGCACAATTCTGGCAGCCCTACTCGAAAATTCCGAGCTATTTCCCTTCTCCCGCTAGGGCTGCAAGTAAACCCCCACGTACGTTTTCTTCTTTTCGTTCAAGATATAAAAGAAACAATGTCCCCACATGAAATAGTACTAAAGGCAATACGGTTCGTGATTTTCAAGTGAAAAAGGCAAAGCAGAAGGTCATAAATAATAAATAGTAAGACGAAAGTTAATACCACTACTAAAACTAATAGTTACGTTATGGTGATAAGAGTAAAAAAGTAAGAAGCGAAAGAAAAAAAGAAGAGAAGAAAGAGAAGAAAGAGAAGAAGAAGAAACATCAATAAAAAGATTTTAGACGCACACACGTCAAAAACGGCTGTCCAGAGCCCTTTCCAAGCGTTTTTTGTATAAGAAAGGGAAAGAAAAAAAAAGACAGCAAAGCAAACCGACCCATCCATGTTCCCCGATAAACCCACCCAAATCTTTCAACGCAATAAAGCAGACCTGTACCCAAAGCCCCCCCTGATTGCCTGCGCGCGCAAGAAAAGACGAAATCCACTACCAAATAACCATATGAGATGCAAAAAATTCAAAGAAACATTAACTCAAAAAACGAAAAACGCTCAATCCATGCTAAAACTCAATAGACTGTGAACCGAGCCAGATACGCCATGGTAAAAACGAGACAGTGAGGAAGGGGACTATCCTCAAAACAAAAAACAGATATTCACAGAAATGAATAAGGGGAGGGGTGAAATCAAACCAATTAAGGAAAAAGTCTGAAAATGAAGAAAAAAACCAATAAACAGAAAGATGAAGAGAGAAAAGGCGTTGATATATGCGAAACAGAAAGCAAAGATTCATCACAGTCGTAAAGTATTAGGCTCACACATAAACAGAATAAACGGAAAAATAATCGCAATCTTGTGTCTTCCTTTTTCCAAAGGATAACTATTCGAGTTCACTCTCCATTTCGTCTTCTGCCTCAGGCGTGGGCGAAGAAGAGGAAGACATGGTCATTCCCATGTCGTCACCCAGAGCGAGCGTGTGAGAGTGAACTTTGAAGGATTCGCCAAGCAATTTGGTAATACTGCGTTTCGTCAGTGAACATATCCTTACTAAAACTAGAACAAGGTAATTGTGACTCACCCCCAAACAACAACTTCATCAACCATGCCTCCCCAGACCATAGCAACAGCAGCACTCAGCCTCGATCCGTACAACTCAACTGAATCATCATCAAACAGATCCCTCACTTTAGTCAACATCGCCTGTTCCTCCTCGGTAGGTGGCTGAACCTCACTCTCCTCTTCGAGTCTGTACAACCACAAGCTCAGGATCAACATGAGTTCGAACCCACAAAGCGGATGCTCTACGCTCCAGTTTAGGGCAGAGGTTCTCGCGACCCAGCGGATACCCATCAACGCTGGTATCTGGAAACACTCAAAACACTGTTGAATAACCCTCGTCATGGCATCCGATCTGGGTATCGAATGAGCTGCAGAAGTCATTGCTTGAGCGACATCATTAGGGTTGTGGAAGCGAAGTGCTTCCTGGACGGAAACAAGGTCAACCTCAAGCCTTGCGATGGTACAGCGGTACATAGCCATGGCGTTAAAGACCAGAGGGTGACCTTTTTGAGGAGCGGTCAAGGGAACGATCATAGTCTCGGGTGTGCAATAATCTAAAGCTCTTTGCCAGGTATCTAGCGCGACGCGGAGCTTTTCACGATATTCAGACACAACCGAGTCAAGGATCTCGGGACTTCTTTTAACGCCCCAAACCTCGATGAACAGAGCATTGATCATAATGCGTGCAGCAAAAGCGCTGTACTGAAGAGGCTCCCCTCTGAAAAGACGCGAATGAGCTTCTTTAAAAGTGGGGAGTGAAGCGTTGACGAGGTGTTCCCGCCAGCTGTGATCATCAAAACCATCCATATTCCACAAGGTTTCAGAGCAAGGCAATGGAAGCGAATCAAACTCATTATAAGTAATCGCAGGGAGGTGGTTGTATGTCAATGTGAGAAGACCAAAGAAGACGTATACAGCAAAGTATGTTCGCTTGCTGCCCTCTTCCTCAATCCACTCTTCACGAGTAGGCAACTCATCCCCACGCTGCTCAGTCCTCAGTTGCAATTCATACCTGCCACCGGCAACCATCTATACAAGTTATTAGAATCGCCGCCTTTACAATCATGGAACAGAGGAACTTACATTTGCAAGGAGGTTCTTGATGGAACAGGTCCATTCCAATCCCTTTGCGTCACCACTCCAGCTTGCGAACACCATGTTGAGCAATAAGGTCTGGGTAGTCCATAACGGGCAGTTACGCGAGTTATATTCTTGGTTTCGGTGAAGGAAGTTGTTTACCAACACCTTCGCAGACAGATGCAGTGTATAACTAAAGAGCGGTTAGATTTTAAATTGGGCCTGGACTGCAGGCGTTGGGAGGTCAACTTACGCTTGTTCTTTCTCGAATGTGTACAAAGCACCAATAGACAATACGGCCAACAACAAAGGCGGTGCAACCTTTCCTGGGCTAAATGATGCTGGGTGGAGGAATGGGAAATGGTGATGGAAGAGATTGAAATAGGCAGAAAGATATCTGTTCAAGGCACTTTTACTCGGCAAACGGAACTTGTCAAGCACAGCGCGATCGACATCGATTTCACGAATGTTATCTAGCACCATGTTTCTGTCATGGTCTGAGTCTACTGATGGAGGGGTTGGTGGGGGGGTAGTCTGTGATGAAGCACTGACACCACACGGATTTACGGGTGATGGAGGGCCCGTGAACCAAGGATTCGGAGAAGCGTATGAAGTTGGCGTCACAGTCGAGCCTCCTCGCGAAGGATCAGCGGAGAGAGATCGTTCCATGGTGTTGCGGTAAGAAGGCGGCTGTAAGCTGTTTGAGCTCCATGTCATTCCCGACTCATGCGAGGAAGACTGAGAACTTGACATATACTGGCTTCTTGGGGGTTCTGGTCCTGTGGTCGACGAAGGAGTAGGAGGGTCCCAGGTGGACATGTTTTGAACCGGAATTACACCAGGCGCATATGGCACAGAGGGATCGAACACAGATTCGGGGTTTGAAGACATTGAACGTCTTGATTTCTCTTGCAATAGCATTTCCTGCTCATCTATCGCTGCCGCTGCAGTTGCAGCATGATGAAGCTCAGTCATCAAAGCCGCAGCTGTCTCCAAATCTACCATCCCATCACTACTTGCTTCTAGCTGCTCGATGGCAGCTTGTTCAATGGTGATAGCTGGTTTTGATGGTGCTGATGTAGCATTCTTTGTAGATCTTCTCTTCACTTCACTGTGCAGTGGAACACCGCCATCCTTAGCATGAACTGTCCTGTCGTGTCGCAGTAACAGATCTCTCCTGACGAAGGTGCTTCGGCACTTTAAGCACTTGAAAGGTCGCTCCTTTGTATCTACAGAAATAGCGCGCGACCAGTCAGCAAGCAAAAATAAAGACGCGCTCTCCCAGTGTGAATTCCTTACGTGATCTCTCATGTCTGCTCCTGTGCTCTGACCTGCTGAACGCTCTTGAACAGTATGCGCATTTGTATTTTCGTTCCTGTACAAGCGCCGCCTTTTTTGTAGGTTGGCTCTGGGCCGCCGGTGTTGAAATGACCTCGTGCATTATGTTGTTATTGTGTGTATAGGACGACTACTAAAGCAATGAAAGCTTTATAGAATCGATGTTGAAATCGTTCGGGGGGGGGGGGGGATGTATATATTATAGGGATTGTTGAATTCCGAGAAGGGTCTTTAAGACTGTATTCGGCTTCCTTTCATTGACCAGCTCTGATGGTATGGGGGGGGGGGGGTGTTATGTTAACGAAGGTGTGTGTCCGAGGGTGAAGGACTGTTGCTGGTGATGATGGATGAGGATGAAGGGGCAGAGGCGAGGGGCAACGGGGACTATGTATATTAGAGGGAAGGCGACAGACGTCGTATGGGCGGCGGGGTAGTGAGAGGGAGCGAAAGACAAAACGAAGGGTAGGTGGGATTTTTGAAAGAGAGGAGGGGCATGGAAGAAAGGGGGGGGGGAGGGGAGGTATAGAAGGAGGGAGAGAGGAAGGTAGATAGATGGAGGGGCGAGTAGGAAAAGTGCAGAGTCTGCTGCGAGGACGACGAGCAGTACAATTAAAAAAATATCAAATTAGGACTGGGGCAGTTGGAGGGGGCCGCGGACGAGGGATTGCGGGGGGGGGGGGGGAGCAAATGGAGGGACAGGAGGGGGGTGAAGGTGGAGGGCTATCAAGCTAGGAGGCGAGAGCGAAAGGGGTTGGGGCTGTCGCTGGTCTTGCTGGTTACTTGCTGCTGCTGCTGCTTCTGCTGTGTTGGGCAGCTTTGGACTCGAGTACGCTGTGTTCTGTCTGGAGAGGGAGGAGCAGCACTCGGATGACCGAGGTGTAAGTGAAGTCTGTGGGTGAGGCGAAGGAGCGGAAGAGCGCCAGAGGGCGAAGGGGGAGTAATGGATGGTTGGGAGGTGTTAAGGAGGGAAACCCGAGGGATCTGGATGGGTGGATGCTTGAATTACTCCACAGTCACTACGGGTAACATGTGGTGACCGCTCTACATCGTCACATAAATGGTTCCGTCCCGAAAATAATGACCAACAGTACACACCCAGAGTAAGCTAGGTAAGCTAAAGCTTTGATGCACCTCCACCATGGAACAGAACAGCCCCTCCCATCAACCCCTCCATGGTGTGTGGAAAGGGTGGAACTCAGGCTAGCTGTAGCTAGAGTAACACCTCTGCTGACTGACTTACTTGGCCCTGGAGGCGGCATTACGATACTCTACTCCTACACCCTCCACCCCAGAAAATGGACAAAAACAACAACCTTTCAACTCCCACATCCACCACCCAACCTTCCCCTGCTCACACTTGTCTGGCAGATGTGGATGGGTAACTCATGCTGGCTGGTGTGAGTGTGAGTGCGAGAGTGTGTGGCTGTTGCCGTGGCCGCTTTTGTTTTAACAGCAGGCATTTGCTTGATGAGAGGTGTCCTTACCATATCTGCATCCCTGCCCCCAGCTCTCACGGATCCCCTTCCATATTATTCGAGACTAGTAATTAACGGCCAGAACCCCAACCCATACCCATAACTTATTCGCCGTATATGATCCAGTGCCACACCAGTTCCTGAAAATAACAACCTTTTCCCCCTCCCCCCCCCCCCCCTCCCCCTCCCCCTCCACCCTCCCATTTTCTGTCCGTACATGAGCCTCTAATTCGTGCAATGCTCTATGTCAGGTCCGTCATAAACAGTGAGCGGCTCCAGACAAGATGCTTATGGGGAAAGTCAGGTCCCTATGTCAGAGTAACTCAGACTTTCGTTTCCGACTTCACCCCCCCCCAAAAGTGATCCGTTGCTGCGCTTGAGGCCGCCAGTGGGGTTCGGCTGTTGTAAGGCGACTTGGTTGGTGGAAGCGAGGATAAACCAAAAACCCCGGCCGAGACTACTACGCTCCCTCCACCACCACCAGACCCAAGGGTATGAGTGGATCTAGCAAGAATCTGCTATGCTACCGAAAACGTGCTAATTACCGTCTCCGCAAACGCACCCAAACGAAGCGAAAACCTAGGAATGACGGCTAGGTAACGGTACGGTACATACAACATACATACTCAAAACGCGCATGTTTACAATATGTACATGTATTCCCTTCCACCCCTCCGTCCCATACAACAGCTAAAGAAACAACCTCTCTCTCTACACCACAATCACATTGATCACGGCCACCCCCCCCCCCCTAGTTACCCTCCTTCCTACGTACGCTAACTTCCTGCCACACCGGGGTTGCAGAAGTATTTCAGTCATGGCAAAGTAGGAATAGCTTACGCGGCCAAGCACCCTTTGCATGTGTGCTGGCAAGTCGCTGTTTAAAACCAGCCTCGCCTGTTGCTGGCAACTGCTGACTTGCCTGCTTCTGCTCTTGCTTCGCTGCTACTGCCTGTCCGCCCTTCTGCACGAACAGAACATGTTCCCTCCTCCTCCTCGGCCTGCCCGCACTGTACAACTGAGCTGCGGCCAGCCCTTCCGGTTAGTTTTCGCAGGCGGCCTTGTCTTGTGACTTTCCTATCGAGCCTATTGTGTTGTCTATATCCGCCAAGGAATAGTAAACCTGTCATCTAGGGTTTAGCGCAAGAACAAAATACTGTACCCTATCTGGAGTCTCAATTCCATACGAGACATGAACCCAGCTTAGTTCCTTCAAGTCCGGGTGGTCGGAGGAGGGAGATGGGGAGTTTGTTTACCTTTGACCAGCCAAGTTGGTAATAAACAACATCTCCCCCCCTCCCCCTCCCCCCCTCCCCCTCCCCCACCCCACCACCCACCGAAAACCAGGCCTTCGGGATCCGCCAGGTTCTGTTTGAGGGAATCAGGAGTCAATCAAATCTCTCAGATGTTCATATTCCTTTTCTGATCTCATCGTTTCGAAACAGAATGTGGAAATTCCGAGACGAAATTGGCGAAGGGGAGTCTTCCTTTCTGCACAAGGGTCGCTTCTCAACAGGGGACAGGGGTTCTACAAGGAATTCATTTTTCTTGTTAGTGCCCGTGCTTTAAGATCCCGAAAGCGGTAGTTCCAGAGACGCATCGGTTTTGCATAGAGAACATTTCTAGCCACCGTTCTTTCTCTCTCTCGGCCACTTATGGGTTACAAGGCATAACCTATTAACTTTATGAAGATTATGCATCATGTAGTACACACTTATTTAGTGGTGTATGTTGATTGATCATTGATGCATCATCATGTTATTTTATAGAGCGATGATCAATCGACAACAAAAATTCCGCAACTGCTTCCGTTATTGGGATATCCATTAGGCTATTTTCCATGTATTTCACTACTACATGCCCTTCCATGGGCTTTTCCAACTTCCCCAGGTCTTGAGAGTACCTGCTACTCTACTCTACTCCATATTACTCCAACAGCACTGTAAGGGGTGAAGGGGGTTACATAGAGTAGGAGGCAGAAAAAAAATTACCTGGAAAAAAAAAAGCAACGAATCTCATAGGAACACGACTAAAAAATTTCATAAATAAAAATAAAATATATATGGCTATATCATTACTCTACTTTACATCTCCATGATGCTTAACCATGCAAAAGTAACCATCTAGATTACCTACATGAATACCTACCTCCCCAAATCTAATCTACCCACCTAACTACAGCTAGACTACTACAACATCTAGTTGACGGGCTGGGATTTCCTACTTCACACACCGGCCCCCCTGGTTATGTTTTTTTTCTTTTCGCTAGATCAAACCCCACGCGTTCTGGAAAGCCGCTGCTGCGAAATGTCCTTTTTTCCTTTTCCCTTTCCCCCACGTAGGTATCTACCTTTTTTTCACATCACATTTTTCTGCTTTTCGAGACATCCCGCCAGGATCCGAGGATGTGGTCCGGCCCGTGAGCCAATATAGTTGCGTGCTTCACCCACCCCTCTCTCCGCTCGAAAATTTTCGCAAGAGGTCGTGTCTGTGCCTTTATGTTACAGAGGGATCGAGGGAAGGGCCGTGGGAGGTTTAGGATTCTGGGTATCTATCAGTCTATATCTAGCTAGAATCTAGCTGAGTGGGTATTTACGAGTACGAGGAGGTAGCTAGCTAGGTAGAGTAGGTAGAGTGAGTAAGAAATAAGAACAGCTTCTTGGAGGGTTAGTTTGTAGTCAGTCAGTAATAGAACTAACTGTTAATGCTTCGTCCGAACTCGAACTGATCGATACCGGCGCGCCGTATCTACCTCTGGAGTATTCCAGCTCTCCGGTGCACCTGGCTTTCCTTCTCCCGTCCTCCGGGAAATCCACCAGGAGAAGCATACATACAGTAGTGTAGTGGGTCACGAACTTTATTACACAGGTCGGTAGAGGTATATATCTCATCCCCGTTACTCACGCCTAATTCCTGTAAGTTATGTACAACACAACACTTACCCCGGGACATACATGCAGCATAGCTTGAAGATTATGTCGAAGTAGGGTAGGGTAGGGTAGAGTAGAGTAGAGTAGTGACCGTACCTACATGATAATACATGCACTGCACGCAACGGCACCTACTGTACTTGTAGTTACAAACATTGATCCTCCCCCATCGACGACCACGTACCTTTACTTTTTTTCTTTTCCGTGCGTGTGTGTGTGAGTGCTGCGCTTAAAGATACGATAAAGGATACTCCTTCTGTATTCGCGCTCGTCTTGTTTCCGTCCGCACCGCAACCCCAACCCCAGCCGCCGCGAGACCTAACCTTCCTACCTGCCCTACCTACCTTACCCTGAGCCTCCCACTCTCATACCACCTCCCCCACCCCTGGGCGGTAAGAGAAACACATGCCGATTGATTGATTGACTGATCGATACGGGCTGTCTAGCTGTCTGTCTGGCTGGCTACCCGTCCATCTGCCTGACCGGAGGGGAACGCGCCGTTCGGAGCTTCTCGATGGAGGGATGGATGGATGGAGGGAGATGCTGACCGGACTTATGATAGTCCAACTCCTAGCTTACTAGCCAACTAACCAGCTGGCCTTCCCCTCCGGATTATTTAATGTTTTTTTTTTTTTTTTTTGCTTTAGTGATTGATTTTAAATCGTGACAAGTGCCGTCCAGCTGTCCGTGTTTTTTTCCCGCGCTTGATTATTTTTTCCTTCCTGCACAGCAGCGGGATGGGATGCGTGCGGATGAGGATGGGATGGAGGGGGGGATGGAGGGGGGGGGGTGTTGGTGGGGTATAGATGTAGATGTAGATATAGATGTCGATATAGATCATACCTCTACCCATCTACCATATCTGGTTGTGCACCTACCTCTGTTCTGCTCTGCTCTGCTCGCCTGCCATCTCCGGCGGCGCTGCGCGATAAGGTTGGCTGCCTACCTGCCTGCTGGATGCGAGATGGGAGCAGAGCAGGAAAAGAAAGCGAGACGTGCGGGCGGCCCGGGCGATATGTGACAGAGACAGCAGCTGGTTCTTGTTTTTTTGTTTTTTGTTTCTGCTTGCGCGGAGTGGTGGGAGTGGTGGGTGGATTGAAACGTGCTTGTGTGCGTGCGGTCTAGTTTGAATCTGGGAGGGAGGGTTGAGGGCGTACGAGATGGATGGGTGGATGAGGGATGGGTTGGGTTGGGGCTGATAGAGTAGATAGCTAGATGGGTTGGGAGTGAGTAAGTGAGTGAGTGATTGATTTGATTGATAGCAAGATAGATAGCCCACTAACCAGATCAAATGAGCTGATCATGATAGCTAGCTAGAGCTAGTAGTAGCACGATATCAAGCCATCCATCCATCGCGAAACAACCACAAAAACCAGCTGAAGAAGGGTCAAGTATGTAGAAGAGGAATAGTCTCTCTCGCGAGCGAGGGGTAATGGAGGGGCTAAGTACAGTCACGCAGAGATTGTATTTAGATATATGTAGCTGATACATGTAGATACACACAATCTCCCTCGTTTTCCCAGGTTCTTGCCCTCTAGAGTACCTACATACCCGCCTAGGAAGTCTCTCCACCTCCGCCGTACGTCTGTGCGGGTTTAGAGCCTGAAGTCATAAATGAACAGTGCTTTCCCGGGCGTTTGGAGGGGGAGGGAAGGGGGGTAGAGTAACCTCTCTCTCGAGAAAGAGAGAGAGATATCCCTTGTGGCCGGAGACGAAGATCAAGCCGTGTGCCCCCCCCGTCTAGTATGTAACCTACCAACCTACCCGCCCGCAGGGAATTGGGAGCAGAATGATAGCTCCGAGGGGGCCGATAGACAAGAACATTGTATGCAGCCCCCTTCGCTTGGATAAAATAACGGGTAGTGTGTGTTTCCCAGATCAGAAGAAACCTAGGTGGGCGAGCGAACAGGATGGGTGATCGATTGCGATATCATATCAGAGTCGAGCAGGTACAGGATGATGATCAGCTCTTGTCTGCTCTCGAGTTCTATCTACATGTAGAGTCGACAGCTATGTAGCTAGCTAGCTAGGCGGGCGGCCCGGCGCACACGCAGTAAGCAGGTCCGCCCGACGACCGCTCGTAGGGTACGAGATGGGAGGAAGTGAGAGCAGTTACGGCTGTTGTACTCTCACCACCTCTGTACACCGGGCACAGCGTCTACTATTCCCTCTCACCCGGGTAGGTGCTAGAGTACCAGCAGCCAGCTAGTCCTCTGCTGGCTAGCAAACCAGCTAGCGACCTTCAGTTGAAACGAATAGCTGTACTAGCCGTTTCTGTAGGCATATAGTAGAAAGTAGATAATCGTCCCCCTCCATCTATCCCTCCCTCCCCCACCACCCACAACCCACCACTGCATACATGATACTACCGCTACCACCACCACCATTACGCTAAACATCCCCAGCCCAGCTGCGGCATTTTTAACCCGCCAATTCCACCTTCTCGGTTTCACTGACCGACGACCCGGTCTACCTAGGTCCGCAGTTATTGTATTGTATTGTATTCCATATATCGTAGGCCAGGTGGGTGAGTGAGGAGGGAGGTGAGGGGATTTCTTCTCTCTTGCAACCGGGAAGAGGGATGCAGTGCAGGAATCTCGCGACGACGTACGTACGTACATGCTGCTGCTGCTTCTGCTTCATACATACTTGTTTACCACGAAAAGAACCAGAAAATGCAGTTGCTCAGGGCAAGGATTATTTGTATGGAGTGGCGGTGATCTCTCATACAAACTATCCCTGTTTCCGTCACTTGCATTTTCTGGTTCTTTTCGTGGTAAACGAGTACATGTATGTAGTATATCTGCTCTACCCACATACATACATTACATGCGGTTCGCAGTGCAAGCCAGGCAGAAAAGGCGGATCAATTGCCCCTGCGGTCTTGTCTACTCTAGATGCACCAGGTCTACGGATTCCCCCCCAACCTCCCCGCTCTTTCCCTCCCTCCCTCCCTCCCTCCCACCTCCCCCGCTTACTCCGAGGGTATTATCCTACTCTATGTATGTACAGTACTACTACCTGCCCCGCATCTACCACCCAACCGACCCAGGAGCGGGATTTAAATTTTTTTCCTTTATATTACCTAGAGTGTGCACCGCATCCTCCCTCAATCCCTTCCAATCCCCCACCTTATCTTCCCTTTGAAAATGGACCTCGGCCACTGCGTCATGGTGCCGATAGATATTTGTATCTGGCCCGGGCGGGATTGGAATTTCGCAGGTACTAGGTCGTCATAATCGCAGTTGTCGGCGCGGGCGCGCGGTCAGTCGTTCACCATACCGTCCGGGGCGTTCGGCTTGATTATGAAGAAAGGCATGAATGGATGCGTGTGATTACGAAAGATTGAGGGGCCGGGGTGAAGGGCGATGGATCTGAGATCTGTGATGGGGAAGGGTTGTTTACTGATGGATGTGTTATGTAGATGCTGGACCCTTGTTTTTTCCCTTTTTTTTTTCTTTCCTTCTTTCACCCTTCTTCATTTATTTTGTTTTGTTTTGTGGACCCTTTGTGCGCCGGTGTGGAGATGGGGACCTGATATCCTGTTCCCGGTGGCATAGCATAGGACATTCCGATATGGCCCATATGCATTGAAGGACGGGCCAAACAAGCAGATAGTTAGATATACAGAGCGCGAAAGGGATTCGCAAAAGCAAAAGGTTATTCCGCGCGCTCCCCAATTGAGAAATATGATAAGGGTCCCTCCTTTCTTCCGTCTCGAACAAGGCATCTAGAATGCCTATGGTGTAGGTATCCTATCATATCACTAGCTCCCTAGAAATCCGATGCCACATGTAACGCAGAGGGAAACACACTCGCAGTTTATCCGATCCCAGTCTCTCGTCAACGGCCTGGTCTGGCCTGGCCCCGCTAACGGCTGGCTGGTTCCAGGTTGTTGCGAATATCTGGGGGAGAGCCTAAACGGTAAAGTCGTGCCCTACAGCATATTACAACATTGGATGGAGAGGAAAAAAAGCAGTGGGTAGGTAAGGGTGAGGCACGTAAACTTTTTTTTTTGCTGCACTTTAGATATGTGATGTATGTGGTTATGACAATCTGCCGACCTGATTTGAGCAGATATTCTGCTTCATACAATTCCCGTTTGGAATGGTAGTAGCAAAGTGCCGATCTGGTTTTGAGTATAAGCAGAGAGTTCTGATATGGGTTAGGCGCCGTCCTGTCTCTCAACCCGTGTACTCCATCTCCACCCTAATATGTGGAGTGGATGAGAGCTTAGAGTAGTGGACCTCTGGCTGCATGTGAGAATCTTCCACAACACATGGGAGGACCTTCGAGAATGAACGCCTCAGCTCAAAACCCTGGGGGAGCAGAAATAGAGCTAGGCAAGAAGAAGCTACAGAGCACTCTGTAGATCGGGATCGTGAGACCTCTCCGTAACACCTAATAATGAAAAATACAATAATACAATAACGGCAAGGAGAAGAAAACAGTAATAATAATAAAAAAGTTGCGGACATCCGCAACGGGTGAGTTCGGATGATCGGGGCCCCAATCCGAATTGCGCTCCCCCCAATTCGGGACAACTCTGGGAAGTGAGGTTGGCCGTTTTGGATTGAGAGTACATCCTTTTTGGTGCGAACCAGTATTTTTTTTTGCTTCATGCTGTCAGCTGTGCAGCAGAGGTACGTTGTGTACCGAGCAAGTAGGTAAGTAAATATATGTAGGTGTTTCTTTTGAATGGCTGGCTGGATGGCTGGCTGGCGCATCGTGGCTCTCGGGAAGAAGCCGAGGACGACGAGGGGAGGCAACCCAATTGATGGATGGACCTCCGCGAGATGTTAATGGATGTCATTATGCATATCTTGGGTGTCGGGCAGCAACGAGGGCAGGGCACGAAACGATGAGAATCGCGATGAAACAGAAGAGTTCGACATCGAGCTAGGTGCATGACGGAGTACCGGTTGTCGATACGATACGGTCGTAATTTTGTTGAGTTCTCAGGTGAAGCAGAACAGAAGCAGGAAGCAGAAGCAGAGGGTAGAGGCAGAAGCTGCCATGGTGACTTCCGGCCTGCCATGTTTGCTCCGGCTCGATATCGAACTCGACTGCCCCGCCGGGGTTGATGGGTATGTAGAGTGGAGGGGCATCGATTGTTGAAAAAAAAAAAAAAGGAAAAAATAACGTGGGTTGTGCCATCTTGTTCTGTTCGGCTTCCTTCGACCTTCTTCAACGCGTCAAAGCGCTTCAAGAAAAACCAGAGAAAAAGTAAGGAAAATATGTCCGCATTACGACAGCCTGCCACCCCGGCTTCTGGGAAAGTGTCAAGAAGACTAGCCATCCTGTCTCCGTTAGTAGGATTGACAAGAGGCAGCCGTTTGATGGAAACGATCTGAAGAATCCCGGTCAACTATCGACCGTTGAAAGCCCTGTTCTAAGGGGAGGAACGAGCCTCTTTGCCTAGGGCACTAAACCACTGGAAAACAGCTAATTCTTGCGGGCTATCCCCAGTACTGGCACCAGTCCGAGGGCCCAAAAGCCCGAGACTTGGAAACAGCGATTGAGCGATTTAGGAACCCCTCGTAGCTTTTTTTCTCTAGAGGCTAGAGGGTTTGGGATATTAGTTGAGGTTAGGTTTTTTTTGTCACAGCAAAACTCTTGATGTCGATGTCGATTTGCATAGAAGCCTTTTTTTCCCGCAAATCTTCTTGGGTACTTTGGAATAGTTAAAAAAACGTGCTTTAGATTATCTGCGCCGCGACACCCCCCCCCTGCTTCAATCAATGTGGCCGGGACTGTAAAAGTCACCATACCCTTCATCCCAAGGAGGGAAAACGAGGTGCGTGTGCTGATTGATGCAGTGTAAGGAGACCAGTGATACACGAGGAGTGGCTTGCAGGCCTCGCCGCCAAAGAGGACATATCACACATATGGCGCGGAGGCATCATATCATGATAGAGTGATGTGTTTAAACTAGAGGGGCACAAGCGGAAGGTGAGAGGATGAGAAGGGGAAGAAACGGGAGTTTTTCTCTAGGGTTTTTTTTTTTCTGCTTTCGTTTTTGTGTCGTTGATGATGGCATCGCAGGGAAAACAAAGTATACGGCAACAGCAGAGGATTCAGCAGAATGACGCATGTACCTGAGAAAGGCAATTGGATGGTTCCTTTCTTTTTTATTTTACTTTTTGGGAGCAATTGAAACGAATGTAGGTGCTCAGTTGCCTAGCTAGGGCACTCAGTACCTAAGGTAGCAGCGCGCGCGTGGGCGAAGAAGGTAGAGCAGAGCATGTAGGCAACTGGAAGGATACATACATGAGCATTGGAAGAATACCTTGGAGGTACTCTACATCTGAGACGCAGGGGCACTTTGGCAAAGACTTTGGCACTCGACCTCACAAGGGACGCAGACCGTGCTTCTGAACCGCATATGGATAGGCCGAATGACTGATGGAATTTGGTGATTGAGTGACCAGGTGAAATTTCTCCTCTTCCCTTGATGTTGTTCGTCATCTCATTGATCCATCTCGTTCAGGTGCACGAGGGGGGTCTAAAAGAACAACAGGGCTAAAAAGAAGCAAAGAAGTGAAAATAAAGGAAGAAAGAAAGAAAAGAGGGAGCACACAGGGAAGAAAGAACAACAGAGAGGCGGCGCAAGTAAAAGATATTATTATTTTTTTGCCTCCACGGGATCATCGAGTGTTGCCTGGTTGTTGGTTGCTGTCTGTGTGAATCTCAGTCAAGTCAAGCAGTCATCAACAGCTTGTTGCTATTACTGCTACGGGCTATTGGCCTGGCTCTATTCACCAAGCCTTCCCTTCTTCAGTCCTTTACTCCAAGCGGCTGCTCTTCTCCGCTCGGCGTTGCGGAAACCAAATCTGGTCAACGTCTCTGTAGGTGTTGCTGTTCAGGGCTGCGAATAAACCCATACCTACCGCTCAGCACAAGCACAAGCACAAGCACAACCACTCACCACCACCACCCCCTTTACCCCTCGACGCTGCTGCTGCGCTTGTTCAACTCACCTCATTTTAACTCTCCTCCGTTATCGACCATCACCCCCCCTCCCTCCCCTCCCACCCCCCAAAGTCAACCATCCAATAGACATCGTGACGTTCTCATCGACTGTCCATCGATAGCCGTCATTTGGGCTTGTTTGGGGTTTGCGGCTGCCCCACTGTTACTTACGCATCCCTTACTCGGCCATTCTTAGTCCCTCCGGTCTCCCCTACTCCCCAATCCAACATTGTTCAAGTCTCACCCACTAGGGCATCCTGGCTATCTTGATTCGTTGCTTCAGCCAATAACAGCAACCAGGGCCTTAGCGATTATTCCCCTCCTCATCTCCCCTCAGCGACGTCTCTACTTGTGATGATTGCTACTGCTACTGCCCGGCACTCACCTCTCTTTTCGCCGTCAGCTACCTCATCGCGTGTTGAAAGAAACGGAATCTCTAACGGGGCGGGAAGACAAGGATCTACAGACAGTGGATTTAGAGAAGGAGGAAGGACCAGTCGGCCGTCAACTGCCTCAAGTTACAGTCGCGATCGCTCTGCATCTACATCTCATCAGTCGGGAATGCCTCAGAGAGCAATAAGGAGAGAAGAAGTTATTCCAGCAAGGATGTACGTGCGCGCTTTATACAATTATACTTCGGAAGATCCCACCAGCTTGAGCTTTAGCCAGGGCGATGTGATCACGGTGATCACACAACTGGAAAGTGGGTGGTGGGATGGCATAGTTCACAACCAGCGAGGATGGTTCCCCAGCAACTATTGCGAACTCATCTCTCCTCACGAGGTGACGCAAAACGGTAGCACTCAATCACCGCTGGAAGACAGCGATGAATATGAAGACGACTCTTACGATGACGATGAATACGAGGAGGAGGACGACGACGACTCAGAGCGTGGGATGCCGTCGCCGATTCTGCCGCTTGAAGGTACGGATGATAGAGAGAACGACGAGGCTGCGTTTTGGATACCTCAAGCGACGCCGGATGGAAGGTTATATTATTTCAATACAAACACAGGAGTAATGAGGACCGATCTGCCGCTGGAGGCACCAACTTCGACAACAGAGTCAGGTCCTCGAGATAGATCAACTTTCTCTGCCCCCGATCAGACTCGGCCACCGCCTGAGCTTCTGGAAAGGGCCTACGGAAGAGACGAATCAGGTAATCAGAATTTCGGAGAAGAGGAAGAAGGCGATTCGGCTTCCGATGTTGGAGAAGGTGAAATGTTGGTTTTGTCAATGCACAGCCCTGGACCCTCGCGAGTATGCTCCCCTAAAAAAAAAACTTTATGCGTCACAACCACCATACTAATGTGTGAAAACAATAGGACAACGGTGGTCAGTATTTTATTCCCGTAACAACCACAAGTATAGAATGTGTAAACTCATTTAATCTTCTAGAACGTGAATCGCAGGCCACACTGGTAGACAGCACCGCATTAGTCGACTCCGGGAACCTCCAAAATGGCTTTAGGCTTGGACATTCCCCCTCATTCTCAACATCCACTACAGCTACCGCCGTCAATGTTAGCAATGGTGTCACTAACGGCCATTCCATCACATCTCCGGTCGTTGACACAAGATTCGACAATACCGTTACCATATATTACGAGGATGGCATAAGTATACCAACATCGTGGGATGAACTGATAGAGTCTACTCGGCTTACAGTTGAGAGATATCGGAAAGCGATCAATACCTTTGACCGCTCAAATTATGTTACTCGGGCAGAAGACATATCCGATATGCTTCGATTGTTGATCACGGCGGGCTCGGGAACCACCGATAACCATTCTGGGCAGCCGTCAATAATTATGCGAAACACTACTCTAAATCCCCATTTCAGACATTTCATGGCCGCATTCTCAAAACTCGTCCTATCTTCACATGTAGCAGCAACAGATTGTCCTCCACCAGATGCTGAATCTAAATGTTTGGCGGAGGCCGATGAGGTGATGGTTGGTGTCTTTGGTTTTGCAGATATTGCTAAAGCACAGAGAGAAGGAAAACTTCCCCGGCTGAAACCAGGTTTTATTCACGGAAGTCAGTATGGAATCAACTGGCGATCTGGAACTTTATCAGCGGCTAGTCAAGGGGCAACAACCTCTCCGCTGGAAATTGAGCTGGTAAACAAGATGGAAGAGTTGACTTCTCTTGTGAAACCCGCCTTAAGACGACTTGAGAATTCGTTGGAACCCCCATCAGAATCCGTGATTACAGAATATGGACAGGGTCTCACCAGCTCAAACCTTATCAACATAGCCTCAACTGCATTTGACATCATGCGGAGGTACTTTTATGTTATTGATACCATCAACTTGTCAGCTTTGACGGCATCCCCGAACCACCCCACTCTATTGGATTTTTCAAGTCAGAGACAGCGATTGCACGACTCCTTTGCGGATCTGTTTATGGCTTGCCAGGCAGTCTCTGCCCCATTGGCTGATGAATGGACGGCATGTCGTGGGGATCCTTTAGAAGACAGATTAAATGCAGTCCGGCTATATATAAAGGAGGTGGATAGTGGAATGAGTGCCCTGAACTTTTCAATACAGCTGCTTGTTGAGGAGAGAGATAGCCGGGAACCTAGGGAGATCACGACGGAGGATCTCACGCGTAAGGACTCTGTATATCCCGGTATGCAAGGCCGTCCAACGCACCAACGCTCGTCATCACGTCACCAGAATACTTCGAGAGCCCCGTCGGTGATGGATAGACCGCTTCCTCAAGGCGGAAAATCAAAAATCACGAAAATATTCGGTGAAGAGCCTCCTCCAGAAACACCGTGGTACCTTGGATGCGATCATGATAGTGAGATCGTATACGGCGCAAAGGGTAAGGTGAAGGGTGGCTCATTGGTAGCTCTGGTTGAGCGCGCCTCTCGTCATGATATGCTAGATTCCAACCTGATCAGTACCTTCTTACTCACCTATCCCTCATTTACGACTGCGTCCGAGCTCTTCAACCAACTTGTCCGAAGATTTACGGTTCAACCTCCTTCTGGGCTGTCAGCAACCGATTTCGAGATATGGACTGAGAAGAAACAAAAGCTTATTCGTGTACGAGTTTTGAGTATTATGAAAATGTGGCTGGAGCAGAATTGGATGGAGGGGCTAGATGATGCAGCAAAAGAACTTTTGAGGAAGATGCACACGTTTGCCAAGGATGTCATGCTGCCGCAGTTATCAGGGGCCAACCAAGTTCTATCACTCATTGATACACGATTACGTGGTCAGGAGCCCGAGATGAAGCGCATGGTTCTGAATATGGTTTCTCAGCCACCCCCACCAATTCTACCAAAGCACATGAAAAAGCTCAAGTTTTTGGACATTGATGCTTTGGAATTTGCTCGTCAATTGACCATCATTGAATCCAAATCATATGGAAAGTTAAAGGCAGCTGAATGCCTGAGCAAGGGGTGGAGTAAGCCGCCGAATGGTGGACCGGATCCCGCCGAGAATATCAGAGCTATCATCATGCAGTCCAACAGACTTACGAACTGGGTTGCGGAAATGATTTTAACCCAGAACGAAGTCCGAAAGCGGGTGATTGTGATTAAGCATTTTATCGCCGTGGCTGAGGTAAATCTAAAATCTAACAGGTCATTTATTTAGATGCTAACCCTTCTTAGAAATGTCGGCAATTGAATAACTTCTCGACTCTCACTGCCATTCTTGCAGCTCTACAGACATCTTCTATTCATCGTTTGAAGAGGACATGGGAACATGTACCAACCAGGACTAATGCTATTTTGGAAGGAATGAATACTTTGATGGGAGCGACCATGAACTTTGCTGAGTATCGAGAGATGCTTCACATTGTCAATCCTCCTTGTGTTCCGTTCTTGGGTGAGTTTATTTCCGGAGCGCGCTTTCTGAAGAAACCTACTTATACTTGTGGCTTTCATCAGGTGTTTACTTGAAGGATCTCACCTTCGTTGCCGACGGAAACGAGGATTTCATCAAGGGAGATAAAGGCTTCATCAACTTCGACAAGCGCGTCAAGACCGCCAACATCGTGCGTGAAATTCAGCAGTATCAATCAGTACCATATCCATTGCAGCCGGTACCGGAACTTCAGGAATACATCATCACAAACATGCAAAGTGCCCGAGATGTCAATGACATGTACAACTTGTCATTATCTTTGGAGCCAAGAGAGAGAGAGGACGAGAAAATTGCGAGGTAAATACATTTCTTATATCTTCCCCCAAATGTGATTCGGTCCAAATCGTTTCCTTCCCCACCGACTCGCTTTGTCGTTGAGATCCGGAAAAATATAGTTATCGCGCGTCTCAAGCGCAGAACAGAGCGAATCGGTGGAGGAGGGAAAATCCAGATCATATCGATGAAGATGAATCGTTTGTTCTGACTTGAAACCAGATTACTACAAGAATCCGGTTTCTTGTAAGTCGGTGGGCATCTTTTTTACAAAAGTGTATTGTTTCTATCGCTATTTCTTTATTTACTGGGATATTTCTTCTTTTTTTATATTTTATATTTGAGGCATATTGTATGTGTATGTGGTGGGGGAGAGCCTAGTTTTTGGTACTGGTGGTTACATGGTTTCCTAAACTATTTGCTTTTGATTTTTTCTGCGTCACTACGGCTTAAAGCCAAGGACATTTTTACATCTTTTTTTTGGTTGTTGGGGTTGGAAAGGTGGGGGGCAACGGTCTACTTTTTTTGATATCTTTTACAGTGCGATTTTTTACAATTCCTTAGTTTAGTCCCTTTGTTATTCTCATTTATCACGGATCGGAAAGAAGGCTGGTTGGTTGGTTGCCATATATTGGTAGTTCAAATTGTTGGGTTTGGTTTATTGTGTTTACTGTGTGTATCATGCAGTTTCCCTTTTTTTTTTTTTTCCCTTTCCCTTTTTTAACGGCCTCTTTCTTTTGTCTTACTTCGATTCACCCCCCTATTCTTTTCTTTTCTTTCACCACTCATCCTCTTCTTCCATACCACTTTCACCACCACCACCACCACTACTACTCACTACTACTACCCCTTTTCCTATTTTTCCAACAAACCACCATCCCCCCCTTTTCCTTAAACTCTCTATTCTCATTTTCATACCAGGTGTAACGGGTGCGGGAGGGCGGATCGATTGATTGATTGACGAAATTTTCCCTTTAAGTTTCTGGAGTTTTAAATTCTTTTTTTCTTTTTTTCTTTTCCTCATCTCTCTTTCCTATCTCTCTTATTTTTTTTATCCATTTGTGCCTAGCTGCCCATGGATGGGTGAGTCTGACTGATCAGGGTTGGATGTGTGTGTGTATATGTGTATATATACAGCTACCATGCCTTACTACTACTACTGCTGGTACCTGCTCTGTGAATTAACTGGGTATTGAATATGCGTAAACGTGAATGCACTGAACAGGTGGGATGTTGGATATTCGATGTTGGGGCTTGATAGATACCCGCCCCGCAGCCACCGGCCACAACTTTGAGTAACTTCCACCGCATAACTCATAGCTATGTATCTGTGTGTTCCCATAGCCCCACTACCGCAACCACCGCAACCGCAACCACCACCACCACCACCACCACGCCTACCCAGTGGGGGCCGTAGTATAAATGTTGGGAGGCTTCCTCCCCTTCGTGACTGCCCTCGTGCACAAGATCACAGACATTAGTGGCGGAAAAAACCTCTGTTTGAGGCGAATCGAAAACTCGGAATGAAAAGAAAACTGTTTCGTTAGGTATTTCGTTGTTTGTGCTACCTACATGGACAGATTTACTAAGTATGGCTGGGCTGGGTATCCTGGATTCATGCCATGCTATGCGATGTAATGTCTCCGTACCGTACCGCACCGCACTGTACCGCACGGTACCGACGGCGGCGGCGGCGATGGTGGGTAGTGGTGGTGGTAGTGGTGGTGGTTGTGGTGGATCATTCTGGTCAGAGTATCCATGCCGTCAAAAATATTTCTTTTGTGGATATGTATGTCTGGCTGTTTAGATGTGTTCAGTCGCCCACCCTCTTTTTTTTTCTTTTCCCTCTCCTTCTTCCTTGCACACATCGATTCTCTTCCTTCCCTCTTTTTCCACCTAAAAATGTCTAAGGCAAAATATCTACCAAAAACTAGAGTACTTTGAGAGAATGTTTCCCTTCCTGGTAACATAAACATCCCCAACACAAGACCCACCATCCACCATCCACAAATACCCCAACTCTATGTAGCCAGGTAGCTACTCCACAGCTAGCCCAGCTAGGTGTGTATGTATGTATGTAAACACGTACATGTAGTTATGCGGAAACTAAACAGACCCTGCCGAGCCCAACTGCATAGAGTACATATTCGGGCCAAAACGCTGCTCAGCCCTGCTACACTCAGTGAAAAAAAAACTACTGCTACATAAATACCACTTAGCATAAAGTTACACCAAACACCGCACCGGCGCTGTAGATCCAGCCGTTCTGCTGTGCTGTGCTGTGCTGCGCTGTCGTGCCCACAACCACAACCACAACCGCAATAACAACGATCCGAGACCCGTTGCCTACCTGTCTGCCTGCCTACGTGCTTGTTTGCATGGGTTCGGAGGCAGTTGTGTTGGTTTGGTTGTGTAACTACTAGCTAGGTAGAGGAGGAGTGAGGAGTAGGTATGGATGAGTAACGAAGAGGAGTGCTCTTATGAAGCGGTTAATAGTTGACGAACGGAGATTAGGGTTATGACAAGAATGGGCCAAGATCTTCAAGTTCTTTTGGTTTCTATTGGCCCAAACTTCCCTGGTATTATTCTTTGAGCGACTGGTATCATGGCTGGTGGTGAGTGGTAAGTGGTGAGTGATAGTGGTGGGTTACATCCACCGATCATTACCATTCCCAGCCGGGGTACTAGAGTAGGATAGGGTAGGGGTATCTAGGGTATGTATGACGACAGTGCAATAGTGGGGTTTTCCACCCATACTGGGGATTTTGTACCTCCTCTACCTCTCTACCTCTACTCTTCGAATTCTGCCTCGTAAAAGTTGAGGCTATTATCGAGAATTACAAACAATCGCGTAAAGATTTCACCCGTAGAGATGCCTAAATATTGTAGAGCAGAGATGAGCGGTTATGCGCGCTTCGCTTCGGGTATCGGTATCAATGATCGTGGGTACTGGTATTCGGTAGTGGGGCGGGAATAGTGAGGGGAAATGATTGGATTAGTAGTATCTAGTAGCCTAGGTTCAATTACTTGGTAGAGAAGATAGTTAGGTAGCGTATATATAACTACTAAAAGCTCTCTCCAAGGGCCTACCTATCTACCCCGCTCATCCTCCACAGTTACCAATTAACTGCCCCTACTCCACGACTATATATATATTCACAATGGCACCAATTGGAATTGCAATCCTCGGCTCCGGCAACTTCGTCCGCAACCAGCACAAGCCCGCAGTCGAAGCCTGCTCAAACCTCTCCCTCAAAGCCGTCTACTCGCGCAGTAAAGCCTCCGCCAGCGCCCTCTTCGCGGAGAGCAGCAATGTCGACATCTACAGCGACGACTCAGGCGCCGGTCATGATTTGGACGCTCTATTGGCGCGGGAGGATATCCACGCTGTTATCATTGCGTATGCCATATATCTATACCTACCATTTGCAAGCATTGTTCATAGCTGATATCAATTGAACCTGGTGACCAGACTCCCAATTCCCCTCCAGCCAGAAATCATCAAAAAGTGTCTCCTAGCGTCCAAACACGTTCTCTCCGAGAAGCCCGTCGCTCCCACCCGCGCTATCGCCCTCGAACTCATCGCCTGGCGTCACGCCAACATCCCCGCCAGCACACACTGGGGCGTCGCCGAGAACATGCGGTTCCAGAACGGATGGCGATACGCCGCCGATACAATCCGCACGCTCGGCCGCGTGCTCAACTTCCGCGTCGAGACGGGCAACATGATTGCCCCCGGCGGGGCCACCTTCGAGACCACGTGGCGCAAGACACCGGCGTACCAAGGTGGCTACTTACTTGACGGCGGGGTGCACTACACGGCCATTATTCAGATCATGCTGGGTGATGATCGGGTCGATAGGGTTGCGGCGTTCACGACTAGACTGCAGGAACATCTGCCGCCGTTAGATACGGTCGATGCAGTATGGCGGACGAAGGCGGGGGTGCAGGGGACGTTTTCGTGTAGCTTTGGGACGTCGGTGAAGAAGTTCGACTATGTGGTTGTGTGTGAGAAGGGGGTGGTGACGGCTACGTGGGGTAAGGTGACGGTGCAGAGGGGGGCGGAGGTCGAGGTCAAGGAGTTCCCAGAGGACGGGAGCGGGGTGAAGCAGGAGGTGGCGGCGTTCGCAGAGGCGATTGCGAAGGGGGCTGCGGATGAGAGGCAGGCGCCGGAATTGGCGTATAGGGATTTGGATATTGTGAGTGTTTCCCTATCGGTTCTGTTCTGTTTTGAGGATGTTTTGCTAATTGTTTGCATAGATTGAAACCATGTTGAGATCTGGTGAGCAGGACGGTGCGACGTTGAAGATTAGTGGAGAGTTTTCCTAGTTGTAGAGTTAATAGGCCAATTATGTATTGAGCTTTCGGGCATTTATTAGTTATGCAGCATGAGTGCCATTATTTTAGAATTCTGATAAATGAATATATCTTTGGTGATGAGACATGCATAGTGAGTTTTACACTGCAGAAATCCCATAATTCCGCGGCGTCTTTTCCACCATGGATTTCTTAAACGTTTAATTTGTCCTCAAACTTCCCTTCTGTCGTGCAGTATTGTCCCAATCCATAAAACGCAATAGTTAGCAGCGAATCACCTATGTAGTATTGTCCCAATCCACCAAGCGCAATGGTTGGCAGCGAATCACCTCCTGCAGCCCAGCCAACCGATTGATCGATAAATAGTTGATTGTTTGCAGCCAACCAAGCCGAGTGTATATACGTAGGAAGAGTATAATAAGATGGATGGATGGTTCCATTACGAAGGAAAATATGAGAGCCTATGATCTACTTATACATACTTGGCTACATAGAGACCACCTTGTACCGAGTGATAATCCACAGACCCACAGCACACACCCAACAAAAACCCAAACCAAACACATGAAACACACAAACATGTCAATGATATTTCTGCCCGCCTTCATCCATGTTTGAATTCGGAATCCCACTTAAATCCTGCGCCGGAAGCCAGAAACATGCCTCGGCCTGGCAGATCCCGGCAATGCGTGTTATCGGCATCGGGCCGGTCGGAAAGCCACGGTCGGGCGGAAAAACAAATAGCCGCAGCCCCGCGCAACCGGATCCCCAACAAAACACTACGGGAGAGACTTAACGTTGGGTTGTGTATCACGAAGCACAGCAGAGCACAGCAGAGCACAGCAGAGCACAACACATAGCACAATGCCATTAACTGCATTACATACTGCGAGACTGATCACGATGGTCCAAGAGGATGGGGTGTGTGTGCACTTGTAATATGTAGAGCAATATATCGTCGTCGTCGTGGTGAGTGCATCTGTATGTAGGTCAACAGCTACTCTACCACCGACGTCATGGGCAGGTTTAAAACACCGCCATAGATTACACGAGAAATGTGTTGAATGTTTGGGGATCGTGAGTGAAGCTTAGCTGGCGGTGAGAATAGTGAAGTCTATTGTACGCACGTAGCCGGGATTTCCCGAGAGCGGCCCGTCATTCATCGAATCCCGCACGCACCGGCGGAGGAGGGCCGGGGGGGTGGTGAAGGGGGGGAGAGAAAATCTTCAAAGCAGCACCTTGCCCCCTCTCGCTCGCTGGAATATCTTCACCTCACCCCCCCCCCCCCCCCCCAAGCAAGCCCCAGCAGGCTCATCTATCTACAGAACAGAAGAGGAGAGTATCTACATACATACACTCTCATCTGTTCACACACACATACACACACGCCCATCTCACACCCTCACACACACTATTTAAATACTGTCACCTTCCATATCCATTGAATTGACCATACACACAAAGTGCCCAGAATGGTTGTGTCGTTAACCTCGCTCCGAGTTGCAGCTGCTCGCCGCTGCTCATCGGTGCAGCATGTGCAATTTGCGCTGCCCCGCACTTTGGCCCCGCGGGCGTCTGCCTCAAAAGCGCTCTCTGCCACCGTAAGGAAGTCATTCTCCACAACCACTTTCAGGATGGTAAGTTTTTTTTTTCTTGAACTTATAACTCTGGCGAGCTATAGATATTTTTTGGATTTTATCTTTTACCGTCATACTGACAACGGGAATACAGGCAGACCACAGAATCGAACGTGATGCCTTCGGCGAGATCAAGGTCCAGACCGACAAGTACTGGGGCGCCCAGACCGAGCGGTAAGCCTCCCCCGACATCTCCCCAGCTCATCTCGAACCTCGAACTCACAGGAATGGCGGAAATCGCAGGTCCCTGATGAACTTCAACATCAACCAGCCCTTCGACCGCATGCCTCCGCCCGTCATCAAGGCCTTCGGAATCCTCAAGCATGCCGCTGCAACCGTCAACATGACCCACGGGCTCGACCCCAAGATCGGTGAAGCCATCCAAACCGCGGCCAAGGAGGTCATCTCCCTCAAGCTGCTTGACCACTTCCCCCTTGTCGTCTGGCAGACCGGCTCCGGCACCCAGAGCAACATGAATGCCAACGAGGTCATCTCCAACCGTGCCATCGAGCTTCTCGGCGGCGAGCTCGGCTCAAAGAAGCCAGTCCACCCCAACGACCATGTCAACATGTCCGCTTCCTCCAACGACACCTTCCCTACGGTCATGCACATCGCGGCCGTCCTCGAGATCACCGAGCGCCTGCTCCCCAGCCTGCGTGAGCTCCACGCCGCCTTCGATGAGAAGGTCAAGGCCTTCGACCACATCATCAAGATCGGGCGCACTCACCTGCAGGACGCCACCCCGCTCACCCTCGGCCAGGAGTTCAGCGGCTACACCACCCAGCTCGCCTACGGAATCGAGCGCATCGAGGCGACGCTCCCCCGCCTCAAGATGCTCGCCCAGGGCGGAACCGCCGTCGGCACAGGTCTCAACACAAAGAAGGGCTTCGACGTTGCCGTGGCCGCCGAGGTCTCCAAGCTCACCGGCATCAAGTTCGTCACCGCGCCCAACAAGTTCGAGGCCCTCGCCGCACACGATGCCATCGTTGAGGCCAGCGGCGCACTCAACACCCTCGCCTGCTCGCTCATGAAGATCGCCAACGACATCCGCTACCTCGGGTCCGGCCCCCGCTGCGGTCTCGGAGAACTCAGCCTCCCCGAGAACGAGCCTGGCAGCTCAATCATGCCCGGAAAGGTCAACCCAACCCAGTGCGAGGCCCTCACCATGATCTGCGCCCAAGTCATGGGTATGCTCCCCCCTTCCCTCCGAGTGACCCCTCATGACGCAAGCTAACCCTAACCCAGGAAACAACACCGCCATCACCGTGGCCGGCTCCCAGGGCCAGTTCGAGCTCAACGTGTTCAAGCCCGTCTTGATCCGCAACCTGCTCCACAGCATCGCGCTGCTGTCGGACGGCATGCGCTCCTTCAAGGACAACTGTGTCGTCGGCATCCAGGCCAACGAGAAACAGATCAACAAGCTCCTCCACGAGAGTCTCATGCTCGTCACATGCCTCAACAGCAAGATTGGGTATGACTCAGCCAGCAAGGTGGCTAAGAACGCGCACAAGAAGGGTATCACGCTGAAGGAGAGTACGCTGGAGTTGGGCGTGCTCACGGAGGAGGAGTTTGTGGAGCTTGTGAGGCCGGAGTTGATGATTGCGCCCAAATAGATGCATCGCGAGGATGGCGAGAGGGGGGGGATGGGGATGGGGGATGGGGGGTAATTTGGAGTTTAAAATAAAAATCGGGGTTGTATATTGTAGTAGAGGCCCGGAATGTAACTAGGTACTTTTTTTCTTCAGGGAATTTAAATGTTGGATTTGCTTTGTCATTTGGTAAAGATTTGGGGGTCGAGATGGCGTGGATTTTTAGGTGAGCTGTAATAAGGCCATTATTAAGTTAGGTATTTGCACTATGTATAGTGCCTACAAACCCAGCTTTGATATCAGACCAAGACCACATCGTCGGGGCCGGTGTGATATTTATTCCAAAGGCTGATACGAGACCAAAGTATTAGATGACGAGAGAGAGAGAGAGAGAGAGAAATTGATGAGTTAGAAAGACTACGAGGGCTTCTATCTTATACACCATGTTTAGGATAGATTGTGACACCACCTGTTTCTTCCCACAAGCCTACAGTTACATTATCTATACGTAACCCACGATCACGGCAGCAGCACACATATGCATTACCACAGCCCTCCGCTACACGCAGTTAACTCTGAGCACCCTTCTTTCAGAGGATTCCCAAATTCCGTCTCCATGTGCTCCGACCACCCCCGGCGCACCGACTCCAGGCAGCCAATGTTGATCTGGCTGATCATTGTCATTTAATTTCGGTCACACGCGATCACTCGTATGTTGCGAAATGTACGACTTGTAAAATAGCAAATGAGATAAAGCAACTGCCCGGCCCCAGCCCACCTCTGTACGGGCAGCATGGATTTGCAATGTGTGCAGTAGAAAATGGGCGCCATGGTCTGCCTACCTACATACTTAGGTCTTGATATCTCTGTCTGTTACATGCGGGGATTTGCTCATGGCGTAGGAATAGAGTACGTACTCTACTAAACGCAGGAGCATAGCTAACGGGTGTTTTAAGTACATATTAGGTCTCCAGTTAAACGCATATAGCTGTATCTGTGTTCTAATTATAAAACGACGAACCGCACATATACATTACACTACAATTAAAAACTTCTCAATAAAGGCCATTTATTCGTTCATTCATTCCCAACTAACTATGTAACTACATACACGTACTCACTACATCTACATACACCCTCTAAAAATACAACCCCACCCCCTCGAGCTCGCACACTCCATATGTAACTACACTTCTCAATACGTTCTCAGCTCAGCTCATCTCATCTCATAGAAGCAGCCATGATAAAAAACACACAGTCATTCATTTAATACATGTATCTTCCCTCGCCCCTTCCCCCCCAAAAAAAGTAGAATATATATAATCGCCACGCAATGCCACACAAAAAGTAAAAGTAGAAATAAACAACGAAAGAGAATCGGAGGAAGCAATGACCACCGTCTCAACGGTCAACCACCCCCCCCCCCAAACCCACTACCACTACCACTACCACTACACACCTCCCAAAAACGAGCATCGAACCAAAAAAAAAGAGATAAAAAGAGTGATCACAAAACCGGCAATAATCAAAGCGCCCATCCGTGTCAATTAATCCCCAACCAAAAAACCACCACCACCACCACCACCCAATTGACCCACCACCCTCTACCTAATCGTCATCTGCTTCATCCCCGCCGCTTTTCCGCCCCTTCCCCGTCCCGCTCCCGCCCCAGCCGCACCAGCAGGCCTCTTCTCAAACAGCTTCCAAAACTTCAAATTCTCATCACTCGCCGCAGTGGCAAGCGTGGTCCCATCCGGCGACAGCGCCGAATGCAATATCCTCGTCTCATGCGCGGGGATCTCTACATTCCTGACCAGCGTCGGATACGACCACACACTCAACTGATTATCCGGCAACCCATGGCACGACACAAGCTCGCGGTACGACGTCGACCACTTGATAGACGTGACCTGCGATCCGGCGTCAATACTGTTGACACGCGCGCCCGTCGTGCTGTTCCAGAAGTGGATGCAGCCGTCGTAGTTACCGCCGCCCGAGGCGAGCAGGTTGAGCTGCCAGGGGCACCATGCGAGTGCCTTAACGGCGGCCTTGTGGTTCGTCTTGGACCATTTGGGTGCGGCGAGGGCGCGCGCGTCCCAGATGTTGACGAGGTTGTCGTTTCCGCCGGACGCCAGCATCGCGCCGTCGGAGCGCCACTCGAGTCCGCACACTTCGGAGGTGTGGGAGAGGAGCTCGGCGGTCTTGTGTTCGGCGATGCGGACGTCGTGGTTATAGATGTTGCCTGATCGGGCTCCGGTGGTAAGGATTGCCTTATTCCACGCCATTGAGCCGACGCGGGAGTCGTGAGAGGACATGGTGCGCAGCTTTGTCTGGTCGTCAACGTCCCAGATCTGGACGTCGCCGTTTGAGACGCCGACGGCGACGTAGGCGCCATCGGCAGACCACTTGACGGAGGAGACATATGTGTCGGCGGCGGTCTCGAGCAGCTGCGAGACGGACCCGCTGTCGGCGTTCCAGACGTAGACATTGCGCTCGAGGCCGATTGCGACCTGGTTGGCGGAGGACCAGTCGAGGAGGTTGAGGTAGTAGTCGTCGACGAGGCCGGGGGCGTCGAGGACGCGCTCGGGGGCGGTAAGGATGCGGCGGCGGAACTGTGCGGAGGGGGCGGAGGACTTGGTGGGGCGGTTGTATTGCGTGCGGAGGTCGATGGGCTTGGATGACTCGGGGGCGGCGGGCTTGAAGGCGAGGATGCGGGTGGTGAGGTCGACGCCGCAGGCGGCGGCGACGGAGGACTCGTAGGCGAGGGACTCGGGGTTGGGCCGCTCGTAGGAGATGGGCTCGGTGTCGTCGCCGCTCGAGATGTTGGGGTTGGTGTTGTCGTCGTCGGAGCCGAAGACACCGCCACGGAGAACGTTGTCGGCAGAGGGGATGGGGCGGCCCGTAGCTGATCCGGGGCGGTTCGAGGTCTGGGACGAGGGCCGGGGACGCTCGATCTTTGAGGCGGCGGTGGGCGAGGAGGCGGAGCGGGTCGGGATGAAGCGGTCACCGTTCATACGTATTGTGGTCTTTGAAGACTTTGACTTCTTCTTCTTGACGGGGCTCTGGCCGCTGCCTGTCAGGGACCATTCACTTACGCCGAGATTCAGCTCGAGGGGCGAGCGGGTGGACTTTGGGGATGTGGCGAGCGGGGCCGACTTGGATGCAGCGGCAGGGGGTGCGGGGCGGGTCTTGGAGGAGCCCGACACCTTCAGTGACTCGAAGGCAGCCTGCAGAGAGCCAGACTTTGTGGGCTTGCGGTCGACGTTCCATTCGGGCTCTGGCTGGCGCTGGCGGGGAGGCGTGAACGGGGACTGGTTCTGGACTGCCCTAGCACGGGGGGAGGGCGTGAGGGGCATGCGGCCACCGGCGGTGCGAGAGCTGAAGAGAGTGGAGTGCGACTTGCGGGGGGTCTGGACGGTGGGGGGTGTTGGGTCCGTCATTCTGGCTTGTCTTCGGGAGTGGTGGGCTTTTTTTTAATATTTTTTTAATATTTATTTTTTATTTTTTTTCTTTCCCTTCCTTCCTGGGTAGGGGATAAAACAACAGGCTGAGTTATGTAGTTGTGACAGTGACTCTTCTGAAGTAGAAGCTATGGGTTGATTGAAGTAGTTGATAAAAAAACTCGTGATGGAATTGATTGAGGCGGGGAATGTGATGTGTTTGTTCGTGAGTGCAGAAAGTGTGGTTGTGAGGAATGAGGTTGTGAGATTGAGCAGAACAGCTGTGTGTGCGTGCGGTGACAGAGCCTTCGTGTGCCTTATGTACAGCTTGCCCTTTGGTGGTTTGGCTGTGAAGTTTGGCCAAGACGTAAACACGCCTGTCGCCATGGGCAACGGCTAGCCCCCAACCAGGTGCAAAACACCGCAGTCGGTCAGCCAGCTCCCAGGGCAACCAAGAGCAACCACAGAAACCACAGATCTAAGGAGAAAATGTCCCTCCTGCATGGCTGGACTGGCCCGGAACAGGTTTGCAGCTGATCAGACTGGAGTCTGTGATTTGATTCTGGCTTGAGACTGCGACAGTCAGAGACAGACAGTCCCTTTGACAACTGTTCCCCATTCATACGTTCATCCCACGAACACTGATTGCCCATCACACACCCACATGCACATGGTGATTTCCAATTTCTATGTAGCCAGACCCTCAACCTCCAGCGGTTAAGTTGTGAAGAAAAAAACTCACTCCCGGAGCTGTCTGTCTGTTGCAGAGGGCAACCGGGGGCAGCTAGTTTGTTTACAGCCGTCGTGAAGGGCAACCACCACCACCACTTCAACCCCTCATCTTGATAACCGCCCGATAGGATAGGATAGGGCTCCAGATTAGACAAGTGCGGCGCTACGCTTTAGATTCGCTAATTTAGTGGAGCCCCAATCAAGACTGTAATTCCCCCCAGTGACGAATAGGGCTGTAGGGCTATGAAATTGATGGTCAGGCACCGAAACGTTCTTGTTTGACGGATACTGTAATCAAACCGACCACAATGCGTGCGATGAATGGAATTTACACTCGAGCCCCACTGAGCGTATCCATCTCTAGTAGGTACATACACGCAGGTACCATCTGACTCATCGCCCCCAATTAATACCGTAATCTGCGGCAAAGTACTCGTAAGAAGTAAGGGATCCCAGATTAAACCTCCAAGTCCGGCCGGCGTGGGTTGCATTCGTTCATAGAGCTCAAGCTGTCTCTCGGTGTCCCAATTAATTGGTTAATATATACTCCATCGGCCGTTTTTTTAATGGCGAGAGTTCTACTGGAAACATGAAACCACATGTTCCTAGCTAGGCTATATTTATATAGACAGAATCGCCTTCATAAGCTATCACTCGCTGCCAAGACTTCCTTCGCCCAGCCATTGTATGGACGGTCAGGAACATAAATGTAGTCTTGCAACAACTGTGGTTTTGACCAACGCCGTTGTCCGTGAGCGGCCGCGGATAACGATCTGATAGAGACAGGGAGTCAACCAGAAAGGCTGTACGTTTTCAGTCCTATGAATCTCCGCAGAGCATGTGTTTTTAAAGTGATACCTCAATCGAGCTGACAGAAACCACCAAAGTAAGGGCCAAAGTGACCCCGTTACGTTAAGGGCAGAACCACCGTTTCAAGGAGGAAATGATGATTCGAGGCTGGCTCATTTGCGTAGATAACACGCCCCGCCCCCGCCTGTTGGCACACATGATAGAGGACGTTCTTGTAGCTGGTGATGAGTGTTGTGGTGCTGGGTTGGTTCCGTGCGGTAGAAGATGTGGTTCCCAGTTTGGGTCTCTGGCAGTGTAGAAAGCCTTTTCTGTCTGCTGAAGATACGGAAAGATTAGCCTGAAGTGACACGGGGGGGGGGGGGGGGTGTGGCTCTAAAAGCGATGCGATGTGGAGACGGAGACGGAAGGACTGCTAGTGGTACATATAGGTATATATACATATGTAGGTAGAGTCAGAAGCGGGTACGGGCGGGTCATTTATGTAGAGTAGTCCCCACAGCTTCCACAACCGCACCGCACCACACCGCACCCCATGCCAACCCATTCAACAATCTATCCCACCATCTACCCCGCCATTATGTACATGTAATCACATGTAGTCGTCTATCCCCTATACGGCCAGCTCGAACAATAATCACAAAATGAACCGCAAAGGGTACATAGTATGTAGTTGTGCTGTGCTGAATGCCGTGAACATTTATTCTCTCATTGCACGTTACTTAAGGAGCTTCACCAACTCGACGACTGAGCGAGCAGCGCCAGAGTTCAGCAGCGTATAGTTACTAATTAAGGTAATTTTGTAACTCTGGTTCGGACTGTAAACCGTGTAAGGGATACTGCACAAGAGGATGACCAGTGGGTTAGTACGTTCGTGATTACAGGGTTAGGTGTCCCCTAGCCCGCTCTGCTCTCGCTCCCTTAAGTATTACTTCCTGGCCCTTAACAGTTGTGCGGCGGGTAGTCTAGTGGGTAGATGCCTTGTTCAGCTACACCGTGTGGGTTGACGAACCACCACGACCGAAAGGTTGTGGGTTCAACTCCGGGGGTGGGAGTGGTGCTGTGGTTATATACCTCGCCCATGGGAGACGGAGCCGCTAGTTGGGCCCAGATCGCCGTGGAGGGGTATATGGCGCAGGAATCACTTTTTGTGTATTTATTTCCCGTTTTTTCTTTTTTTCTTTTTTCTTTGGAGGGGCCTGAGCATGAGGGTGTGTGTGATATCGATTGTAGCTCTCTCTGGCCGGCCTACAATTGCAGATTGAACACTATCTTAGCTTGTCGCTCATTATTTGGCCAATATGTCTCCCACATGTCAGGGCCGGATGTAGGATTAGGCCGGTTTAGCGAGTCCCCCCCAGACCATATCCCCTTATACACGTAGCAGACGCACATGAACATCCACTCACCACACGGTTACTGCTTTGATCAGCACGAGCACGAGTTTTCTTTACCCCAACCCAAATTAACGCCATCAACATAACATCAAGCTACATGATACAATGACACTGATTCCCCGGCCTCCGGCGGACCGTTTGTAGTGAGGGGCTATGTAGTGGATTCTAATACACCCCCGCTCTCTCCCCGAGACCGAGTGAGAGGCTGTGCGCAGGGTCACACTCGTGTGTCGCTGCCGGCATAGGGCCGTTTGGCACAAAGAGGCTTTGCTGGTATGGTTGCATGGAGTTGAGCGTTTCGGTTGTGGATGTGCGTGCGTTGTTGGCCTGATTGGTGCGAGTGGGGCGTGGGGCGTGGGGGCGGCGAGTGATAGACTGTGACTACACGGCTGAGGAAACACTAGATCACCTGGATTTCACTTATTCTGCTTGAGCTCAGGGTTACATCGTAGGGCTCGTGTCTTTGAGGTTGTTATTTTGAGCCTATTGTGTTGTCATGGGCTTACCAGTCCTGTTTCCGTCGTGGAAAGGATTGCGGCCCCCCCGTTCAATTCATGCTCCTATCATTGCGAGGAGGGCTAGGAGGAAACATCAGTCGTCGTTTGGTTACAAGGAGTATCCCCCCGTCTGTAAATAATATATTGGGCGTTGTGGTGTCTAGCTAGCTTTCTAGTCCGGCTTGCAGTATCTACCTGTGGTTTCAAACATCGGATTAATAGGGCACCTTTCTGAAATGAAGCATACGTCATTCACGATTACACCATGGACCGTTCGTTTCAATCCACCCGCGCCGATTAGCTCCCAGACGCAGCACCAACCGCGGATGGCAGAGACAGGCTGGAGGATTCAGGCTTGTTTAGTTGGATATACATTCCGGGTCCTTCACACCAAATCTACACACCGCAGAACAATACTCGATTTACTCGGCGCAATTTGGTACACACCTAAATATCACATATTGCAAACCTATATAACTACATAACTAGCAGGGATCGAACGTCTAGATGTGTCAAAGAACAAAAATTAAATATATATAAACCAACGACAGACCTCCCCCCTTTCTCCAATCAATAGATACAAGTTTGCCACAGCGCGCAGAAGAACAACAAAGGAAAAAGAAAAAGGAAAAGGTCATCAGGTATCATGATCAAAAAAAAAAGGCAAAAAAGAAGAAAAAAGGGTACGCCGTGAATGCAAGCCGCCGCACCGTGAAATGAAATAAAAAAAACCCGCATACCGTGTATCCGATCGTAGAAAGAGGAGGATGAGGAGGGAAGAGAAGAAGAGGCACAAAAATGCTTGAAGAACCCAAAACAGGAAGAAAGGTAAAAAAAGAAACTCCAGAACAAAAGAGATATTCACAAAACGCCTTTCCTATTTTGAAAAACAGTCAGAAAAGACAAGACAAGAGAAGAGCCCCCAAAATCTATAAGAAGACATGTCATATTCCACCAAGATTGTCCCACTCAGATGCCATTTTTTTTTTTCCTTCCCCCATTGATATTGGCCCCTAATTTTCTAGAGACTTATCCCCAGCCCCCTCCCGGGCATACTCGGCGGCATACTCGTCGTTCTCTGCCCCTCCGCCAACACCTCCCTCACCCTCCCCGCCCTATCAACCGCCCTCTCCAACAATCCCAACCTTTCCTTCGTCTTCACCTCGCGGCCCTCCAAGACCGCAATCCTCTCCTCTAGCTTTGCCCTCTCCCTCCTCTCCGTCGCAACCATCTCATTCGCCTGCTGGAACAATGTCGCCGACAGGTCCTCCAGCTCCTCCGTCACCTGCTCCAGCCGCTCCTCCGCCTTCAGCCGCAGCCTCCGCTCCTTCTCCAGCGGCTCGTTGACGGCCTCCTCGGGTGGCGGGCTGGGCGGCGGGGCACCGCGGCGGGTGGTGGCTGCGGAGAGGAACGCGGAGATACGGTTGAGCGCTGGCGGGGGCACGGGCATCTGTGAGGGGGATGATGTTGGGCGTGTCAGGGGTGGGGAGGCGTTGGAGCCCATGGTGTCGCGGCCGGAGGATGCGGACGAGATGGATCGTTTGCGGACTTCGTCTTCGTAGTCGGCGAGCTTGTCCACTGGGTTTTCGGGGTTTGTTTAGCTTGGGGTCTTTAGGGCAGAGGGATGTAAAAGCTTGTGTTCTCCCCCATCCCCTCTCGAGAGCTGGGCTGGCTGATCTGGTTTGGGCTGGGCGTACGGGGGGACTTGTGCTAGGGGAAGGTAGCTAGCTAGCTAGTTGGTAGGGTTGACAATGGGGGGAAACAGTGGGCTTACCGGCTGAAGTGGCTTTATCGCTCAGTAACCTGACCTGGGCCTCGAGCTCTGCTATGCGTCGTCTCGCGTCGGCAAACTCTTGAGCGTCCGCGCCGCAGTTTGGGCAGCATGTTGTTGGCTTTGTTTGTAGTCGGGGCAGGGTGACTGCTGGAGACATTTGTGGTTCACTGTACTACAGTGGATTCTTGGATAAGATACGAGGAGAGAGAGAGAGAGAGAGCGATTGTATGTTCAGGTGGAGTGAGGTATGTATCTAGTAAGTATGCGAGGTGGAGGCGTGGATAGATTGGAGGTATGTAGATAGGTAATGAGGTATGGTATGGTATGGTACGGTGAGAAATACTGGACGGAGATGGCAGGCTGGGTAGAGTAGTAGTAGGTATGCTAGGTACATGTAGGTATGGGAGTCGAGTATCTTATGTATATCACCCCTCTCTAAACTCTGCTCGCGTGCTCTTCCCGCTTCTCTCTCACACCGCGCAATTAAAAGGGGTGGTGGGAGGTATCTTGGTGGTGGTGCAGCTAGCTAACACAGATGAGTAAAAAAAAAAAAAAAAGCCACTCTCCTTCGTCCTTTTCTTCTTTCTTTCTCTGAATCCTTCTCTCACACGTTCTCTGACTGAATGACTGCTCACACCCCTCAGTTTGTCGCCCTGCCTATGTAGCTAGCCAGGTTCCCTTCGTATCGTATCGTCTCGCCTGGGATGCTGAGTTGCACTTTGATGACAGGGGAGCGAGGGCAGACAGAAAGGCGAGCGGTAAATCTATTAATATTGCCCTGAAACAGTGGTAAGGAGAAGCTTTGAGCTTCTGCTTGGCAACAGGGCCAGTGTGCTACCCACTCTACTCTTCTACACGCGCGGATCTCCCCTCACGATAAGTTGGCAGCTCCAGTATCGATACCGATGGTCACGGTGATCGATAACAGATTCGTGTCTCTCTTATCTAAGGTTCAGCCCTCTTCTAACGGATCGTGGCAGCGTCGAATTTCTTCATTTCCACCCCCATTGCTAGGTGCTACATACAACTCTTACTCTACTAAGCTAGGCTTGGGCTGCGTTGAGCTTTGGTGGAACTTGCCGGCGTCAGATCGAAACAAACAAAATACAAATCAAATAATACGAGCATCATCGTCATCATGCAGAGCCAGACTGGAGTAAACATTCGATTCGATCCCACCACTCGGGTTCTCCCAAGAAAAAATCGATCAGAAGCTCGCTAGCTATACCCCGCAAAATCGCACTTCACGTGTCCCCCCTCCCCCTCGCCTCTCCCTCTTCCCCACATAAATAGAACCGATCGAATCACGTGGGATAGTCAATGATCCAAATACCGTTTATTAATAGACGCTCAGTAGCTTAAGTCTATCTTTGGACCCCACAAAGGCTTCATTTGAAGCTGAGGAAGTTTGGGGTCGGTGGAGATCGAGAAGGAAACATTGTTTGTTCTGCACTGGCGTAAATCGGGCGAAACATATCGCCGACGTGGTGCCTTTGGGGTTCGGGCTAAAACTAGGGTTTCTGAGGGGTATAGGGAAGTAAGGTTGACCTGGAATGGCTGTTCAAACGCAGGGGCCAGCCGCCGACCAAAACCAACCTCCGATACGAGTCTGGCTCCGTCCCGCAGGTACATACACGCAGCGCACTCGCTGGGCGCGTGTAGGTAATAGAGGAAGTACCTACTTGTATGGGATATTCTCAAGACCATATGAATTGTCAATAATATCAAGAGCATGAGCATCAATTAATATTGATGATGATGTGTGCAACTTGTATACACAGTCATGATCATGATATATTGTCATATCATACGTAAGTATACCTCAAGCTTACTCGATAATCATGAATATGGCCCGCAATGAAACCAGGTTTAAGTCTAGCTGAGACCATGGTACGGTGCTGAGTGTGTTTCTTTGCGATTACGTAGGTTATATAATCGTGTGCAGACCACATTACCTCGGTGTTAATTCTTGAACTCAATTAAATCACCTACCAGCTCAATTGAAATCATGATTAGCAAATCATTCGCCATTGAACCAGACTCTGTCACGCATAAGCGCCAGCAGCCTTTAGCTGATCGATCCCGCTTGTGATGTTGTAAGGTCGAGAAACAAACCTATATGTAGTCTTAACAAAATAACTTTTTTTAGTAAAGTATCGTCCCCTTATCGAATCTTTTAAACCACATGATTGTCAACTAATATGTATTGAATAGGCTATTACAGCACAGGCCAGAATACTGCGACCATGGAGATATTGGGGCTACTTCAGCCGCTGTAGGCCTGGCCGATGTACTCTTTAAGACCAGCTTACAATGCTACAACGTTTTATCCGAAACGAAAGACCTCGCTGTCAATCACGACCACTTTGTTTGGCAGCTTAATACCGAGAAACATCGTTTGATAGGATGGGAAAAGGCGTGGGATTTAACGAGCGGTTTGCATCGAAAACTGGATCCAGACGATTACCGATATCGCTATGTTGTGGGAACTTTGGCTAGAATCGTCTCCCTCTTCACGAGTGCCGATGATCTGAAAAAAAAATACGGCATCCAAGCCAGCAATTCGTCCCAGCAGAGTAGACCCACTCCTTCTAGTTCATGGCTATCTGTGCGCCTCCCGCGTCGCCTGCAACGGTCACCCTCTCCTAGTGGAAGAAAGAAACAACCAGGAGCATCAGAAGTTCTCCCAGGCCTAGACACCTCTGATATTAGAGCACTCGAAAATCCCTCCATCTTAGAGAGCATGGATCTTGTTCATGGCCTGACAGAAGAGATAAAGCGAATCAAAGAGTCGACAGGTAGAATGCAGCAAGTGTTGCCGCTTTACAGGAAACTGCAATGGGCTGTTGTGGATAAAATAAGATCTAGTCATCTCATTAGAAAATTAAAGGAATATAACGATGGTCTCATTGCTATTCTTCCGACCCCCCAATCCCCACAAAACACACTGCTGGACTGCCAGCCGTTCTTAAAGTTCTATGTTCCGACTCAACTACCTTTACAAAGAAACCAATATTTCCGGGGAAGGGAGGATCTGCTTTCCGAGATGATCATGATATTGAACCCAAAAGTTGAAGCTACCAGGCATCAAGCCGGGCAGACTAATTATGAACCTACTAAAAAACATCGGATTGCGGTTCTTCACAGGCTTGGTGGGATGGGGAAAAGTCAGATTGCTACAGAATACGCATATCGGCACTATTCAAGCTCCTCGTACACCTCAATCTTTTGGATTGACGCTACAAGTCAGACGTCCCTTGCTCAAGGTGCAGTAACAATGATTGAACAGGTCATTGATTATTATCAAACGAATCCCCGAAGGTCTGATAGCACAATCGAACACATAGGCGCCCTATTAGGTCTCTCTGGATGTATTGAGCCAACTGGAAAGATACTGAAAGATACTCCCCCTGCTTCGGTGATAAAGGCGGCAAAAAGGTGGCTTTCAGAGCCGGGAAACAAAGATTGGCTAATTATTTTCGACAACAATGACGATATAGATTCCGTGAATGTGCATGACTTTCTTCCAAAGCTAGAGTTTGATCATGGAAGTACTATAGTAACTACTCGAAGGTTCGAACTTCGGTATCTGGGGACTGGGGTCGAGATAGATAAGATAGAGGGAAATGCTGCAATCAGCATTCTCTTGACATCTGCAGGAAAACCGGATACCACGGAAAACGACGAAGGTATGATTTATTAATATTCCATCCTAAAGCTTGGGGTAAATACTCAAACTATGAAGATTATGCGGAGGCCAGAAATATCTCAGAGAGGCTGGGATATTTCCCACTGGCACTCGATCAAGCCGGCGGATATATATCATCGAAGCAGATGCCGATTTCTAATTATCTACCACTATATACTGCAAATTACAAACGTGTTACGTCAAAGAGCCACCGGGGGTTAGCAGAGCGATACAGAAATGACACAGTTTACACTATTTGGAAGATTTCATTTGTTTCCCTTCCTGAGCTCGCATTTGAGCTGCTCCTGCTGTGTTTATTTCTTGGGGGTGTGGATATTTCTGAGGAACTACTTTTGCGGGGAAAGGAAGCAGTTCCCCGACTATTTGAAGGTGCTTTTTACCAGAATGAACGTTCAGCTTTATTCGAATACTTACATTATGCATGTACATACAGACGATTTTTTGGCCGAGGACGCTCTCGACCCCCTATTGTCATTCTCACTAGCAAGACGAAAGGTTGATATACAATCTACAAAGCTTAAGCTTTCGTTTCATCCATTAGTTTTGGAATGGGCCCGCGAAAGTCTTGATGCCGACGAACGTTGTAGATTCATGAATGAAGCTATTTGTCTTGTTGGCAGAACATATCAGCATAATCCGAAAAATCGGGAAATGGATGAATGGATCTTTGGGATGCAGATTCTACATCATATTAACACTACCATCGAAAATATCCAATATCTATTCAAATCGAATAATACCTGGAATGAAGATACAATGGACGCTATAGCTCAGATAGGACGTCACTGTGAATCTCATGGCTTGATTGGGGCAGCGGCAGGAATTCTAGAGGCTCTTTTATCAAACCTTGTTGAGCGAGCACCTAGCTTTGGAACTACAAATGTTATTGGTCTGCTAGCATATCTATATAGAATTTCTGGCCAGAGGGAGAAATCTCTGGAGTTGGGTAAAATTGTTTTAGAGTTTTACGAGATATCGTTGGGTAATGATCATTTTCATGTGGCGGAAATCAGGGCCGACTTATGTGCAATACTCTACAAACTTGGAAGATATGAGGAATCGCTAGAATCATTGGAACTCTTGCTACCCGTTAGTGAGAGGGTTGCGGGAAAGGAACATCAAATGACTTTGGGGTGGCTAGTGCCATTGATACTTGCCTCTATAGGCTGAGGGGAGTCGGAGAGATGGTGGAGGTAGAGAGGTTGTTTGCAGCCACCACCGAGAAGGTACTGGGGCATGAGCACCCAGATACCCTAGACGCTCTTTACAATTTGCATATTTCCCTCTTGGGGCTGGAGAGGTACGAAGAGGCGATAGAAATTGGCAAGCGGGTGGTAGCGGGTAGAGGGAAGGTACTGGGGCATGAACACCTAGATACCATAGCGGCCATCCAGCGTTTAGACATAATATTCACAGAGGAGCGGGAGGATGCGTGCGCGTCAGTGAAAGCAAAAGTGCAATCGACAGATTTAGATGGAAAGGAGGAAACACCCAAAAGTCCTATAGACACATTCGACAGTATGGGTCCACACTCGTGTACTGTCGGGGGGGTAAGAAGAAGAAGCTGTAAAAGTAAGTACTTCCTAGAGATAAAATAACAGGCGTTATATAATTATGAGATTTTGACATAAGCAGGCGCTCATATATGCAGCCCCCGAAGATTTTCAAACAGTGGTTAATCATCTCGATATCTTTCATGTCTCCTTCTCCCCACCCCCTTTTCTTTTTCTAAAAATAAAAACTCTTTAGGCACGATCGATAGCTAGGCGTATTTTGGACATTTTAATATTGTGGATAATGTATTTCGGTGGAAATTGCGTGGGTTAATTGAGAGAGCGGGATTTTTTATATCTCCTTGCGCTTAATTTTTTGAAGTTTATATTGCTTAAATCATTATTATTTGATTTGCTTGGTTGGGGGTGAGTGTTTGAACTTGCAACACGGAAAGGAATGTTATTACTAAATACAGAGGTGAAGACGGACTGTGAAACGCCACTCTTTTATTGAATGCTCAGATAAATCGAGTTCAAGCTTGAGGTATTCTCTATCACTTTTGGCTTTCAAGCACGGAATAAGAATATTCAAATTATCAACTTTTGTTGAAAATTCTGTACGTATGTAGCTATATAGTGCACTGGACAATATACATATAATGCATTCAAACATCACATAAAACGGAGCAACTAATTTTAAAGACCATCGCATGCGTCATATAAATCTAGCCCATTCAAACAAAAACTCGTGGTCATTAACTTGCAACCCAAAGTCAAGTAGCTGTTTTCAATTAAATTAATGGTCTATAAGTACACGAAACGCACGCATTCCAGTTATAGCCATCGACCCCGCCGCCCCAAATCCAGACCACCCCCTCCCCCCTAAAAAAACCACTCCTACTCCCCCTGCCCCCAACGGGAGTACATTCGCGTCATCTTGAACGCCTCAAACGTCCACTCCTTGGCCCCCAAGTCCTCCACCTTCCCCGCCCACACATACACACTCGCCCAGCAGCTCTTGCCGCCCTCCAGCACAATATTGACCCTCTCACTCGTGTATAGGTATCCCTCGAAGCTGTTGATCCGGCCCTTCTGGGCCTCGGTCAACCCCGTCACCAGGAAGCCGTGGACACTGTCCGTGTCGACGCCCGTCTGGACGACGGCGGGGAAGTCGGCGCCCTGCACGCTGTGCCGCTTGTGGGCGTGCAGGGTTGCGGGCGCCATCTGGGCTTTGAGCAGCGTGGGAGTGAGATTGGGTGGGCTGCCGATGATGCCGTAGAGGATCTTGGGGGACATGAGGGAGCCGTAGACGAATACGGGGGTGCTGCTCTCGTCGGCGGGGAGGGTGGTGGGGATCGTCATTTTAGTAGGTGTGGAATGTGTGGGTGAGTATTCAATTTTTTTTTATATTGATATTGATATTGAAGACTTGTGGTGTAGTTTGAGCGAGGGGATGGGTGGTCTTTTTTTCTAATGTCTGTGTAGTAGTGCTTTACTGTTGTTGCTGTAATAGTGGCGCGTGGATGTGCGTACCCTTTTATAAGCCCCCCCCTTCAGTATATCAACCCATCATTAATCCTCCCTTGAAAGGAAGGGGAAAAGAAAAATTTCTTTCACTATGACTCTTTTTCAATTGTCTTCTTTTAATCCCATGCCTGCCATTAATGACTCTTGAAGCTGGTCCATGGGGGTTTGAATCAATAGAGTCACGTAAAGAAGCTGCAGCAACTTACCTATTTGTAATTAGCAGGGGCCTCGCTATTGGTACTTGACAACTAATTGCAACCTCTCGCTCAACTATTGCGCAAGGCATACATATAACCTACATCTACTTTTTTTTTTGTTGTTGGCATGACAACGCGTTAATGTTAATCTGGCCGTCGCACACCCAATAAGTGAGTGAGCACTTCGTGTGGGGTTTCAGGCTGAATAAGTGCATACATAACTCCAGTACTACTGTGTCAGCCAGTGTCACTGGTTTTGAGTGAGAGTAAAGTAATGGGAGCCGAGACCGCACAATCGTACGAACCTGAATCAGCGGGAAAGAACTGAATTACTTATTACTTAATCGTCTCCCGATCTATCCGCCTCGTCTATTATATGCAAGTTTCGACAGCTTTTGTGTGCATGGCACACGCATGCTTAGTTGTGCAGTTATGTCCGCTCTAAATAGGGATGTCAATGATCAATCTTGACGACAACTAATTCTTTGCCGTACTAGTACTAGCATGACTGTAACTAGACAATTAATAGCGAGAGCGTTGCCAGATCGGGAAGCTGCAGCTCAGTCCAGAAAGCTAAGCCAAAGCTGGTTAAAGCTAGAGGTTGGGGTTTCTCGCTCATGGGATGTCACTCGGTGACATGAGATATTGGCAAGTGTAGGCTGTGTTAAGGTATTAGAAGTGTCTTTCAGGGGTTAGATGTATTTGTGTTTGATATTCTGTCTCTTGCACGTTAGTTGGTATTATGTAAGTTTTACGCCCGTTATTTAGTTTTCATTTGTAACTGTTCTTTGTGGCGCTCAACAAAGGCATATCGCTGTGCGAAGTTGATGAGTCTTTACTGGATCATTTCCCTACACAATCACATAGCATGGATCTCTACAAGCAGACCACGTCTCAAAGCACACATCAGCAAATACAAGCGCAATATCATAACACCAACCATTCATTATTCCAAACTCGTATCTCATTTGCAGTCCATTTTTTGGTCCCTACGGTAAATTACAAAGAACGCAACAAAAACGCGGCCAACCCATCCAGCCTGCTGCCAACAACAACACAAAAAATAAAAACAAAATGCTCCCCACATCTGCCCAATTACTCACCACCCTTCCTGTTCTTGGCACCCTTGGGGGTTCCACTTCTGGCACGGGTAGTAGCAGGCTTCTTGATGTGGCCCTCCGGGATCCAGCTCTCATCGTATGAGCCCGCGCTGGTGGCGGCAAGAGTGGGGGCGGGGCGGACAAGGCGGACCTGGTCGGTACCGGAGCGCTTGGTCTTGGGGATGACGCTAGCGAGCCAGGTGTTGTAGACAAAGTAGCCTGAGGCACCGAAACCGGCTGCGAGAAGGAGGTACAAGAAAAGACTACAAGCCACCATGTTAATAGGCGGAACTTCCAAGATTCGATGAGTGTACTTACACCTGGGGGTCAAAGAGCGAGGTGGGTGCCTCAACGATCGAGATGGTCTGATTGAACGCAGACTGGGAAACGGCCAAACCCTCGGAGGTCCTAAGAAACATTTTGAGGTTGAAGATGACATCCTGGGATGCATCTCAGTCGTAAACTGATATGGTAAATCAATCTATCCCAGTCATTAGTACTTTGCTCGGCCACATGTGAGTGTATGGAATCAAAAAAAAAAAAAAAAAAAAAAAAAATTACCGCCTGATCCTTCCCGAGCTTTACCCCGACCTTCGAAGCCGTCAAATTCCTCAATTCGACACCCTTGGGGGTCTTTAGCGAGCCCTGGATGAGCTGGACACGGATGTCCTCCGGCTCGTTGTTCACAATGTGGAGGTTCAACTTTGTTGGGATGCCATTGATCGCCTTGATGCCGAACTCGGGGACAGCATCAACGAACTGCACACCGAGCGACACGTTCAGAGCCTTGACAACCTTCTCCGGGGTGGCGGCGGCGGCAGGCTGCTCACTGGCGACATCGGCAGCCGAAGCTAGCCCAAGGGTAAGGAGCGGAAGGAGGGCTGAGAGGAACTTCATGGTGATGAGATGTGTGGGTATTTGGGGGGGGGGGGGGTTGTGGTTGTGGGAATGGGATGAGGAAGAGTGAAGTACACTGGAGATATATACGTGGGAGATGGTTGCGGGTTGTTGTCTCGGATAAGGGAGGCGGATTTTCTGTGTGCCGGGACTGGGAGGACACATCTACTTTTACGCATGCCAAGACCCTTATGCACGGAATAATTGGGAGAAGCTTCGAGGCGTTCTGTTGGTGGACATGCATAAAACCCTCAGAACCGCGAATTGATGCTGAAGCACTCGTGTTAGGGAAACGTTTGGCTCGCAATTGTACGAGTGCGCTATGGACATATGGGATGAATACTACCTTGGTTGGTGTAAAGCACATACATGTAATAATCCGCCCCGTTTAGGTCGAGCTTAGTAGATGCCAAGACCCCGGAATTGTTAATATGGCGTGTGGGGATTCGGCCCAGTTGGTGATGTACTGATCTGGATGAATGCAGGCCTCATGTTGTACCTACGTTAAGGAGTAGAAGAGTGTCGGCAGCTGCAGCAGCCAAATGGATTTAACAAAGGTTGAGATGCAGATAGAAGAACCCATGGATGTCTACCAGGTAGATTTTCCTTGAAACATTATACGCCCCCACTCTAACTTATGGGGGATTGTGACTAATATAGTTAAAACCGAGTGATAGTTTGTGTGTACTTAATCCATTACTCTTTCGGTCCCCAGTACATTTATCTTAGTTGTTTCCAGTCTACCAAGCAATCAACCAGCCAACCCAACCGACCAAAAGAGACCACGGTTTACTTCTATATTCCTCTAGGCTTTCTGGCGCCTAGTGTACCGAGAAACCTAGAGTACCATTCTACCCTCCCTTTTCTCTTCCTCCTCGTATTTCCCCGTTCCTCCTCCCCACTGTATTGCATCCTCCCGACTTCTAGACGCCCGCCGGGGAATCGATACGAAGCACCACAGTGTTTCACCCTTCTACCTTCCATCCCCCTCACCATTCCCTCCCCCCTCCCCCCAGCTCCTCCACGCTCTTTTTGACCCTAACCTCCCTCACCCCTCACCCCCCCCCCCCCCAACCCCAGTTTCCCCTACGTATTCCAGACTATGCGCCACAGAGGTACCACCCGCCATATCACTCTTTTATATGGGGCCGAAACCAGTTATGGGTTTTAGAGACCCGATTTCCGCATAACTGGTGAATTGCATACAACCCTCCCATACCAGCACTCCGAGATAGCTGCACTGGTATTTTTGTGCTGCTTTTTACATACACGTAGGCCATGTCGGCCTGCCAAAAGAAAGCCTCAGCTTCGAGTTCGTAGTAGTGATGGCCGGTCAGTCAATGAGTGATCGAACCAGCCAGGCCCGCCCGGCCGCAATCATAAGCGATCACTCGCCCATCCCCACCCCACAACCAGCAACCCGCCCCCGCACATAAACCCGCCCCTTCCCCCCCAAACCCCCTTTTCTCCACAATTCGTTTATGGCAAAAGCTCCAGCGAGCTGTGATCTTGTGATGGTTACACCACACACATTCATCCCATCCCACCAATCAGAGTGTGCGAGTGATACTTTGTGACTGGCTTGGTCGGTCTCCGGCACGCAGTGTGATGTTGCGTGGTTTATGGGTCTGTATCTGTGTGGCGATGTGGAGCTTATAATTATAGATACTTGAGCATCTGCTCTAGATCTACGTACAGATACTGGTTAAGCCTAGGCATAGAGCTGGTGGCTGTGTTTTACTGTAACTCGCTCTCTTGGGCTGCCTTCTCTCTCTTTGTTTTTTGCAAAGTACTAGTCGCATATAATGCGTTCTCTATATACGTTCTCGGTTCTCGGTTCTTCACGTTGCCCACAAAAGATCATCTCTGAAAACAGATCTAACACGCCTGTGAACCTGAGTAACACATTGCCCAAGCCCACCCACCCACCCACATCCCATCCATCCATCTATAGCTATTATATCCAGACCGCAGGACACCACCTAGCTAGCTACATGCAGCTCTGTACATGTTACAGCACAACCTCTACCAGCTACTAGCTACCGCGCGCTGCAACATCCTCCCTCTACCCCATAAAAAACCAAATCACCTCACAGATCTAGAAAAAAACACCACACACAGATCTAGAAAAAGACTTTTTCATTTTTTAATTCCCGGCCGCGCGCAGGGTCTCTATCGCGAGCGAAAAAAAAGAGAAAGAAAAAAAGATAGGGATGGAAAGGAAAGGAAAGGAAAAAAGAACAAGAAGTTAATAACATACAAGAAAGAAGAAAAAAGAAAAATGCCGTGTGTGGGGGAAGGGAGTAGAGCAAGGACCACAAAAAAGCACACAGAAAGAGAAAGAGGGGCGGCATCTACGCCTGCGCACACTGCGGCTGCCCGTCCTCCTCGTCGTCTTCGTCGTCGTCCTCCCAGACGCCGCCCTGGCCTCCTTCTTCTGCGCCGAACTGTAGCCGGAAACATTAGCCTTTGTCCCTACCCTATACCACGGGGAAGCCATACCTCATCCAAATCCGCCTCCTCATACTCAACCTCATCGACCTGCTCCGCCTTAATCTCCTCCTTCTCCGCCTTCGGCAACAACTCCCTAATCCTCTCCACCTCCGGGCTCCACCCATCCTTCGGAAACTCTATATCAACCACCAAATACAGATCCCCCCTCGCCTCACTCCGCTTCCTCGGCATCCCCTCCCCCTTCACCCTCAGCACCTGTCCGGGCCTCAGTACCTTCCCCCTCGGATGCTTCACCAACACCCCCCGCCCGTCTAGGTGCTTCACAACAACCTTCTCAAACCCCGTCAGCGCCTCCGCGAGCGTCACGCGCAGCCGCGCACTCAGGTCCGCGCCGCTGCGGTCGAAAACGTCGTGCTCCTTCTCGTCGAGCACGAACACGATGTTGCCCGTCTCTTGATCCGGCGCCTCGTCGGCTTCGCCCTCAAGGACGATCTTGTCGCCGTGCTTGCTCCCGCGTGGGATGTAGAGTTCGAGGACCTTCTTTTCTTCGTGCACGCAGGTGCCTTTGCAGCGGCGGCAGCGGTCGCGGTCGCGGTAGGTCTGGCCGGTTGAGGAGCAGGCGGCGCAGGGGCTGTTTTCTTGCGTGACGAGGCCGCGGCCGATTTGGCGTAGGGATTCGGTGTAGCCTTTGCCGGCGCAGGTGGTGCATTTTTTGGGTTTGGTGTTGGGCTTGCCGCCGGTGCTGTGGGGGGGGGGGGTGTTAGTGGGGTTGTTGGTGGTGGTGGTGGTAGTGGGTTGGGTTGGGGGATGGGGGGGGGGGGGTGACTTACCCTTTGCATTGTGTGCAGAGGACATTGCGGGTACTCTTCATCTTGACGGTCTTGCCTTTGTACAGATCCTCCAAGCTCACCTCATACTCCTGCACCGTATCCTTCCCCCTCCCCTTCCTCCTCCCTCCCCCTCCCATCCCTCCCATCCCCGGCATCCCGCCCATCCCGCCCATGCCCCCCATGCCCCCCATCCCCGGCATCCCGCCGCCCATAAACATCTGGTTCAGTAGGTCCTCCAGATCCACCTCGCCGTCCATGCCCCCGCTGCTGCCGGGCGTGAACGCGGCCATGCCGAAGCGGTCATAGTGCGCGCGCTTGTCCTCGTCGTAGAGGATCTCGTAGGCCTGCGAGACGGCTTTGAAGGTGTGTTCGGCGTCCTCGCGCTCGTGCTCGGGGACCTTGTCCGGGTGCGAGGTGAGCGCGGCTTTGTGGTAGGCTTTTTTGATTTCGGTTTTTGTGGCGGTGGGGGGAGGTGCAGGATGTCGTAGAGGGTGGTGTCGGGGGTGCCGTTCACTGGGTGGGGGTGTTAGTGGGGTGTATGTGGAGGGGGAGGGGGAGGGAGGGGTGGTGGGGTTACTTGTGGCGGTGGTTAGTTATGCTCTGATCACTGTGAGGGTAATAGAGAGTGAAGTGGTTTAATGTTTGTGAGTGAAAGCGAGAGACTTTTCAGCAGTGAAAAGAGAGTGCTTTGGAGGGAGAGACTGAGGGTGTGGGAGATGCAGAGAGATGGAGAGGAAGTTGGGGTTGGGGGGGGGGGGGGTGTTGTAGAGGTAGAGCAGAGAAAAGTGAAGAGGTTTGCAGAATAGTTTTTTTCAGCACAACATCAGGCGTAGACTTTCACCACCAACAGGACAAGGGTTCAACGTTGAACGCAACCAACCACACAAAGAGAAAAGCTTCAGCACAGCCACAGCCACAGCCACAGCCACACCCCTCCACCCCACCAACCGCCGCTTTAGCCCCACCACACGCACAGCACAGCACAGCACACCCAGCATCAGTCTACAATTCAACATCCATCAAAAACAGAAGACAACCCCCCAACGCCACCCCCCGGCGACCACACAATGACCTCCCTTCTGCGCCTCACCCGCCCCGCCGCCGCCGCCGCCGCCCGGCGCCCCCCCCAATCCCAATTGCCCTACCGCCGCAGCACCGCCGCCAGCAGTGTCCGTCACTTCCAGTCCCTCCCGTCCCTCCGCGGCGGCCACGAGCCAATCCGGCCTGAAGTCCCCGCGATCAAGCCCGCGCGGACGCGCTTCGCACCCAGTCCCACGGGCTTCATGCATCTGGGCAGCCTGCGCACGGCGCTGTACAACTACCTGTTTGCCAGGCACACGCAGGGGCAGTTTATCTTGAGGATTGAGGATACGGACCAGGTTTGTGGCTCTCTCTGTTTTCTGCTTTGTTGGAATTGTGGGACGGGGTTGTGTGGCGGGGAATTGAATTGGATTGAATTGAATTGGGAGTGCTGAGGGGAGAGGCGGGGAAAGAAAAGGACTGTGGAGGGCGCGGAGGAGAGTATCATGGAGACGCTGAGATGGGCGGGTCTGCATTGGGATGAAGGTATGTAGCCAGCCAGCCAGATAGCTATATCTATAGCTACATGGTGGAACTGAATACAAATACTCACCGTCTCGATATCTACAGGCCCCGAAGTCGGCGGAGGCCACGGCCCATACAAACAGGTACCTCGCCCGCCCCCTCACTCACCCTCACTCACCCCCGAGTGACCTCCCATGACGCACTAACCTCCCCTCCAGTCCAAACGCACCGCCCTCTACCGCTCCCACGCCGAGCAGCTCCTCCTCGACGGCGCCGCCTACCGCTGCTTCTGCGGCCCTCACCGCCTCGAAGCCCTCGCCGCCACCCGCCAAGCCGCCGGCCTCCCCGTCGAGTACGACCGCCGCTGCCACAACCTCACCTCCTCCGAGTCGGACCAGCGCGCAGCCTCCGGCGAGCCGCACGTCATCCGCCTGCTCGCCCCCGAGAAATGGCCGGCCTTCAACGACGAGGTCTACGGGCGCATCTCGTACGGCGCCAACACGCGCGCCCACGCCGAGGGCTCCTTCGAAGACCCCGTGCTCCTCAAGAGCGACGGCACCCCGACGTATCATCTGGCGAATGTGGTGGATGACCATTTCATGGAGATTACGCATGTCATTCGCGGGACGGAGTGGATGCCGAGTACGCCCAAGCATGCGCATCTGTACAGGTCGTTTGGGTGGCTGCCGCCAAAGTTTGTGCATGTGGGCCTGCTGATGGGCAAGGATAAGCAGAAGCTGTCGAAGCGCAATGGGAGCGTGATGGTTAGTGAGTTCCGCGAGAAGGGGTACTCGCCGGAGGCGCTGGTCAACTTTGTGGCGCTGCTGGGGTGGAGCCATGGCGGTGGGGGAAGAGCGATGTCTTGACGTTGACGCAGCTGGTGCAGAGGTTTAATATTGAGGGCCTCACGGCGGGGAATACGGTGGTTAATTCGGAGAAGCTGCCGTTCTTGCAGAAGGCGCATTTGAGGAAGCAGTTTGAGGAGAATAGGGACACTGAGGAGGTGGAGGTTGAGAAGGTCGAGAAGGCGGTCCGCGCTCTCTACGGCGATAAGTATAATCTGCCCCTTCCCTCTTCCCCTCCTCCTTTAGCCCCCTCCCCTCCCAACACGGGACACTGAAATAGACCACTATCACTAACCCCCGCCTTCAGGCTCGAAACCGGCGAACCAATCACCACCGACTACGTCCGCGCCGTCCTCAAAGCCGACGTCAAAAACTACCTCAACCCCACCGAGTTCGCCGAAAAGTCAAACTACTTCTTCACGCACCCCACCTTCGACAGCAAGGACTCCCTCCGGGCGATCGTCAAGTTCCGCAAGGTCACGGGCATGTCCACGGCCGAGATCTACTACGGCTTCATCGAGGAGGTCGAGCGCACGCCCGAGTGGACCCTCGACGCGCTCAAGGCGCTGCAGCTCTACGGGCAGGACCTCGACGAGGAGGCGTGGACGAACCGCATGCGGCTGCTGCGAATCGCCGTGTGCGGGGGCAGGAGTGGGCCGTCGATGGCGGATACGATGCTCATACTGGGCAAGGAGCGTGTGGTGCAGCGCATGCGGGATACGGATCGCGCGTTTGTGGAGTTTAAAGGTGAGCTGGAGGAGGAGGAGAAGAGGTATCTGAAGAGCCATGAGAAGATGCTGAAGCAGTTCCAGGAGCAGCAGAGGCGCGAGAGGATGGAAAGTCAGGGCGTGAAGCCAACGGCGAGGGCGAAGCTCGACAGCAGGTCCCAGGCGATGCTGAGGAATGTGGTCGGCGCGCCGCCGATGGAGAAAAAGGGGTTTAAGTATATGACTCCGGATATGAGGGCGAAGGTTAAGAAGGACTGGGAGAGGGAGTGGCGGGAGGAGGAGTATAAGATGTTTCCGGGGAGGGGGAGGGAGAAGAGTTGGGTGGGGCCCGGGGAGGAGGTGAGGGAGGAGGGGGAGGAGCAGGGGAAGGGGAGGGGGAGGGGGAGAGGGAGGGGGGAGCTGGAGGAGGAGAAGAAGAGGCCGACGCAGGAGAAGAAGGAGGGGACGGTTAGGTTTAAGGGACTGCAAAAGAAGTCTGGGGGTGGTGGTGGGCGAGGCCGTAAGTAAAAATAAAAATAAAATGAAATGGTAGCACTGTATATTACATATGTATTTTTTTTGTTAAGTAGCTAGTTGCAGAAATGATAATCCTACTCCGGTCTTGTAACTTTTGGCTCTTTGGTGTGAGATGTTTTGAGAATATTGTATTTCTGAGTGGGGCTGGCTATCTATCTATGGTCCAGAAGTACGAATTTCTTGATCCTAGTTCTTCCATGGATTCACTGTTAAACTGGTAAGACGTTATTTATGGCAAAGGAGTCGAGTTGACTACTGAGCTAATCGACACTAAAGACAGGAGGTATTGTCTCACTACTTCAATGGGCCAAAATACCTGCCCCTTCAACAGGCCAAGTACCCGCTCCTCCAACTTACCAACTGTCGCTGTTAATTGCCCGTTATCGACACCCACCACAAAGAAGACAAGCTATCAGTGGTGTTGGGCGTAAATTTGCAATTGCATTGTGGGTGTAAACCCTAAGACCCCGATTTCTGTGATTGTGTGTACCCATCCCCCCCCCCCCCCAAGGTTTGCCTTCATTATGGGAACTATTACTTTCTAGTTGGAGGGCTACATACGTGTATAGCTAGCCAGATCTTTTGCAATGGCGCAGATGGCCTTGGCGTAGGTTGGGCGCGGGTGAGTTACGGGCTTGGCAGCTTATAATGTGCAGGAGTACAGCCGAGTGATTACCCATGATCGTGGTTGAAGATAAATTTTTTTTTTTTTTTGTTTAATTCATTAATTGCTTGAAGATAAATTAGTATATAGTCGGGGAATTGATATACTCAACTAAAAACACAATGCGATATAATAAATATGTATGTATCTTATCGGTTTGAGCCTAGGACTACATGTATGTACGTGGCTTGATGTCGTCTTGCCTTAATAACGACTCGCTCCTTATACGTCATTTCACTACTAGCTAGAAAACAAGAGCCGACTCCCCCACACACAGCCAAAAGCGCCAACGAATACATACTCAGCATAGGGGTGGTTGAATGGTCTAGCGGTATAGGGGTCTTGCCTTATACAAAAAGCTACGATCGTTCGACCCCCCCCCCCTCCGGACGTAGAGTAGGAGATGTAGCAGCACTAGGCTGTGAACTCTTTTGTTGCTGGGCGATACAACTAATGCAAGATAGTTACATAAGTACCCGCAGCTCTTTAGTACTTTTAGCGGATAGATGCAATAAAGTTTGTAATTGCAACAAGAAGATGATGTAGATACATATATTTAAGCACTTTCCCGTACCCTTGCTAAGTTTTATCATCCCGCACGATATTCGTGCTTCTTTAAAGACATGATCATCTAGCTAACTACATGTATTCGACATAAGCATTTTACTTATGTACTTATGTACTTATCTGTGCCACAAGTCATAGGAAGAAAAGAAATATTTAAGCTCGGGTAAATAATGTGTCTAGAAGATCAGTACTGACACATATAGACACTGTCTAGACCACATTCACATCTTCAAAGGCTCGTTCATCCACGGCTTCGCAATCTTGCTCTCCCTCTCGATATGAAGCCCCCAATACTTGCCCTCGTATTCATCATCATCAGTATCCTCATCTTTCTTCTCGTCCTCAGCGTCTTCTTGCTCGCTAGTTTCCTTCTCGTTGAAGTACTCCTCTTCATCGTCGGTATTCTCGGTTTCGGTCTCATCGGCACCGTACCTTTCGTCCTTCTCGTCGTAATCATCATCGCCATCACTATCATATCCCTCGGAGGCATCATCATACTCGTCGTTGTCAGAGTCCGATTCATCATACTCGTCGTCTCCAAGTTCACCTTCATCGGGCTCGATGAAGTCGTAGTCGGTGTGGTCGCCGGCTTCCCAGGCCTCATAACCATCGAGGTCATCGTCATTGCTAAAGCGGCCTATCCACTGGGTTTCGTCATGGCAGCGGGTTTTCAAGAACCTTTTGATGTATCCAAGGTCATCTGCTCAATGTTATTAGCTCAAACCATATCTCGTTAAACAACGTCATCGCACATATTTACATACTTTGGTCTGGACGAACATCCACTGGAGTGGTCCTCTCGACTCTGATCATGAGCATTCTTCTCTCCCAAATGGGAGGCACATCAGGGATGTCGACTCTTTCGAGGAGTGGGGTTTCATCCAAATCGACTATAACACACATCTAGTTAGTCACGAGTGATGGGCTATGATTCAAATGGATTGATTGATGGATTGATTGATAATTAATTAATTGATAATTCAAATGGAGTACTTACGTTCAGTCTCAACGAACAGATAGAACTCGACACGTGGACCATTGGCAATCTCCTGCTGGATCTTGAAGCGTTTCCACAATTTACAGACCGCCGTACACTCCCAATATGAATCCCATTCGCCTTCTGATTCATCGGATGATTGCATCCGATTACCACAGTAGCAGGGTCTGATAGTGGGAGGGGCAGAGGGGAGCTGGTAGATATCGGTGGGGACACCATCTGGAATAGCGGGATCCATGGTAACGAACCAATTAGATGAAGTAAGTGTGATAATGACACTTGTAAGCGTAGGGATTACATTGGGCGGAGAAGCTGGCATAAAGTATGCCAGGACTTCATAAGTATGCACCTCCATTTCAGGCACTTTCGAGGTTATGAAAATCAGTGCAGAGATAAAGAAATCGATGATGAGGGATAACGAACGATAAGAGTGATGAGGGAGAATGATGGAATGAGGAGAAGGAGGAGGAAGAGGAGGAAGGGAAAGAGTATTCGACACCCAGCAGTGAATGGCAGGTGGTATGAGAATTATCTACTATAGTATTCATTTGATACTATGTTCTAAATCCTTTTCTGAGTCCTGGAGCCGAGCACATCTGATATATGAGCACGTACTGGTGGCATTGGCTTACGAATATGTACAGGCCGCTACCCTCGGATACCCGAGCTTTCAAAGTATAATCTCAACGAACCCTGGGCCAAGTGGGTGTACTTATTTCTACTAGGTCTCCCGAGATTTCTCTTCGAATTCTCTGTTATGGTACTTTCTATCCTGGGATACGTGTATCTCATTTGAAAAACAGTCTTGTAAAGCAACAATTTCCCAAAGGAGACACGGTATTCTTAGTTTCCATAGCCTTAGTTATTCATTCCTGGGAGAAATTTGGTACTGAATGCTTTAAGGAAACTAGCATCACTTTAGCAAGCAAACCTACCCTTGTAGTCAGATCTCTCTTCTGAACTGGGAACCCGAGAACCTGTCCCTACATGCCATTGGCATCGGCACTCTGAGGATAGCGATCGGGTCCAGAAACTTAACGCATTTCCATATTATACAAGTTAATGAACGCCCGAGTACAGCCGTTATTAATAAAATTCAGTATTATAAGCACCACTGTCAGGCACCAAAAACACACATCACCCAATTCACATACAAATATCTCTTGGCTACTCGAACCCCCAGTGGGAAAGGATTTGGCATCTTGTAGGAATAGTGTCCGCTGGCGGAAATCGCAACATAAAACTCTCCTGTTAAAAATCCAAGATACGGGTGATACTTGATGATCGGCACCCCCCTGATCAATCAATCTCACTCTCATCTTCCTTCATTCACGCAATAAGCGCAATAGAGTCTGTGCCTTCTTTAGTGAGACCTCGACCGCCATTAGCCTGAGAACGTTCTATCATATTTTTTCGTTTTATCTGGTCGTTGTAACGGATGGAACCTCTATCTTTTATCTTGGGACTCCCCTCACTTGAGGATATGGTTCTGTTCATTTTAATCCGTGCGCCTTTCACAATTAGACTAACTGAATAGAACCGAGTCACACAAGAAACCGGTTATCGAATAGCATAAAAGTAGGGATACAACAGCTTCTATCGTTATGGGAGACTCCCTAGGAGTGTGGGTGTTATGAGACCGAGATATATCACGTCCTTAATATAAGTATCTTATTTTTAAGTGAAAGCTCCTTCTCGCCGTCTCTTCAGTACTCATTAGACGCAAAAGGCTTCTTTTGTTCAAAAATTTCTTTGAGTAAAAATAATATCTTGAAATCTATTACATAAAAAAGCACCCTGTATTACTCAGTTGTCCTTTAACCCCATTTTTGCAGCCATATATTCCTTCATCCACCAAGCACTCTTCTTCGGTGTCATTTCGCAATTGTTCTTATGGTCTACATAAGTGACACCGAACTTTGCCGTATATCCTTCTTGCCCTGCAGCACCCACCATCCATTCCGTCATTAGCACATGCACATTTTACGTCTCCAACAGAAAGAAGAGAGGTATAGACTTACACTCAAAGTTGTCCGCAAAAGCCCACGCCAGATAGCTCTTAACAGGCACACCCTCTTTGACACACTCTGCCAGCTCATCAATATAGCCGCGGAAATAGTCAATCCGGAAGTCATCCTGCAGCGCTTCCTCCTTGTTCATGTCCTTCTCCCCAGGACAGATAACGCCGTTCTACCACCGTTATACATTAGTATATCTCATCATGTTTGCGCATCGTAGAGAAGAAAAACTAACCTCAGTGACCCAGACATCTCTATCATACCTCCTCCACAGGAACCTCAGCAGCTTCCCGAAGCCCCACGGCACAGGCCTTACCCAGCTCAGCCCTGCCTTCGGACCAATCTCTGTCCCGTCTGGGGCAGTAGTGGTCGACTCATTCTCGCCAAAAAAGTGGTTCTGCCAGTCGCCATCCTCGATGGGGGTAACTCGCTTCCGCACATAAAACGTCGTGTAGTGGTTCAATCCGAGAAAGTCACTGCTGCCTTTCAGCAGCGCCGACTCCTCAGCGGTAAACGTGGGCAACCGGTCACCCACCAGTTTCCTTAGTAGCGGCGGATAATCACCCGTAAACACAGGGTCACTCAACCAGAGCGTCGACAGCGTCAAGTGGTTCTCTGCCGCCTGTTTACCTATATCAACCCAAAAAAAACCATATTAGCAAGAGGGGCAATGATCACATTTATACGGGTTTTTGGACAACATACTCTCCTCACTCGCATCCCACGGCTCCGCCCAATTGCCATTAATCACAATCCCAACCTTTCCGCCCTGTTTCTGAGCAAACTCTTTCCGATACACCGCCACGGCCCGTGCATGCGCAAGCATCAGATGATGCCCCACGATATACGGCTCCTTCAGCGAATCTCCCTTCCGCGCGCCCTCACCACTGCTACTCCTGCCCGGAGCATGAGCACCGATACAGTGCCCCAGCACCGCAAAGATGTTTGGCTCATTAATCGTCAACCATGACTTGACCAGATGGCCAAAGCTGTCAAAACACACCCTCGCATACCGTTCAAAGTCCGGCAGGACCCTTGCCGACAAGAAACCATTATACTCGTCCTGCAGCGCCTGCGGCAGGTCCCAATGGAACAGCGTCGGGATGGGCTCAATCCCAGCCTCAAGTAAGGCTTCCATGAAGCGCTGGTAGTGTGCGATTCCCGCGGGATTAAGGGGTGAGGTAGCACTGCCGGCGGGGATGATGCGCGACCAGGAGAGAGAGAAGCGGTGGGCGTTGACGCCGTATGATTTCATTAGGGCGATATCGGCGGCCCAATTAGAGTAGGAGTTTGTGCCTATGGCGTTGGAGAGGCCGTCCTCGGTCACGTTTGGGAGCGAGGAGAAGGTGTCCCAGATGGAGAGGCCACGACCGTCGGCGGTGGGGGAGCCCTCGACTTGGGCGGAGGCTAGAGGGGGATGGGTTAGGCTAGAGAGCTATAGCTAGTGGGGGAAAGAAAGGTACCGGTAGCATAGCCCCAGAGGAAGTCTTTGGGGAGGGTAGCTGTGCTCATTGTGCGCAGAGAGCTGGAGGAGAAGGTAGTGGGTAGGTGGAAGTGAAGCAAGAAAGAAAGAAGGTATCGTAAGAGATTTTTTCTGTGCGCAAAAAAAAAAGAAGAAGAAGAAGGATGCTAATAAGAACTGTGGTAGTGAGTTATGTAGCTGTTGATTGGAAAGAAGGAGGCGATTTTAGCACCCTGATATAAGCTTCCCCAGCAGCCAATGATCAGAATTATGCCCCGCCATACGTGAGCCAAGGAACCGGATTATCATCACCTGATATCAGGCTGAAATCCCCGGTTCATCCCATCTCGTTTCACCCCACCCCCATCTCCATCCTATGCACCTCCCGTCCCCATGCATCCCTTCCCCATCTTTCCCACAGCTGCACCCCACACTTTCGGTTAATCGGACCGGGTATAGGCTTTATTCACGATGCGCCCAGTTCACCCTAAAGATATCTTCCGCGCCCCCAACAACACTCAACCACCTCCAAAAGCCACTGCCTTATCAAGCTTTTACACACGTAAAACGGTGCACAGCACCTCCGGAGCTGGGTCCTCCGTGATTACATCTTTTGCCTAAACTCGTCGGGGAGTGTCGGCCATCAGGATCTCTGCTGCACCTTCTCCATAATCTATCCCATCCCACGTGAGAGATTATTCTACAGCTATTAAGGTTTGTCTTTGAACGCCGGCATAGAGAGCTGGTACCGGTACTCGGTAATGCGGGTTATGCATGGTCCGGTCGGTACACTGGTACTATGTAAGCCTATCAATCTAGAATATATCATTTCTCATTACATACCCTGGATAACCGACCCTAGATGTCACACATCATCGATGACTACACTTCCTCACCTCACTTTTGCGCCTCCAGGCACAGCAGCATCGTCTCGTCGGCACCACCACCGACACTCCCCGCAACCAGATTCATAAGCTATCACTCGGTCATTACCCCAACCCTAATTCCCCCCAACTGCAACCTTCAGCTTGGCACGTGTCTCAGCTCCCCACCACTCACCACTTATTCGGGTAGAACCCCGTGGTTTTCTTTCTTTGCTTTTTTTCCTCCTGCTGCTTCTCGCTTCCCCACTGTTTTTTTTTTCCTTCCCCACGTTTTTTTACCCCGGGAGTCGGGTACCTAGCTAGTGGGTTTTATTTTTTTTTTCCTTTGCCTGGCTCATGGAGCTAGCTAGCTAGCTAGTACTTGATAGCTAGAGTAGAGCAACTATAGAGTATTCAGATGGAATAACGATGTCATGCCACCGGGTAATTGGGGTTTTTGTAATAATTTGTTTTGTTGCGCACGCCCCGGCCCTAGACGGTTTAGTAGCTCTCTTTCTGCAGTACATGTGCGTAGTTAGACACCTTAATTCAATCCATTATCGCCATTTACTGGGTCTAGGTAGGTAGCGAGTCAATGTTTTCGCATTGAGGAGGAAGGGCAGGCAGGGGCAAGGGGAGAACAATCAAGGCGAGCGGTTTTTACTCTTTTTTTTTTTTTTTTTCACGGGAAGAAGCCGCGACTGGCAGGTAGAACTCTACTCGTCTCAACGGCGCCTCACGCCATGTGAGCACGACAGGATAGAGAGACAGAAACAGAGACAGAGAGAGGCAGAGACAGGCACAGACCCCATCCGGTGCGAAATACTCATCACCCTCTACTAGTAAGTACTGTCCCTGTGTAGCCTTGTCCTGTCCACCTCCCCTCCCCCATCCCATCCCATCCCATCCCATTCATCCCATTCATCCCATCCCTCACACCCAGCTATAGCCTCACAACCAGGAGTCTAGTCAAGGTGGTATATAACCCCCTCCCCCACCGCACCCATGGACCCCATCACCATCCAGCCAGTCCCACCCACCATGTCCATGACCAAAGAAACAGCAACGCAGCTCGACCATGTCGAGGACAGCACAAAGGACCAGGCGCTGTTCGATGAAGAGACGAAGCGCGAGCACGAGCAGACGTTCCGCGCCGCGCTGCGCGATGAGCGGGGTGTCATTCTGTGGGCGACGGTGTTTGCGGCTGCTGCGCTGAGTTGGGGGTTTGATGCCCAGGTTGTGAGTATCCCTAACTTTTTCTTTTCCTTTTCCTTTTCCTTTTTTTCTTTATTTTGTTTGTGAGAGGATGTTAATTGGTAAGTAGAACGGCGCAGCAATCAGCGTAAACTCGTTCCGCCGCGACTTTGGCTACATGTACGAGGGCCAGGCCGTTCTCCCCGCAAACTGGCAGACGGCGTTCAATGTCATGTCTTCTGGTTCGTCCCTCCCCCACCCACTTGCTTAACAATACAACATCCACACGAGTACATGTAGCTAACCTCAATTGCCCTCCCTAGTCGGCCAATTCTTCGGCGGCCTCTCCTCAGGCTACGTCGCCGACCGCATCGGTCGCAAGTGGTGCATGTGGTACGGCTCCTGGCTCCTCATGGCCGGCATCGCCATGGAAGTCGCCGCCTCCACACGCCCCGTCTTCCTCATCGCCAAACTCATCCTCGGCTTCGCGCTCGGCTTCTACCTCAGCATGGCGCCCGCCTACTGCTCCGAGATCTCGCCCGTCGTTCTCCGCGGCATCACAACCTGCGGCGTCTCGCTGGCCATCGTGATCGGCCAGCTGCTGTCCAACGCCGTCATCAAGGCCTTCGGCGAGCGGCCCGACCGCTGGGCGTACCGCGCGCCATTCTGCATCCAGTTTCTGCTGCCCGCGGTGCTCATTGTGGTGCTCCCGTTTGCGCCAGAGTCGCCGTGGTATCTGGTGCGCCGCGGGAACCTGGAGGGTGCGGCGGCGTCGCTGCAGAGGCTGCATGGAAAGGGCCGCGATATTGGCCCGCGCCTTGCACAGATCCAGCGTACGCTCAAGCTGGAGAGTGAGCTGTATGCGCAGGCGACTTGGGCAGACTGCTTCCGCGGCGTTGATGCCCGGAGAACCATGATCACGCTGGGCGCCTTCTGCTGCCAGCATCTGTCGGGCATCATCTTTGTGCTTGGGTACTCGACCTACTTCTTCCAGCTTGCCGGGCTGCCAACGTCGCAGACCTTCTCTTTGGGTGTCGGAGTCACAGCGTGCGGTGTGGCGGGGAACATTAGCTCCTGGTGGCTAGTAAACAGCGCCGGTAGAAGGATTGTGACGCTAGCGGGCATGGCGGTGCTGACGGTCATGTTGGCGCTCATTGGCGTGATGGATGTGGTGCCGACGGCGGCGGCGCAGTGGGTACAGAGCAGTCTGACGGTCATCTATGCGTACGTGTGGTTCCTGACCATTGGCGCAATGGGATATGTCATCCTTGGAGAAGCGAGCAGCCCGCGGTTGAGGAGCAGGACCATCGGTCTCACAACGGTGGTGCAGAGTCTCTGGGGTCTCATTATGAACTTTGCAATTCCGTACTTGGTATGTTCCCGTATACTTTTGTCCGGTCGATCAGTGTTATTGGTCAGCTTTCTAACATGATGCCGGTGAACATATAGGTCAACCCCGATGAGGCAAACCTGAAGGGCAAGGTCGGGTTCATCTTTGGCGCCACGAGTTTGATGTGTACAATCTGGGTGTACTTCTGTGTTCCCGAGTTCAAGGGGCTGACCTTCTCCGAGATTGACGAGCGCTTCAAGAAGGGTGTTCCGGCGAGGAAGTTTATGGAGTACAAGGGTGACTCAGAGGCCCCTTCTGCCTAGATAGTCTTTTTGTCATCTTCTTTTAGTTTCTTTCTTTCTTTTGTGGTTTGCTTTGGGGAGGTTCTTTGTATTTAGCCGTTATGACGATGTAGATGAAAATCGATTATGTGTGATGCAGTTGCTCGATTGAGATGGAAGTTATGTTCAGGGGATGAAGTGCTTACGTGCGGTGAGTGCAGGGAAGAGAGAGGATTTAAGTACAGAAACATTAAGGTTCATGTGCTCCTGCAAGGAAGGACACTTCTCGCATAGGGCTGGCAGATCTGTAAACAGCTGAACGTGTAGCAGTAACTGAACAGCCCCACCCGAGATTGCGTTCTCAGTCAGTAGCTGCAGTTGACGTGCCCCGCCGCCCCAAAGCCTCGCCCGTCCGTCCCTCCCTCGCTCTCCCGCCGTGTTGCGTTGAGGTCCAAATAAACATCCCGGGAAGGCTACATGACATACATGTATATTAGCGCACATCACTAGGGCCCTAACCGCACTAGCAACTCGCGCCGCCAGTCGCCGTTTCGCTTGGCATAACTCTATCTGGGGGGAAATCTCTACATCTACGTACATGAGGTTCTGTCTACATCACTCTTAATAAAATAGAAATACGCAGATGGCCCTATTGTATCACTTTTAGCTAGTGAAAACGAAGGCGGTAGTAAAGACTGTAGCAAAATTAGAGGGCGCAACTTTAACTTCCGATTACCCACCCCAGGATTCAAAACTTAGCCGCTCGACATAGTAACAGTAACTACGAGATTACTTTGCACTATGTACCCTACATGTAGCTTCAAACACTTGCTGGACCGTGTCGAAATTCAATGTAACCCCCCCCCCCGGTGGCTGTCAGGGTTATCTTATCACGATCCTCGTAGGGCGGACCCTGCATGCATTGACAGACCGGGTAAACCCCAACCTCTCATGCACTACATATCCCAACGTCACCTCTCACCTCACCTCACCTCATCTCATCTCATCTCATCTCACCTCTCACCCAACCCCCACTCCCGATAACACAAAATGGTGGCCTTCAACCTCTCCGCCACGCTCAACGCCCTCCGCTTCCTCCACAAGCCCACCCTTCTCCAGCCGCACCTCACCATCCCCACCTTCGCCGATCTCCCCGTGCCCCTGTCACCGCACATCCGCGCCGTCATCCTCGACAAGGACAACTGCTTCGCCGTCCCGCACGCGCTCGAGGTCCACCCGGGATATAACGTAACGTAGTCACCCTTTCCTTTCGGACACCCGGGGAGTAAAGCCGCTGACGGGCGTACTATGGCGCACAGGAAAAGTTCAAACAGCTGAAGGAAGCGTACCCAGGCGGGAGACTACTGATCGTCAGTAACTCGTCAGGGACAACGTGGGATGATCCCGGCGGTAAGGAGGTCCGTTATACATCCCCGCGCTCCCCCCACTCCCCGCCTGCCGCTGACTTGCACAGGCCGCAATCCTCGAGCAAAACACAGGCGTCACAGTCCTCCGGCACTCCACCAAGGTACCCCCCCCATCCTACCCCCATCTCCCCCATCGCACCCCCTCCCCTACCCCCATCTCCCCCATCGCACCCCCTCCCCTGCCCCTACCTCTAACATCCCGTAGAAACCCGGTTGCCACGCCGAAATCTTCACGCATCTCGTCGCGGCGGACATCGGTGTAACACGGCCAGACCAAGTCGCCGTCGTCGGCGACCGCCTGTTCACGGACGTGCTGATGGCCAACCTAATGGGGTCCTACGCGGTATGGGTCAAGGAGGGCGTGATCAGCCCCGAGAAGCGATTCGTGAGTTTTCCCCCTGCCCCGTGAGCTGGTGGAACGGGGGCTGATTGCGCAGTATGGGCGTGTGGAGTGGGGGCTGGCGGGGTTCATGGAGAGGCGCGGGTGGGCGCCGCCGACGCCGAGCTCGAGGTTGTTGAGCGTGGCGGGGAAGAAGGAGTAGGCTCTTATCTGGGGACTTTGAGTTTCGCGGGGTAGGTGGTGCGGAGTAGGCTTTTAGTGCGACGAAAGTCATGAGGTAGGTGACACAAAAAAGAGAACTGTAGAAATGATAGACTTCCCGCATCGTGTACCAAAATACCATCCGGATATCCTAGTAGGCCCATAACCGCAAGCAGCGCCTCTCTGGACAAGAAAGATAGTCGAGTGATACCCTATGACCAGCCGTTTTTTTCGTTGGTCGAGTCATGAAAACTCACTCGCATGGCGGTTGTCCCTAGCTGTCTTTTCTTTCTTTTTTTTGTTTTGTTTAATTCATTAATTGCATGCAACTTTACAGTTATGGCAAGTCCATAGCTGTCTATAAGAACTTCATCAATGAATAGTGTCCCGGTAGCGGGGTTTATAACGTGTTGCTAATCCGGTGTTATACGCACCGCAGAAAATTAGGTACTGGAGTACATGTACTTAGCTTCACCTACCTGTTCTCACCGCAACCTAAATGCGATAGATCCATAAAATGGTTGATTGATTGTTTGATGCGATAGAGATAGATTAATCAAGCGATCTATGTTTTCAAAGATGATCTTTGTGCAGAAAAGTGAAGAGCCGAGAATGTATGAACTTAGTAATGAGTAAAAACAAATACAGTTTAGTCGAGGCTAGACTACCTCTACTACGAAAGGTACAGACTGTTTAGAACATCATAATGACACGTTAAGCAATGCAACTATTAACAACACCTACCATCGACCACAACCAACAATCTGTCCCTAAAACAAAGTTGTTTCGCAGTGACCAGTAAGTATCTGCTCTGTATTGCTCCATTCTGTGTTATGGTACCGTATCCATTGTCAGTACCGAGAAGGAGTATAGTCCCTAGCTATTATGGTAATGGGACGCGCTGACATTGTGCGTGTTCGACGTAGCTCCCTCTACATAGACGTCTCTGCAGAGCTTCCCGTTGCAGTCGGGGAAAGCCGCCGTGAGTAGGGCGACGGTTTATCTTTCTCCTCTAGCGTTACATCCTCACCTAGGGTTAGTGATAGAGCCTATTCTTATGGGAATGAAGCAGGCTGACATCGTCCTACTGTCCTCTTCACCGCTTCTCACTCGGAACTCTATCATTCTTCGCGCTGCAGGGCGGTGAGCGCGCAGTGCGCAAATCCACCCACATGGCCAACTCCTGCCCCAAACGGTTCATGTGCTTCTATGGACCTTAGCCAAGTAACATGGGCCTGGGCAACTCAAACCCAAGAGACCTTTGGGGCATAAACCTCACAGCCCTAATAGGAATCACCCACTCGTTGGGGCATGGTGGGGGGTAGAAATTAAAAAAAAAAATTGCAGACTTTTTTCTTCCCTTTTTTCTCCTGACCATACGACAACAATGCGACAATCCGCGACCATGGGCTCCAGCAACATGCCTTTCTGTCGACAAAACCCCAACACTGTGCGCTCAACAACCTTGAGTCATTTTTTCGTCAACCTCCAATAATAGTCAACAACCTTCCTCTCGTCCGTGGCCCAAAAATTCAGGTAAGTCCCAGCCCCCTCCCAAGAATCAATCCCCCGCCTTCAAAAAACACAATAATAATAACACAGAGCAGCAGGCCACAAAAAAAAAGAAAGAAGAAAAAACAGATCAGGTTGCCCGGAACATACAGTCCCCCCAGGGTACGTATCTGCTGGCGACCTGTTGGTCTCTAGGCGCCGCCCAGGGACCAAATTGTTTTTTTCCCTCTTCTTTCTTTGTTGCCCGCCCCTTCTTAGAACTCACTTATTCTCTGGGCGATGCCGAGGGCAGGAGTTGTCTAAAGATACTCGTGACCGAACCGGACAGCGTTATCATATAGGACATCTCCTGGTACTTGTTGCGAGACAAGTATGATATGTGTTTTTTTCTCTTTTGGGGCGCAAGAAGGATTGAACTCCCTGTCCCCTGGGCGCTGCCGAGGGCGGGAGGTGTTAAGCCTTTTGATCTTCATAGCGCATGAAGACCAAATGGCTTAACATCTCCCGGTGCTTGTTGAGTGACAAGTACTATGGGAGGGGGTTCTTTTCTACATGCATATATATCTACCTATTTCCTAGGCGATGCCGAGAGGTTTAGGGACGTTCCAAGGAATCTGATCATTTCCGATTCGGAATCACTTGTTGACATCTCCGGGCACTTGTTTCAAGACAAGTATGATAGGTTCTGAGAGAGCGATTTATAAAGTGGGAGAGCGAGTCGTGGGAGAGCGAGTCGGGGGAGTTACCTGTTCCCTGAGCGATGCCGAGGGCTAGAGATGCCATTAGGGATCTTGATGCGGCATTTGCTATTCAGAGTTACTAGATGACATCTCCGGGTACTTATTGTAAGACAAGTACAATAGGTGCTTCTTCTTTTTTGGGGCCTCTAAGTAAGTTAATAAAAGTTACCTGTTACCTGGACGACGTCGAGGGAAGGAGCTGTTAAGCTTTCTGATCTCGTCTACCTCGTCTAACGGGACGAACCGTATCAAAAGGTCTAACATCTTCTGGTACTTGTCGGGAGATAAATACAATGGGAGGTTTTTACTTATCTATTACACAAAAAGAACCTGTTCCTTGGGTTGTACTTCTGAAGGTAGGAGATGCTATAACCGCATCTCCTAGCTACAGCTGGTCATTTAGTTTGGTGATGATTTCTCTCGGTACTTGTGGCTGATCCATAATTTCTATTATAGATGGCCGAGATGGAGATTGACAGTAGACGGGCGAGTATTTAAACAAGTTTACAAAATAAATGTAGTATACTTCCCAGTAGACAATTCCTCTGAGGGTTGGTGCCGGTCATTTTATAACCCCTACGTTCTTACAATCACCAAATATCACTCGATTGTTGTTTTCCATTCTCTTAATTTTGGAGGACCTATAGACATCATGTATCCCGAAGGAACGAGAGAGCTGGGAAAAGGAGGAATAAGAGAAGAAAATTCATGAATATCTTATGACAAAAAAGAAAAGAAGCCCCATCCTCTTTAGACCCTTTAGGAAACAAAAATAACAATGAAAATAAAGATACTCGTAAACCCTGAAATCGAGACGCTAACCCCACCCACACGCCCCTACCATTGCCATTTCACCAAATCACGAAAGATCTGGATCCACCAAAACACAGTATTATTAATGTGACCCTGGCACGTAGAAATAAAAACAGAATATTTCCCCCGTTTTACGGCTCCAAACTAATCCGCCTTTCGGCCAGTGAGCCTTTTGCCGTCGTCGTCGTCATCACTCCACTCATCGTCCATTTCACCCCCTACGCTGAACATTGTCTCTTCCACACTATCACGCCCCCTATCCATACTCCTTCTCCCGTGCTGCGGCTGCGCTGTGGGTGCAAGACCTTGGGTCCTCCCAGCATCTGGAGCTGTGGCCCCATTCCCGGTTGTGTTGTTCCTTACTCGACCTTGCTCCTCATCCCTCTCATCTTCGGAATCAGCTAATGAGGCAATCTCGAAACCGTCATCATCCTGCGCGAGCTCTTCGGACATGGCGAAACGGCGATTGTTGGCAGTAGGACGCCACAAATAGGCAATGACACTGATATCGACAAGATATACCAAATTCAACCACCCATCCAATACAAACCAGCGGGTCTTCCAATGACTTGGGATGAAATCAGGGCTTCCGTGCCCAGCAAACGTAAGACTGTTCAAAAAGAAAAACCCGAAGATTACAACGATACTGCTTAGTAGAACCCACCAGAGGCGCTTGTACATGAGGAGCTTTACGTTTTGTTTTCGCTCGAGAAGTTCTTTCATTGTAAGCTTCAAAGAATTGAGAGTCCAGATATAAAATGCGGTTAATGATGCCGCAAGAGGCAAGATGACGAGCATCACGAGAGGACCGGCGGAATCGGGGGTGATTGTAAGGGAAGCAACGGCATAGACAACTCCAAAAAGGAAATGCAAGAGAGCGAGGATGCGGACATATTTCATGAGGGGTCCGAGAGAAGGCCTGGCGGGGTAAATTAGTAGGGTCTCAAATTACGGCCTAGTGCACGGGAGCTTACTTAACAACGCCATAACCCATACAAACAATGAGCAACAGGAAGAATGAGAACGAATTACGGGCAGCATTAAGAACGGCGACAATGATCATCAAGACCTTTGAGGCAGTATTGGAGCCGTGAACATTCATATAATCGTAAAAAGCCCATGTGATGAGCATTTCCACTATTAGGAAAATGACAATTGCCGTAATGTAATTTTGCACCGGAACTATTGCATATTAGTCAACGAAATAACCCAAATCCGTAAAAAAAAACCTCGTGTACTCACGGATATCCTGTCTATGTTGAAAATACAAAAACCCCCATAGAGCCCCAATGACCGCATAGACAATCGTTAATCCACCGTAGAACGGGAGTTTGGCGATCTGAGCTGCTGGCAATTCACCATACGAATTCTGGAACGTAACAACCGCATCATACTGAACATCCACGGGATAATACGGGTTTGCCCAAACACAGTAATAACCGGTCCTCTTAATAGGGTAATAAATCGGCTCAACCTTTTTCAAGTTGATCGCAGTATTGTAGATGCTGCCAGTAGAGCTCTTGTTTGTGCCCGCTTCGAGGATAAATTTACCGATATCAGTGGAATTACAAAGGTCTGCCTTTACATTTTCGTCGTTGCAAATGTATTTTTTCTAAGTGAAGATATAACACGTAAGCTCCCAGCAATGCCAATGCCAATGCTGCCTAAAGAAGAAGGACCAGGGAAACAAAATCAGGAGTGCGCAAGCGCAGGAGCTACAAACATCAAAAGAATCCTCACTTGGATATCTCCCTAGAAAGCCTTCGTCTCTAAATTCAAAGATAATCAAGGATACCACATGGTCGTCGTCGTGATGTGGGCTGAATTTGACTGTTATTGCGGGATCGAGGTTCCCGCCCCAAGCCTTTTTGTTGTACATTCCGGAACATTGTTGCTGATCGCCATCAGATGTCTACAGGAGCGAGGGAAGCTTCGGTTAGCAATCTGAATTTACCTATTCTCTGGAGGACGGTAATAAACGAGTGGTGCAAGGGGAAGGTACCATAGGATATTCGTTCGCCAACGCAATACCAGCGGTTGTCGAAACCGCAAGCAGCGCAGCTTGCAGCCAGCCACGCATCCTGTAGGTATTGAGAACAGAACAACCACGGGTTGGGGTGAGAGACTTTGTTAATGAGGATTTAACGTTGGGAGGAGTAGGTTAAAGTCGACACGTGGAATGTGCGTAGGTAGAGCTATCTGTGCTTAGGGGTTTCTGTTGGTGAGTTTTCTGGAAGATTGCTGTACATAGAACTTGTTAACTGACAGCTGGGTGGAACGACGGGATGGGCTGCACACTACGACTTCTACGAAGAATGTCTTGCGGCTGTTGCGTATGTATGGAACTGCTGCGCCATGGGGGGGGGGGGGGGGGGGGTCTTTGTCATGCACCTTGGGATTGAAGACAACAACGCCTTTGTAAGAGTGGCTGTGCTGTCTAGATACGGAACCATTCTTGGCGTTTCCCGCCCCAAAGCAGCCTAAGCATATTTAAATTTGGGTTGATAAAACAATCAAATGCACTCCGTGAGACCCGCAAAGGAGAACAGCTGCATCCAGAAGTTCTTTAAGACGCTATTCGTGCTTACATATTCATTCGCACATTCGCGCCACAAAAACTCCTCGCCGCGGCATAGATGCTAGATTTCTGACGCTTAAGGAGGCACAATCCAGGTATTTATAAATAGATACATGTACACTATTCCTTGTAATCTGTTTCAATGGGTGCGAGCTCTTGGCATTCTCGGGTTGTGTGTATGTCCAATCATGCGATATCACTCGATCGCATGACTATTCCTGAGTTGAATTGGAAGAATAGATCAGGAGACTGTTATCATCGCAAGAGTATTGTTCTTAAGTATGGAAGCGATCAGATATGCTAGTCCGTCCCTTTAATATCTCATAATTTTGCTAGACTGAGATGTTGTCATGCTGCGATTCATCACACCTTACTCCAGGTCCTTCTTCTCAATCCTCTTTGCTTTCCCTACTAGACTCCTCGCCGTGTCCAGCACGAACAAATCCGGACCCTTCTCCCCATCCCCTACCTGCCCCTCAATCAACTTCGCAACCGTCCTATTACTTGTGACAGTGGTATAACCCTTCTCCCACCCCATCATAAACACACTTCTATTAACCTGTGAGAGCTTCTTTGAGACTCTCGTCATGCACTCCTTCTCTTCACTGTGTTCTAGCAATTCCTCTGATTCCCATTCCGGAAGTGTTACAATGGGAAATAGTATATCTTCCGGAACTGTATGTATCGATACCTCCTGAAACCTTTTTAGCCGTGATGCGGGACTTTCCTGTGGCTTTGCCGGCTCCATATGGTCTTCGTCATAGTAGTACTGATCTTTCCCTGCACTTTGCCCTCTCTTGTTTTTCCTTCTAGTATCTAATATCAGTTCTGCCCTCAACTTCTCATTTTCACTCCCAATAATCTCCACAATCTCTTCAAATCTCTCCCTTGCCGTATTTGTGCACACCATTCTCCTCCCACGCAATGCGGGCCACAATAGATTTGGTAGTAGTGCTAACTCCTTCTCAAATTCCAGTTGTCGGAGAATCGCCGGATGAAACCGAGGTTCGACAGCAACAGTCGCGTTAGAAATGTCGGATATGAGAGCTAAAAGAATGGTACAGTCGATATTAAGAACATCCGAAAAGTTCTCGTAGCGGCGTGATTCAGTTAATTCGAGACTTTGAAGCATTGTTTCAAGACTTGGCTTTGGAGATATCAGATCTAGGTCGGGTCCGCACTGGATGCGCGCGCCGGTTGCAAGGAGGGCGGAGAGGAAGGTATCTATCTCTGGTGTAGAAGGGGAAGGGTGTATGTTCGGGAGGAAGAAAAGAACTGTAGGATGAAGGTACTGAATCCGTGTTTGTTCCGCTGCTTTGTGCATAAGCTTCGACATCTTTATGAGAGATAGTGAAGAGGTGGCTAGCTGCGTATTTTCCTCCTGATCGTGACCGGGGGTATCTTCGGTTTCGGATTCAGAATCGTAGGGAGATGTCGATTCCTCCCATCCAGCTTTTGCGATCTCATGAAGGACTCGAGAATTCGTTATTGTAGAAACCTTTATCCTAAAAAACGGTGTCAATGATTATTCTTGCACTTAATCCAGGTCCAATACATGTATTTACCACTGTAACCCATTCTGCGCAACAACGTCCACTGAAACCGATGACTTTTTTCGCCTTCCCCTCTTTTCACTATCTCCTAACAGTTCCCCAGGCTCCGTGATGGTAAAGCTCTTAGTAAGGCCCTTGATACCTGTCGTTGACTTTGCAGCTAACCACACAGTCTCCAAATATGATAGGTTAGAGCTTCTTAGCGAATGCCTAATTTTTGACGAAGTTGGCGCCTCAAAGGTAAGCTAGTCGCATGTTAGTCGAATTTGCTCACTTTTTGCGAGGACAGCAAATAGCTTACCGACTGCAATCCTCTTAACTCGCTCTTAACCGCAGTTTGAAAATGCCGTAGCTCCACCCCCTTCTCGAGCTTATTCCTCCGTAAGCTCTTCTGAAATGCTTCTACTTCATCTAAAAGCTCGCTGCATCGATCCACTAGGTCCTCGGCTTCGGGGTTCAAGGGACCGCCTTCAACCCCATCTTCATCATCTGAGGAGTCGCCGGCAAAGTCAAAGTTATGTATCGGCTTTTGTGTTTTTTGAAGGTCCATTTTGTTTGGGGCTGTGAGAATTCTGTGGGAGTGGTTTTTATAAGTCGCCAATTTTGGCGGGGTGGGGTGTGGCTCCACTTACCAGCAATATTGCCTGACTCATTTAGGATTGGGGCTGGTGTAACCATACCGAAAGTATGGCAGGATTTCGACTGACAGGCACAAAAATTCAGTTTTACAATTTTTTTTTTTTTTTTGAGGGAAAATCAGATTGGGTGTAGGTACGTTCGGGATCTGGGAGACACAAATGAAATCCTTAGACTATTATTTTTAAGGGTCCCACTCTTCATAGTTAGTGGACTGAATCATCTGCGTTCCCCAGATCTTGAACTTGCTAGCTAAAAAAATACATTTACATGTAGTGGACAGGCCTTTATATGTATCTTGTGCAATCTTACCTTTATACAAGTGGTTTCCGGCCTTCGGCCGGTTAGGACAATGAAATCAGCTCGCCTCCACCTCTGCCTCTACCTCTACCTCTACCTCTACCTCTACCTCTACCTTCACCTCCATATCTGCCTCTACCTCTACCTCTACCTCGACCGACGCCCCTCCTACCTGCCTCCATATTGACACATATGCTAACGTCTATATAGACTCCCAATTCGACACCTATTTAGACTCCAAATCGACACCTGGACGAGCACCGCACCTAGCACCGCACCTAGCACCGCACCTAGCACCGCAGCTAGCACCGCACCTAGCACCGCAGCTAGCACCGCACCTAGCACCGCACCTAGCACCGTTTCGAGCACCGTTTCGAGCACTGGCGCGGGCGTAAGTAGGGGTGCAGGCGCAGACAGGAATCAGGCGCAGACATGAATCAGGCGATGGGAGGTGGTAGGCGCGAGGTGCTGGAAGCGGGTTCTGGGGTGACGCGGGTGCTGCGAGCGGGTGCTGGGTGACACCGGTGCTGCGAGCGGGTGCTGGGTGACACGGGTGCTGCGAGCGGGTGTTGAGAGCGGGTGCTGCGAGCGGGTCTTGGGTGACACGGGTACTGCGAGCGGGTACTGATAGCGGGTGCTGCGAGCGGGTGCTGGGCGACACCGGTGCTGCGAGTGGGTGCTGCTAGTGGGTGCTGCAAGCGGGTGCTGAGTGCTGGTTCAGGTAGGGTAAGGCTGCTAATATTTGGGCGCGTCGCTGTCGTTGGGTTTCCCCTCTTTCCCTTTTTCCTTTCACAACACCCTTCGCTTGCGAGTTCAAACACACAACACATAAGAGAGAGTTCAAATAAGATAGAAAACCGGATATTTTGGTGCTTTGCCCTTGATATCCTTCTATACTTAAGTTTACAATCACTTGTTGTTGTTGTTGTTGTCTATTCCCCTAAAATTCTGATTACTACCTGACTCACTACAGCTTCTACAAACCCGATCCACAAAAATTCCTCCTATCCGATCCACAAAAATTTCTCCTATCCGATCCACAAAAATGCCTCCTATCCGATGCAAAAGAATACCACCTCCCAAAGCATACAAAAAAGCCATCAATGAAATTGCTATCTATATAGCTAGCAAGCCCTCTCTTCTGCAGAAAATCAGAGATAATAATATTGATTCTCTTGTTTCTTCTATTAAGAGAGAGTTCTGTAATATTGCCGATGGAGTTAACGATGGCATTTTCAATGATATTGCAGCTTTCCTCAACCACCCCAAACAAATGAAGGAGCCGAATTGCCATGCAGAGCTAAGAGAAGCGATGAAGCAGAGGAAGCAGGTGTAACGGAGCCATTTCAACTGTCTGGTGTATGAGTACACACAGGGCCCGGTTACATGCTGAGAGTTATTGTTAGAAGCCAGTTGCACAGTGACATGCAAGTACCGGCAGTGTGGTTAGCTACCAACTGTCAGAGTAACTACATTCTGAGCGCTAGGAAGAGGATCTACTCATGGGAGCAATGACTGACGAGTCTGTGCCTCGCCAATGATTAGAAGGCTAGCCAGAGTGAAGCTCTGAGTGCTCAGCGATCCTCCACATCCTCTGAGCATTGGAAGTCCGCCAGTAGTGGAAGAGACTATGCCTGGGAAGTCTACAATAAGCGGAAGCTCTACAGCAATGATTAAGCTTACACCTGAGCGGCAGCTCATTCATGCAGGCCCCTAGTTGTGTGGCAACAAAGGCTGCAGGTGTTACAAAGGCTTTGACTAAGGGTGGTTGCCTTCGGAATCGGAAGCACTCGCTGACGCTTAGAGAGAAGTGGGGTAGCGATGGTATTGCTTCCCTTCCACTAGGAGGCAGCACCGGAACTTAGTAAGGAAGTAGGAGCAGAGAATAGAATCCTTTGGAGTATAAGTACTCAGGATCATTCCCGCCCAACTGACCTGATCCTCATCTTCGAGTAGACCATTATCGGTAGCAGAGCCCTTAAAGATTATTGAGTTCTAGCGATAGTATCTTTGAATAAATCTGCACCTGATTTCTATCTTGCACGGCCGCATCTATTCTATTGGATTCTAGCGATACATAGATAGGCTGCCCCCGTTACAGCAGGAGAAGGAAAGAATTAAAAGAATCAAAGCTTTGTTTGTGCAGGTGTATAACCTCAAGGAGGACGATGCAAGTAGAGACAAATATTTGGAAAAGTTTACGATTGTGGAAGTAACCCGATATCAAACACCTTACCCTCCACTCAGTAATTGGGTGTATGAGTCCGAGCAAATCCATGACATTTGGCATGATCACCTCCAGCTTGATAAGCTGAAGGACAAAAGGCTAAAAGTACCACCGATGCTACTTTTGGAACCACAATATCTACAACTAGATGTTGCCGAAGACCAAAACTACATTTTTGTTGATTCCAACACCAAAGAAATTGTTGGATTGGTTGCTAGGAATTGGATGGCCGAGGGCAAGAAAGAAACTCTAGATTGGGTCAATGAGATTATTATCAAGGAATGTTAGGTCAGGAAATCAGTCCGAGTAAGTATTATTTCTTTCCAAATTTTACTATTGCGATTGCTAATTATTTTTTAGCTTGAAGATACTGGCAAACTTTGTCAAATGGGATATTCAGCTGGTTCCAGAAGCAAAGCCAGTTTCGATTGGGTTAGAAATATCACTTCCAAGAAAAACCGATTGGAAGACTTTGAGCACTTGGGCAGCTATATTTTTGCTCTTCTTTGGAACATGAGTAAGGGTAGATTGCCGAAGCCGATTATTGAGGATATAACTGGGTTTTGCAATTCTACCCTAATTCCGAGAATGAATTATGCTGCTAAAGACAGGGCTACTTCTCAAATCTTGGGGAACTATACTGTGAGGGTGGGAGCCGATGACATTGAGTTTGACTGTGTTCCGATGGCACCTCCTTCTGGATTTATGGCATATAATTATGCAAGCTAATAGTCACTCCGAGTACTTATATTTCATTGTTACTAATTAATTATAGGGGTACTCATAATGAAAAGTGCCCTCATAAGTATGCATTGTTCTGGACTACAGCTAGGACATATGGATCCGAGGAGGGGGGTCACTTCTTCATTGCCGATTATGGAATCAGAATCAAACAGTCAGCCAATTCAGTGGTAGTTTGGAAGCCGACTGACTTTCATGGTACTACTTTATCAGTAAAAGGCCCTACCGATGAGTCTGATTCCCATCAAATTGGTATGAGTATTGTCACTCCTGTCCGATTGGTAAAGTTGTGGGAAAAATATCAACAGGAACAAATTACTGCCGATAATGTTGAGGCTATTTTGGTTGAGTCCGATGATTCTGAGGAGGAATAAATTGTTATTTCCTATATTATATATTGTTATTATTGTTGTTACTGAAAATCTCCACTCCTGTATTAAGTACCGATAGTTTTAAAAAATTGTTTTAAAAATAAAAAAAATAAGGAAATAAAATTTTATAACAAAAGACTTCTATATACAATATTTTTAACTTTGTTTTTATCCCCGATATCAATAACTGAAATATCATGATCCAATAAACACCTAATATGGTCTCTATTTCTGACTCGGGAAACACTCGTATACAGTTGACCATGTGCAAATACAGGAGTTCTGAGATCGATGACAGCTCTATCGAGTGTTAAGCCTTGACAACTATTGAAGGTTGTTGAGTATGCTAGTCGTAAAGGAAATTGTCTTCTCTGTACTGTCCAAGAGCAATATTTTGGTTGAAACTCAAATACGATTCGGGGGAGGCAGAAAACAGTTGTATCTCGTCGAATATTATCTGCAGTAGATATCAATTCAACTTTGACAAAGCTTTCATATAGCTCTTTAATAACTACTCGGGAATTCTTAACCAAGCCATTCTCCAGTGATAGATTTCGCATAATCGAACAAACACACCCGACCTTCAAAACCAATTTGTGTGTAGGTACACCAGGCTCCTTCAACATAGATAGAAAATCTAGAATCTCCCCCGATGGTAGAATGTTGGTAGTCGGGGATGTGAAATTAGGATCTTCTTTGATGCAATCTTGGCTGTAGTATGTTCTTTCTGTAATAAATAATGTATCAGTATATTGTAATTTTTAATATTAAGGAAAATAAATATACATACCCTACATTGTCGGGAATCTTTCGAGAATCGCAAGGTTAAATTGATCTACATTGATATTCAAAGGACTAAGAAAAGCACGATGGGAAACAATCGCTGGATTTTGCAATACTTCTGTTGGAAATAGAAAGTCAATTGCCTCCTCGATTGAGTTCAAAGACGCAATTAAATCCAGATTGACAAATGATTCATTTGATTCTTGACAACCATCTCCAATTTTGTCTACCCACTCGGCATATTCTAAATCAGAGCCATTTCTTATAGGTGTATCCAATCGTAAAATTTTGAATTGTTTCCAAAGATAGGATGATCGTATAGATGCTTCGAGTGTAGCTGTTGGTCCTGCAGATTTAACCACTGGTGCTACCTGTCGAAAGTCACCTAAGCCAAGAAATACTTTGCCACCAAATGGTTTGTCGTTGGCAAGCACGAGTTGCAAGAACTCATCTGCACATTCAATTGCTGCTTTGTTGGCCATAGGCATCTCCTCCCATATAATCAAGCTTGACTTCGATAGTAATTTCGCCCGATCTGATCTGATACTCAAAGTCGATTGTAGCTCCATATTATTCTAATATCGTAATGTCAATGACTGTTTTTACTAAAACCTTCTCATAGGATAGCTTTACCTCAACGACAGGAATACCAAATGCAGAATGTGCAGTACGACCTCTCTCATATAGTGTAACACTCAAAGCTGTCGAACCAGTAATAACAACAATATCTCCTTGCCCTCTTAGATAATTTACGATCGTATTTACAACATATGTTTTGCCCCGACCAGCTTTTCCATCCAGAAAAAAACATGTATGTTCAGGAATCTCCCCGATTGCTATTTTATCGATATTATTCATGATAGTATCAAAAGCATCCATCTGTTGGGGTAATAACTGTTCCCGTGATAATATTGCCATCTCAGTAAGTTCGATACTACGATGATCAAATGCAAGAGTCTCAATGGATATTTCATCTGTGAGGTTTTGAGATTGGGGTAACCCAAAATCAGTCAACCTACTACCTTGAGCAGCCAAATGTCTTGCAATCCCCTCCAAACATTTATTCATAACCATTATCGGGGAATCATATTGGTCAAAATAATCTGCCGAGAGAGCCTCCTGATATTCCTCGAACAATTCAATAGCTGCCACTGGAATATTCATCAGGAGATGTGCAAACAGGAATCGTAGCTGTTTAGGACTGCAAAAGCTTTGGACAGCTTCTGCCATAATTTCTTTCCCCTCCGACTGATTTTCGAAGAGACCTAATGCTGCTGCTGCCTCTTGGAATGTTGAGTATGTAATTTGATTGACAATTTTTAGGTCCTCGAAACAATAAGCTGATCCATGAAGTAGGAGAGCTCGCAGGTAGAATAATTCTCCAGTTCTCGGGGAGACTGTATCGATTCGGGCAATTGCTTCATTCCTTCTCCTAGCTCTTACAATAAACTGTGGATAACTATTGCATATTTCTTCAAGGAAATCGGTATCTTTGAAAGTGGTTGACGACTTCCAGTACAGAATCCACTTCTCGTAGTATTGCATATAAGTCAAATCTTGAAAAACTGTATCTCGGGGCCTAGAGAAATATCTAAGCAAAGTCGATGCTGTAGATTCTCCACCATCCTTTCGATACATTTGATGCATGTTTCTTCCAGGTAGATGAACTGTGAGCGATTTGACTGCAGGCGATCGATCTGTTATATGG